CATACGAAGTGCAGGATCTCGGCTGCAGAGGTGCCGATGTATAAATTCTCATCTGTCCATCATCAATGTTAGACAGATTGGGAGCCATCGAGCAGGCAGCCGCAACAACCAAAACAGATAGAGCTTACTCCAGTATTCAACACAGGTGATGTAGACGTCTGAGCTATCCTCGGTCGCTAGTGGCACACCCTCGAAGAGAGAATGTAACACGTAAGGTACAGTCCCTGGTGGACTAATCTTGCGCCTCTTGCGAGGACCAATTCCATCGTCTGAAGCCATCATGAGGCTGTATTTCCAGGCATCTCCCCGCAAGCTTGGAGACTAGTGACGATGTGAAGGCGGTCAGTAGCTGGGCTCAGGGGCCGCAGTTGATGGCGGACAACGACCGCATTGGTGGTATTTGTCTGGCAGAATTTGGTATGATCTACAGACGCCTTATCAAGGTGCAAATCTGACTGTACAGTTTATGATTAGAGCTGATCTACCGGGAATTGAACTTATCCTGAATCTTTGTTTCATTCATTCATTTTTTTTTGTGTTCATATTTATAACCTGAAGCTTTAAAACGTGACGTTAAACAAGGAGATAAAAGCGGCCAGTAAGGCGGTCGCGCCAATCTATAAGTGGCCGTTATCTCTTGCCATACATTGTACTATTGTAAATGGCTGCCTCGGGTCAATTACTGTCATCTTGAAGCAAAACGCTCATTACACTGTCTACATATTTGAGGTCACTGCATTTTGTCTCGCCTTTGGCATTCACATTTGTCATAAATTTGTATCCAATAACTACAACCCCAGATCGTACGTTGTACACATACAATCGGAACAATATCGGCCCGTACGCCGCGTGTCCTGTTCCTCGCGATAACAGATCTCCATCTTTCCCCTTGGTGGACTGCTATTTGATGTGGGGTTACAGTGCAGACGCCTGGGGCTAGGACCGACAATGGATTCATTTGCCATTACAGAGGGCTTGCTTCCTCAGGACCAACATGACAACCAACCTGCATCACCTATGTCCAGCAAATTGACTGAAGAGACCAACAAGTTCCAACGCGCCATTGCAGCCTGGAGAGGTAATTATTATCTTACATGTTGCTGGATCTTACTAACATATAATAGGTATTGATTTGACCAATACTATCGCGAATCTCGATACAACCGCTACAGATCTCGTTGAACAACAGCGTGTCGCACTCGTGCAAAGAAAGGACCTGGCCCAAAAGACGAAAGATTACAAGAAACTAGATGATGAATCTAAGCTTTCAGAATATAAAACACTACTGAAATCCTATCAGTCCTTTATCGATCTCTTGACCAACCAAGGCAAGACGTCATCGTCTTCATTCTTACAACTGTATTCTTCGTTGTCCGAGGCTCCAGACCCATACCCACTCCTCGAAGCTTCTGTCGACTCCCTGGTCCTGTCCGAAGATACAGTTCCCAAACTGACCTCAGAACGAGACCAATTGCAGAAGTCGGTGGATCGCCTCACCAGACAACAAGAGGAGACTGAGAAACGCCTGCAGGAGGAACGCGCTGCGCGGAAGAAACTAGAGGGAAACCAGGAATCAAGAGCTAAAGAGATCGAGGCATCGTGGGAAGCTGTCTTGACAGAAAAGACAAATAACTGGGCGGCAAAGGAGAAGACTTTGGAAGAGAAAGTGGAAAACCAGGATCGGTTGATCAAGGAGCTCAAAGCAAGCTATGAGGTCTCCCAACGCCTGGGCGAGGGTGAGAATCAGGGTGATGATGGTGAAGGTTCGCGGAGTGGTGCTACTGCAGCTGAGCTCGAGCTCGTTTCTGCCGATTTGGAGAAAACAAGCTTGAGATTGGCTGACGTGGAAGCACGCAATGAACAAATGCGGCTGGAGCTGGCTCAGGCTGCATCACATGCATCTGGTCCAATTTCTGTTGAGGACGACCCCGATTATCTACGACTCCAGTCGGAAAACTCTTCCTTGCTTCGGAAACTAGATGCTGCACGGTTTGACAAGGACTCGGAACGACACACCTGGGAAGCTAAACTGCTTCAATCAGAACGAGCAGCTTCAAAAGCAGCGGTGGAAAGGGAAGAGTTACGTGTGCGGTTAGCAAAGGTAGCCGACTACGATGAGATCCGCCGGGAGCTGGAGATGATCAGGTCGATTGAGTTTGCAGCTGGTGACGATGATGAGGCCAGAGACGGTGCTGGCGACGGTGCTGTCATTGGTTCCAATGGCGACGAGGCCAAATCCAAGGACAAGAACTCCCTGGAACAACTTCTTATGGCCCGAAATAAGAAATTGACGGATGATCTCACCCTTCTGCGAGTGTCGCATCGCGATATCCAAGATCAGCTCGAAACACTACGAACTGAGCTGTCGAGTTCAAAGGGAGAGCTGGAAAAGTCACGAACCTTGTCAACGACTCTTGAAAACGACCTCCTTCGCGTGCAAGAGGAGGCTACCAATACATTCCCGTCTTCGGCGATGTCTATCGCAGGAACCTATAACTCCAGATACCCCCATTCTGCCCGTCGGGGCGCATCATCGCCCACCTCCTCCATCATCTCTGGCTTTGACCAGGGTGCCGTGTCTGCGAACACCATGGAATCGATCCGTGCAGGAGAAGCCGTTGGCGGCGGTTCCGGCCTCCTGCCTATGATCCAGGCCCAGCGAGACCGCTTCAAGAAGAAGAATGCTGAACTCGAAGAAGAGCTGTCAAAGCTATATGCCACTGTGAAGTCCCTCCGACAGGAAGTTGCATCGCTCCAGAAGGACAACCTCAGCCTCTATGAAAAGACTCGATATGTCTCGACCTACAGTCGTGGTCAGGGTGCCTCCACATCTGCATCATCGTTTGCAAACACCCCCAGCTCAACATCTATCTATGCCTCTGCAGACACACCTTCAGGTCTGTCCCTTGACCGATACCAGAATGCCTATGAGGCTCGAATCTCACCCTTTGCCGCGTTCCGGGGCCGTGAATCAACACGTGCATACAAACGCATGAGCCTACCAGAGCGAATTGTCTTCTCTCTCACCAGAGTCATTCTTGCCAACCGAACGAGTCGGAACCTGTTCGCTGCCTACTGCTTTGCACTCCATCTTCTGCTGTTCGCTGTGCTCTACATGATGAGCACGACAGAGATCGAGAAACACAGCGCTATGGGCGCCGTCGGTAGCGCTGCTGCTGCATACGGTAGCAGTGGAGGGGGTAGGGGGAGTGGGGGCCAGCTGCACGGTGACGACTGGCAGCAGGAAGGTTTTGACTGAAGATTTCAGGGTTTTGTCTGATGTTTACACAGCGAAGAGCTCCGGAGTTTTTTTTTTTTTTTTTTTTTCTTCTTTTTTTTTTCCTCATGACTGGTCATAAGTCCTGGCGTTTGGGGATAAGTCTCTTAAGTTGTACTATTCTTGGATGTGGGTCGAGCTGCATTGTGTAAATTTGATTCCTGGCAAATATCATGTGTCTGCAATATAGACCGTAGATTTCGGACCTTTCCAGTATAGGGTTCGGGTGAAGTTTTATAAACGTGTGTCCGAAAGAGCCGAGCCCTAAGTTTATATCTTATGCTACGAGACTTGGCTCTAGTTAGCCTCTCGGGTAGTAAGGGTCTCTGCCCCTCTACCTACTTGTTCCTTTAGACTTGGACGGTTACTCTATTGGATTGTTATTAGATATGGAGAGCTCATTTATTGGTCAATTGGAATTCAACCAGCACAAAAAAAAAAGTGCAAGACAAAAGATAAGAAATAAGGTCCGAGCCGAGATTGAACGCGGGACCTCGCACGATAAGCTTAGGACCGAAGCTTCTTGGTGTAGGGGGATATCATGTTTAGAAGACACACTGTTGGAAGACACACTATAGTAGCTAGTAGTATGCTCTAGATATCAAAGCATTTCCTTGAAAGTTTTTATCTTTCTATTTTTGGTATCGTCATGGATATATCAAGTACTCCGCACCCGTCAGATTGATACTGACTCGGGATCTTTCCATGTCGGAGAATTATAGTCTAGTAGATATATATAAATCTCATCGGTGGATTGCCTCAAGTCAGAGACAAAAATGCCGACAGTTGAAGAAAAAAGTAGTCAGCAGTTAGCAATCACACAATAAGAATAGGAGCTACAATAATAACCTGGTTAGAGTCTATGTGTAAGATGGCGCTCTGTAGGCGCCAGACCGCTGTAACGTGAAATTAGGAAAATACGGAAAGCCCAAACCCCGCCATGTCAGCCTCCGCAACCTAAGACAGATTGTAAATAAGTTGGATGTACAAATTATTTAGGACTATATCATGGTTGAAAACATGGACAGTTCTATTCGATTGCCACCCCATGTAGCTAATGCCTGCAATTTCCCGAGTTCTGCACAAATCCTAGGATCGGGACTTAGCATCGTTGCATCGCACACTAGCCTGTACCGGCAATTTCACATAACCGCCCGACACACATGGCACTATTCTTCAGTCAGATTTATTAATAGCCCCGGGGAATTTATAGATCTCATCACATTGGCTCGGTCCAAGCTGCTACAACTGAAAGGGAATACCCTGTTGTTTTGCTTAGCGCGTTGCTATCTCCATTTAGTCAAAGTTGTTTGCAACCGACAACAAATCAGAAGACAAAGAGGCTGGGAGGGTCTGACCTGGGCGCGTCCATCTACCAATGAGAATCCGTGGTCGAGCTTTAATCCCTGCTAGTACCTGCAGGTTGCATCGGTCGCTCTGTTAATAGCCACAGTAGTGTTTCGAGTTGGACCTGTGTTACTATCTTTGATATATGTATGAATTTGGAGGATTGCAATTACCACCGCATCTATATCTGCCCCTCGGCCCGGCGGCCAGTTTCTCACATCAGTATCTTCCTTGCCATTCCTTTCTTCAGCACTCCCTTTTATATACCCGACTTACATCAAAGGCTTGCTGGACAATCCTTGATTAATCAGAGAACGTCACCGCCATTTACCACCCTTCTATTCCTCTGCCTACTAGCATAAAACACATAGTAACAATGCGTTTTGCTCCTCTCATCATCTGCCTGGCAGCAATATCGCTTGCTGCCCCAACGAACTTCCTTGACAGTGCATATGACTGGAACGATGAACTGGCAGAATTCTATGGAAAAGTGAGCCAGTACATCAACACCGCAAAACACAACGTCAGAGCATCGTCTTGCGACGCCTCCAAGATTGTTATGCCCTCCTATGCTTCAGGAATGACCAGCCCGTCAGGGCTAAAGCCGAGATACGTTGCACTTGGACGGGGCACACAGGTATGACAAACTCTCAAGATATCTTGTTGATTACGTCGCTCATTATAAGACTAGAACTATACATGTACGGACTCTACTTCCTACTCCGCACCCGTGGCGGTAGGAGCTGTCGCAAGACTCTACAATGCGACATGCATTGCAGCCAACTACCCCGATCTCATGGCAAAGCTCCCCAACCTTGCTTACCGAATTTCCCTATCAACCAACGAATATGCCTCGTTCCCTCCCGCCAACATCGACATGATGGGTCATCATTTCTTCTTTGATGCAACAACCCCCGAGTTCAACTTGAACACCACACCCAAAAGGCAGGATGGCATTGTCATGACCAAGAAGGAAGGTGCAATTGATGCTCCTTCAGGTTCAGTGTCAGGGAAGTACGGAGCTGTGCCTTGGCTCTACCTCACTACTACCGATGGCACGGTGGGCAACTACAAGAGTGTCTATCGTGTCAACACTGCCTCTGGGTCGCCACCAAAGACCTGCAAGGACATGCCACCCACATTTGAAGTACAATATGCTGCAAACTACTACTTTTTTGGGGAGTAGGGGATTGATTTTGTTATGGTTGTACATACCCGTGGACCGTTGGAGGATAAGATTTTTTCTATTTGCCGGGCGGGCTCTGTTTTATTCTGTTATTATTATTTTATTTCATGACCTATCATGAGCCGATACGGCCAAGGAATCGATTGGCATTCTTTAAAGTGATCGATCGTAGTGTTCCATCTCATCCACTGCAGGGCCTATTGTATAGGAAGGAGCACACCAGGTGCCACAGAGAACTTACATATCTTTTGGTTGAAGATTACATACTTCCCTCAAACTTCCCTAGGTCAATTCTCGAAAAAACCATTACCAAAGAATTGATCACAATTTTTGTCATTTTCTATCGCAGTCTTCCATCTCAATCAATACAGGGCTTAATGAACCACGTGACACCGATATGGAGGAGGCAATTCACGTGACGCTCTCACACGAAAGAAACGCTAAACTCGAAACAACCTAGCGCCGTTCTGATTTTCTGAAAGATCCCAAAGGCGCAAAAAAAATCTCGACCGCATCAACGAGCAGCTTCGGTACCGATCCGCATCCGACAGATAGTCAGCGGCCAATTCTGTTTGAAGTGCTTGATCCAACTATCTCAGATACGTTGTCACTTTTTTCTCCCACTTTATCGACTCTCTCGGAACTTTTATTCCAATTTTCAACTACTTGGTTTAAGCACTCGGAAACGACAGCTTAACCTTCCTCCCCCCATTTTACTCCCTTTACAACCGAGTTTTATCTCTCAGAACATATACAATGTCTTCTTTCGCTCCTCGTGGACGTGGTGGATTTGGTGGTGACCGCGGTGGTGGCCGTGGTGGTCGAGGTTTGTTCAGTCCAGTCCATTCGAAGCAACAAGATCAAAAGTCTCGCTGGTGATTCTATCGCACCGATGGCGATGATTCTCTTTCTTGTTGCGATATTACAGTTCACCTCGCTGACTTGACAAAGGTGGCTTCGGCGACCGTGGTGGCCGTGGAGGTGGCCGTGGTGGATTTGGCGGTCGTGGAGGTGGCCGTGGTGGATTCGGTGACCGTGGTGGCCGTGGTGGTGGCCGTGGTGCTCCCCGTGGCGGCCGTGGTGCTCCCCGTGGTGGCCGTGGTGCTCCTCGCGGCGGCGGCGGTGCTCGTGGTGGTGCCAAGGTTGTCATTGTAAGTGTTGGGAATTCTCATGGATATGGGTATCAAGTAACTAACGGAAACTTTTTTTCCTTGCGAACAGGAGCCTCACCGTCACGCCGGTATCTTCGTCGCTCGCGGCGGTAAGGAGGACATGCTTGTGACGAAAAACCTTACTCCCGGAACTGCTGTCTACGGCGAGAAGCGCATCTCCGTCGAGGGTGCCCCTGCTGAGGATGGTGCCGTCACCAAGAACGAGTACCGTGTCTGGAACCCCTTCCGTTCTAAGGTAAATATCCCCTTCTCCTGGGCTAAAGATACATGGCATCGTTGTCGATTTTATCGAATTTTTCTCAGAATTTTTTTGATATCGCCCCGATATGCATGACTGCCTGTTGCTTATTCCTTCTTTTCTAACGTCTTTCCTCTTATAGTTGGCTGCTGGTGTGTTGGGTGGTCTTGATGACATCTACATGAAGCCCGGCTCCAAGGTTCTCTACATCGGTGCTGCCTCCGGTACCTCCGTTTCTCACGTCGCTGATATTGTCGGACCCACTGGTAACGTCTACGCCGTCGAGTTCTCTCACCGCTCCGGCCGTGATCTGATCGGAATGGCCACTCACCGTACCAACGTCATCCCCATCGTTGAGGATGCCCGTCACCCTCTCCGTTACCGTATGCTCGTGCCCATGGTCGATGTCATCTTTGCCGATGTTGCCCAGCCCGATCAGGCCCGTATTGTCGGATTGAACGCCCACATGTTCCTCAAGGCTGAGGGTGGTGTCATTGTCTCCATCAAGGCCAACTGCATTGACAGCACAGCCAAGCCCGAGGTTGTGTTCGCCAAGGAGGTCCAGAAGATGCGCGAGGAGAAGATTAAGCCCAAGGAGCAGCTGACTCTCGAGCCTTTCGAGCGTGACCACTGCATCGTCGCTGGTATCTACAAGCGTACCGCCGCATAAAGGTCTTAATCTCTGGTCATGTCCATTCCCTTTTGATGTTCCCTCGGCGTCTCGTGTTCTGTGATGTATCGAATGTTTTCCACCTTTCTTGTGACAGGTCTTTCCGCCTATGTACTTTTGGCTGCGTCTTAAAATTTAGTTTTCCTTTTCGATGAATTTTGCACGCTGGAATGTGTCATACTGAGTATCTTGATCTGAGGTGATGAGATAGCTCTGGTTAGCGTATGATATCCGTACCTAGGTAGCAGCCAGTGGCCAATACAAGCGATTTAGTCTTGCTAATATTTCGTCGACAACGCATGAGCAATTATTCTAGATGTAGCGTCTAGGAGAGCTCCGAGGTTATCCAGTTCTGCAAGTGTCGTCGACCGATGCCTAGTAGAGCATGTGACATAGATTCAAAACACCCTCAAGGAAGCAAAATCTTGCCAATTAAAACTACTTGATAATGAAAAAGGTCTTGCACAAATTTCCCTAGATCATCTCGCTGTCCCAATCCCATTCTCGGACTTACGCCGGGCCTCCCGGTAATCGGATTTCCCACCGAGGCTTGCACCAAGAAAATGACTCGGAATTGATGCGCGAGAATTGATTAAGTGATCATATTCGTGGGATGTAGTAACACCATTTGCCGATGGGGGAATTATCATGACGGAACGAGCGTGGGGGGGAAAGACAAGGTCCGCTTCAACCCCGCAAGGCGTGTTACTATATAATGGCAACACATTCATTTTCTGTTCTCCATAATGGACTATACTCCAATTTAATCGCACTGCCCTCTTGTCACTGACTAGACCGATCTGATCAATTGACCTACGCAAACTACCTTGTCATATACCCATCATGTCTATTCTCATCACCGGCGCGGGTGGTTATGTTGGCCAGGAACTGGCGGCTTCCCTTCTCGAAAGCACACCGGCCACGACAACCGTGACAATCACCGATATCGTCGAGCCCGATATCCCAGAGTCAGCTGCACAGCACACAAGCCGTCTCAGCTGTGTCAAGGCCGATCTCACCTCCACCAAAGAGGTAGACGAATTGATCAGCGCATCCAAACCCTACGAGACAGTCTACATCCTCCATGGTATCATGTCTGGCGGCTCCGAGGCCAACTTCGAGTTGGGCATCCGCGTCAACCTTGACGCAACACGATACATTCTGGACCGGCTACGCGCGACCATGCCCGGAGCGAAGGTGGTCTTCACATCATCACTGGCAGTATACGGCCCTGCACCAGCAGGGTTCATCATCGACGAAACAAACTTCCCACCTATGCCATCTTCCTCATATGGATCGCAGAAACTCATCATTGAGACATTGCTGAACGACTACTCGCGGCGCGGATTCCTGGATGGTCGCTGCGTGCGTCTACCCACGGTGACAGTGAGAGCTGGCAAGCCTACTCAGGCTGCCAGTAGCTTCGCGAGTGATATCATCCGCGAGCCCTTCCACGGCAAGAAGGCTATTCTACCTGTGGCCAGGGAAACGGAGATGTGGATTTGCTCGCCGAACACTGTGATCAAGAACTTAATTCATGCGCGCGACGTGCCCAAAGAGGCATTTGGAGAGTCAAGATCTGTTAATCTTCCTGGGTTGAAGGTCAGTATTCAGCAGATGTTGGATGCTTTGCTGGAAGTTGGTGGTAAGGAGCGCCGGGATCTCGTCGAGGAGAAGTATGATGCTGCTACCGACAAAATTGTGCAATCATGGACACCTCGATTTGATACTGCTCGTGCTTTCGAGTTGGGCTTTTCAGCAGATGTTTCGATGGAGGAGAATATTAAACAGTTTGCAAGCCGGTTTGTATGAGAAGGGCAAGTAGCCAATCAATAGACACGAAATTGGATGACCGAAATTGCATGACCGGAAAATGAGGCGTATCAGAATACCTCTGCATCAAGCAAATCGTATTTTAACACCGTAAAGATCAATATAGACCACATATAAACCCATTTAGACAGTATTCTTGCCCACGTCACGAATTATGGCAGAGTAAGGAAGTATTCGGGATGTCAAGGGCGGTTTGGAAAAGCGGGTTATGTAATTGGCTGAGCTGGGCGAACAATTTCAGACTTCGGAACCTCAACCTCAGGGTGTCTCCATCAGCTCTTTTCTCCATCTCTCCCCTTTTCCCCCTCCCTCCACCTACACAAGTCGTTATCAATGGCTTCTCGGCGCCTTGCTTTCAACCTGAACCAGGCTCTCCGCACTCGTGCGGCCCTGAAGTCCATCCAGCCCGTGAAGCGTGGCTTTGCGTCGCCGGTTGCTCTGCCGTCTACCACCCAGTCCACCACCCTCTCCAACGGATTCACGGTACGACCATACAACTCATCTCAATGACATTGCAATTTTGCTAATTCCCTTCTAGATCGCCACTGATCACTCGCCATGGGCCCAAACCTCGACGGTCGGTGTGTGGATCGATGCCGGTAGCCGGGCAGAGACTGACAAGACCAACGGAACTGCACACTTCCTTGAGCACCTTGCCTTCAAGGTTCGATATCACAAACCCCAAACTACGAAGCGCTTTTATCTGATGAATATGACTAGGGCACCAACAAGCGCTCCCAGCACCAATTGGAGCTTGAGATCGAGAACATGGGCGCTCACCTCAACGCCTACACTTCGGTACGACCCGGGAAACCACCCAACGTCTACCAAACCAAATACTGATCGCGACTACAGAGGGAAAACACTGTCTACTACGCCAAGGCCTTCAACAACGATGTCCCCAAGGCCGTCGACATCCTCGCCGATATCCTTCAGAACTCCAAGCTCGAGGCTGGTGCCATTGAGCGTGAGCGTGATGTGATCCTGCGCGAGCAGGAGGAGGTTGACAAGCAGCTCGAGGAGGTTGTCTTCGACCACCTTCACGCCACCGCTTACCAGGGTCAGCCCCTTGGCCGCACCATCCTCGGCCCCAAGGAGAACATCCAGACCATCACCCGGGACAACCTGACCGACTACATCAAGACCAACTACACTGCTGACCGCATGGTCCTGGTCGGTGCTGGTGGCATTCCCCACGAGCAGCTCGTCAGACTCGCCGAGGAGCACTTCGGTGGCCTCCCTAGCAAGGCCCCTACCTCCGCTGCCCTGGCCCTCACTGCCGAGCAGAAGCGCACCCCCGAGTTCATCGGCTCCGAGGTCCGTCTCCGCGACGACACCATCCCCTCCGCTCACATCGCTCTCGCCGTCGAGGGTGTTAGCTGGAAGGATGATGACTACTTCACCGCTTTGGTCACCCAGGCCATCGTCGGTAACTGGGACCGTGCCATGGGCCAGTCGCCCTTCCTCGGCAGCAAGCTCAGCTCCCACGTCAGCCACCACAACCTCGCCAACAGCTTCATGAGCTTCTCCACCAGCTACAGCGACACTGGGTAAGTTCTTTTTTGATAATGAATATGTTTAATCGAAAACACGCTGACTTGATATTAGTCTCTGGGGTATCTACCTTGTCAGCGAGAACCTCACTCAGCTCGATGACCTGATCCACTTCACTCTCCGCGAGTGGTCTCGTCTGTGCAACAACGTCTCCTCCGCCGAGGTTGAGCGTGCCAAGGCCCAGCTTAAGGCTTCCATCCTCCTGTCTCTCGATGGCACCACCGCTGTCGCCGAGGACATCGGCCGCCAGATCATCACTACTGGCCGTCGTCTGAGCGCCGAGGATATTGAGCGTACTGTCAGCCAGATCACCGAGAAGGACGTTATGGACTTCGCTACTCGCAAGCTGTGGGATCAGGACCTCGCCATGAGCGCTGTCGGCAGCATCGAGGGTATCCTCGACTACCAGCGCATCCGTGGAGACATGTCCCGCATGATCTCTTAAGTTAGTTTTGAGTATGATCGCGTGTGAAGATAGCTGCTGAATGCTCCAGGAATACTGGGGTCTTTGGCGGCTTTGATTTGAATGTACTATCAATCATTGCCTTGGGCTGTTAGATCCCAAATTCGTGTGTGAAATAGCAATTAATGGTTTGCCATAGTAGACTATATAGTTTGCTGCGTTTGCAGCAAACATACCAATTATCTCCTTTGTTTGTTCTACGTCTTCCAATGCACTGGTTGTTTCCTTTGTAGTGTATTGCCGTTGCCATCGTACTTGCCTCTGCCGCCTTGCTTCTCATTACCTTCGAAGGTCAACCACTTGTGTTTTCCCAACTCAATCACACGTCCTTGTGCTCTTCATCTCGCCGTTCTTCGAATTGGTCATTCGCCGTTAGCTTACAAACTTCAAACCCTGACTAGGTACCTATCTAGGTACTTGGCTTTGACGATTGACATCTATTCTGACTGGGTTCAATTCTTAATCTCGTGCATGCCTCTTCCATCTTCTCATTTGCTGATCATTTTGCATTGCCTCTTTTCCTTGCTGCTTTCTTCTAACTGATATTGATTTTATAGTGACTGAGCTTCTTTCACCATGGCACAATTCTCCACCCTGCCAGCTGAGTTGCGTCAGCTTATTTGGGAATTTACGCTTCCAGCGCGAGTCGTTGAGATGGGAGAACCGTGCGACCCAGATATCATACCAGAGAAAGATCTCAGACAAGCTTGGATACTTAACAAAAAGCATCCAGCCATTGCTTATGTCTGTTGGGAATCCCGCCAAATTGCTTTGGCCAAATCCAAGCTCCCCAGAGGAGTTACTCTTGCGCCGGATTCTATCACAGACGCTCGATGGTGGTCGAAATCTACTGACATTATTCATTTCAATGCTCCCCCTGAGATTATCAATGCTGCACAAAGATGCAGGCTCGCAGATGATCTGCTTGACTTGATGAAAGTTCCTATTCTGCGCAAAAAAGTCTCTATCAATGCGGACATCGTCCACCCTTTTCTGCGTTTCCGTAATAGGTCCGATCTCCCGAGGTCCTTGGTATGGGAAGTAATTTGCTCAATGAAGACATGCATTATCTCCCTACACACCGTCTGTATTCGAGCTACCGTCGAGCAAGCTCGAGAGCTGGGCCTCTTTGGCAACGGCGACGAGCTAGCACAGTTGATCGACCCATTTGACAAGGCAGCTATCCAACGATTCAGACAGCTCTGGAACAACACAAAAAAAGAAGTATCCTCAGTCAAGTTCTTCGACACAATCGAAACTGGAAGATTTACCTTTCGAGTCGAAAGGTGGCTCGCGGAGATGTCAGCGGAGTACATCCATTTCAAATGGACTAGTCCACCGTTTCCAACCCCAAGCCCACGGGATATAACTGCGTTACTTCGTCGATACCCAGATCAAAGACACAGCCCTGAGGCCAGACTATATCTCGTTGGATTTCCCGCTCTGGAGCTGAGGATCATGTTTCGACTCTGCCCTCCTGTAGTGGTCGACCAGGTGATTACATAACCATCCCGCATTTGATGGGAGATTTTTTGAAGACGATTTTGTTTGAAGTACACTTTCCTATAACTCTTAACACATCATAACAATGGGAAAACGTGGCGGCAAAAAGGTAATATTATCTTTCATATGTTCTAATTGATGTGTTTGTTGTACTGACCGTGTCTCCTTTCTTCCAGGGTGGTAGAGGCCGCGGCGGTGGCGGCGCAGGCCGTACGCGCTCTCAATGGCAAGATATCGCTAGAGAGAACGAGAAGTTCGAACGCTACTACAATGAACCCGAGTTCCTCCCGGAGGAGGAAAAGGATGTTTTCTGGGCTACCATGCGCAAGGATCTCCCCAACAGTTTCCGTTTCACTGGTTCTCGAGGGTAAGTCACAACTGGGCTTTTCTTTTTGCGATTTGCGCCACAGGAGGTTTCAATTAATATTAACTATTGTCTGACTCTTATTAGACATGCGCTAGCTGTTCAGCAGCGTCTTAAGGATCACCACATCCCCGAAATCACTTCTATCAAATACGAGGGCGAATATGTCGAGCCCCCACGCCCAGTTTCGTGGTACCCAGACCAGCTCGCTTGGTCCATGACCACTCCTAAGAATGTCATCCGTCGATTTGCGCCCTTTGCCTCGTTCCAGAAATTCCTTGTCGCCGAGACCGACGTCGGAAACATCAGTCGCCAGGAGGTTGTCAGCATGATTCCTCCTCTTCTCATCGATGCTAGGCCTGGAATGACCGTATTGGATATGTGCGCTGCGCCAGGCAGCAAGTCTGCGCAGCTCATGGAGCTGCTTCACGCTGGCGAGGAAGACGCTATTGCGCAAGTCACTGAACAGATCAAGAACGGCACTGCTGGACCCGAACCCCTTGGCCCCGAAGGGCTGAACGATGACGGCCGAAGCACCGGCTTGTTGATTGCCAACGATGCGGACTACAAGCGCGCTCACATGCTTATTCACCAGATGAAGCGCCTGAGTTCCCCCAACCTGATCGTTACCAATCACGATGCCACAATGTTCCCCTCCATCAAGCTTCCTCCTCTGCCCACTACCGATGGTAGTAAACCACCGAACAGGTACTTGAAGTTCGACCGCATCCTGGCAGACGTCCCTTGCTCCGGCGATGGTACAGCACGTAAGAACGTTGGTGTCTGGAAGGACTGGACTCCTGGCAATGCTTTGGGACTTTACAGCACGCAGGCTCGAATCCTGGTTCGCGCCCTGCAGATGCTGAAGGTCGGCGGACGGGTCGTCTACTCAACCTGCAGTCTGAACCCTGTGGAGAATGAGGCTGTCATTGCTTCCGCAATTGAACGTTGCGGTGGCGCTGCCAACGTTAAGATCATCGATTGCAGCCAGGAGTTGCCCGGCCTCAAGAGAGCCCCTGGTCTGAAGACCTGGAAAGTGATGGACCGAGAGGGCCGCATGTGGAACAACTGGCAGGAGATTGAGGAGCACCGAGACCAGGAAGGCATCAACGGTCTTGCTAGACTTGCAGAAGGCATGTTTGCCCCGACAGGCGAGGCTGCCGACCTACCCCTTGACCGATGCATGCGTGTCTACCCTCACCAGCAAGACACTGGAGGTTTCTTCATCACAGTTCTTGAGAAGACCTCCGAAATCAAGGCCAAGCCAGAGAGCAGCAACGTCATCCCCAAGGCTTCCGTTGCAGCGCTCGCCGCGGAGCTCGATTCTAAGAAGAACGAGGTAGATGGAAAGCCTCTGGAGAAGCTCGAGGCGCTGGATGAATTGGTTACTCCTGACCAAGACGCTGAGAAGGAGCTCGCAAAGAATGCTACTGTTGCCGAGGCCGTCCACCAACTTCCGTACTCTGCTACTCTTGATGCATCGACCGCCCCTGCCTCTATCCCTAAACGGGATGCAGACGACCTCGATCTTGAGGAGGAAGTCCCTGCCAAGAGGACTAAGCTTGATGACGGTAGCGAAGTGCTTGTCGGTGACCGTCCCGTCCACGTCCCAGCACCTGCAGTTGGAACTGGCATTGACACCCCTGGTGATAGCACACCTGCTACCTCCGCGGCTACTACACAACCTTTCAAGAAGAAGGGTCCTCGTCAAGAGGAACCATTCAAGTACCTTGATCCCAACCACGAGGAGCTTCTTGCCATCTATAAATTCTACAAGTTGTCGGACCGATTCCCCCGTGACCGCTTCATGGTCCGCAATGCTGAAGGTCTCCCAACCCGAACAATTTACTACACCAGTGCCTTGGGACGTGACATTCTCACCAGCAATGAAGGCCAGGGCATGAAGTTCGTCCACTGCGGTGTGAAGATGTTCGTCAAGCAAGATGCACAGCGTGAGAACGTCTGCAGATGGCGTGTTCAGACTGATGGCCTGAAAATCGTTGAGCCTTGGCTGGGCCCTGAAAAGTCCGTCATCCTGACCAAGCGGGAGACTCTGCGTCGTCTCCTTGTGGAGATGTTCCCTAAGGTCACTGACGATGGCTGGAAGGCTCTGGGCGAGATTGGCGAGCAAGTGAAGGACATTCCCATGGGGTGCAGTATCCTTCGCGTTCAAGCGACCGGCGAAGAAGATGGTCTTCCGTGAGTTCCCCTCCTCTTCATACGAGTGATATTCGCATCTCACTAACATAATCTACAGTGAGGCCATGGTTCTGCCCTTGTGGCGCTCCCTCCATTCTCTGAACCTTATGCTTCCCAAGGAAGAGCGCCGTGCCATGTTGCTGCGTATTTACAACGACTCCACCCCTCTGATCAACACTACACAGAAACAGGGTGGCAAGACCGAGCCGACCGCTGAAGCTGAGGAGGTTGCACTGATGGAAGAGAACATCGAGGTTGGACAGGAAGCGCAGGACGACGTGGATGAGCGTGAGACATACACCAAGGATGGCGATGAGGAGGATCGCTTCAACACGACTGTGTAAATGGTTCTGTTTTTATGCTCCTATTATGGAGATCTATGCTGTATTAAAAAGCCCATGAATTATTCTTTAGCTCCCTTTGTAATTTCTACTCCAATACCCCAACATCGATAGGACTTTATAAGCACCGGCTAAATTCAGACCTCCACAACTCCCCCGCAAGAAATTTGCTTGGCTTTTTAATTTCGAGTTGATCAAATGGACCTAAAATGGCGCCATTAATATTGGGATATTGGTTTGACATGAGTAAAGGGTATCTCCTTAGAGCTATACTCCGTAAAACTCTATAAATCGAATATGGAGCCGACAAGGCTATAACAAAATCAGATATTAGATACATCCATCTGCCATCTGATATGTGGAAAAATAGGCCCCGCAAGAAAAGGGGATCATCGGACCGGTCACCGTGTGAGGTTGGGGACTGGCCATAAGCTTACAATATATCCGGAATTGCCTATAGTGAATTTGGATCTTGGATGTGCTTGCCATTAGAGACTTTAACACAGTTAGAGCCATCGGAATACTCTCTTCTATTGTTTTTATTCGAATATATCTCTTTTCAATAATTAAAATCTTTCAGTATGGCAAATATATACCGTAGTGGAGCTCCCCACACATGCAACACGGAGCATCCGGGGGACACCCCTAAACTTGTCTGGGGTAAATGACGAAAGCTTTGGCCTGGAAAATGGGTCATTGCTACAGTATAGCAATTGCATGTTGAATTGTGTTAATGACCCGAGTATCCGTACTATATGAATGGCGCAACCCCTGCATTACAAGGAAATTGGACTTAATTCCTGCGTCTTTCTCTCCCTAGCACCCCCCTTCACCCCCGTGTGAATTGTCAAGACATGAGGCTCTCGTACTCTTGGACAATTGCTTATCTGGCAGCCCAGGCTGCTGGTGCTGCCATTAGCCATTCCTTGAATGGGTTTAGTATCACCGAGCATCCCGATCCAGTCAAGCGGGATTTACTCCAGAAATATGTATGTTGGGTTTAAGTTTTGGATTTGGATGGTGTTGACAAGTACATCGCTTAGGTCACTTGGGATGACAAGTCTCTCTTTGTCAATGGAGAGAGAATCATGATCTTCAGTGGTGAAATTCACCCATTTCGGTAAGTTGAAAGCATCAATTCGCGTTCTCCAAGCAGTATGCTGATCAAGATTTCTGCAGTCTGCCTGTGCCATCTTTATGGATTGATGTGCTCCAAAAGGTCAAGGCTCTAGGGTTCAACTGTGTTTCTTTCTATATCGACTGGGCTCTGCTGGAAGGTAATCCAGGTCACTATACTGCCGAGGGAGTATTTGCTCTAGAGCCATTCTTTGCCGCCGCCAAAGAGGCTGGCATCTATCTTCTGGCCCGCCCTGGTCCCTACATCAACGCTGAAGTATCTGGTGGTGGTTTCCCGGGATGGCTTCAGCGCGTGAATGGAACTCTGCGAAGTAGCGCCGAGGCCTACCTGAAGGCAACGGACAAGTATGTGACCCTGCCACACCGCAAGACTGGAAGCACCATGAATACTGATATCGTGAACTGTGCAGCTACATGGCCAATGTCGCCGCAACGATAGCCAAGGGTCAAATCACCAATGGGGGACCTATCATTCTTTTCCAACCCGAGAACGAGTACAGTGGCGCATGCTGTGGATACGAGGATTCCTTCCCAGACGGAAATTATATGCAATACGTGCAGGACCAAGCTCGCAATGCTGGAGTTGTTGTGCCTATCATTAGCAACGATGCCTGGGGTGCCGGCCATAATGCTCCTGGAACCGGCGAAGGAGAAGTGGACATCTATGGTCATGACAACTACCCTCTTGGCTTTGACTGCGTAAACCCTTCTGTTTGGCCAGCTGATCTGTCCACTGATTTCTATAAGACACACATGGAGCAGAGTCCTTCTACCCCATACGCTCTGGTTGAGGTAAGATATGATGGATATTTCCCATGTGAATTATCAATCTAACTTGGAGTATAGTTCCAAAGTGGTGCTTTCGATCCCTGGGGAGGTGCTGGGTTCGCCGGGTGTGCTGCCTTCCTGAACCATGAGTTCGAAAGAGTGATCTATAAGAACAATTTCAGCTTCAAAGTTGCAATCATGAACCTGTACATGGTATGTTCCGGCTCTCCCGTCATACCTTCATATTTACCAATTCTAATCTTCGATAGATCTTTGGTGGTACCAATTGGGGTAATCTAGGCCACACTGGTGGCTACACATCCTATGATTATGGTTCCCCAATTACTGAATCTCGCAACATCACCCGTGAGAAGTACAGCGAGCTGAAGCTGATTGGAAACTTTGTCAAAGTGTCACCGGACTACCTTCTACTAACACCGGGAGAGTTGACCACTTCCAAGTACACCACCTCGCCTGATCTGGCCGTGACCCCCCTGGCCGGAGGCGACAACACAGCTACTTCCTTCTTTATTGTCCGACACTCCAACTATGCGAGCCAAGCGTCCGTCGACTATAAGCTCAAGATTCCTACTAGTGCGGGTCAAGTGACTATTCCCCAGCTTGGCGGCAGCCTTACTCTCAGCGGTCGTGACTCCAAGGTTCATGTCGTTGACTATGATGTAGCAGGCACCAACATTCTCTACTCTTCGGCTGAGGTGTTTACCTGGACAAAGTCTGATAAATCCAAGATCCTTGTTCTGTATGGTGGCCCTGGGGAGCACCATGAGTTGGCTGTCTCTTCTAAGTCGAAGGCCTCGGTTGTTGAAGGGTCATCGTCGAGCATCACCACTAAGCAGGTGGGTAAGGCTGTTGTTATCGGCTGGGATGTCTCCACCACTCGCCGTATCGTGCAAGTGGGTGATTTGAAGATTCTTCTTCTGGGTAAGTGCTTCCTCGCATACCGCCCTGCTTCATAGTACCTGACTCAACTACCAGATCGGAACTCTGCATACAACTACTGGGTCCCTCAGCTCCCAACTCAGGGCAAAAACCCTGGCTATAGCACCCAAAAGGCCGCTGCATCTTCTCTCATCGTCAAGGCTGGCTACCTCGTGCGGACTGCTTATGTGAAGGGCAATGACCTTCATCTCACTGCTGATTTCAACGCCACCACCCCAATTGAGGTGATTGGCGCCCCGTCCAAGGCCAAGAACCTGGTCATCAACGGCGAGAAGGCGCATATCAAGGTCGACAAGAATGGAATCTGGTCCAGCAGTGTCGCTTACACAGCACCGAAGATCAAGCTTCCGGATCTGAAGAGTCTGAAGTGGAAGTCTATTGATTCCCTCCCCGAGCTCCAAGCTTCGTACGATGATTCCAAATGGGTTTCGGCAAAACCCTTCACCAAAAACAGCGTCACTAAACTCAGGACTCCAACTTCACTATTCTCCTCTGACTACGGCTTCCACGCTGGAACATTCCTCTTCCGGGGTCACTTCGTCGCAACCGGCAAGGAGAAGACTTTCTTCGTGCAGACCCAAGGTGGCAGCGCATTTGGCAGCTCTGTATGGCTGAACGAGAACCACATAGGCTCATGGAGCGGGATTGACGCTGACGCCAACCACAACGGAACCTACACGCTACCAACCCTGAAGAAGGGCAAGTCGTACGTGCTCACCGTAGTCGTGGACAACATGGGTCTAAACGGAAACTGGGTCGTCGGCGAAGACACATTGAAAGTCCCCCGCGGAATCCTGAACTACGAACTGTCTGGCCGCTCCGCGAGTGACATCACCTGGAAGCTGACTGGCAACCTGGGCGGCGAGGATTACGAGGACCAAGTGCGCGGTCCGCTCAATGAGGGTGGCCTCTACGCCGAGCGTCAGGGCTTTCACCAGCCCAAGCCGCCGACCCAGAGTTGGAAATCCAGCAGTCCCTTCGATGGCATTTCGAAGCCTGGAATCAACTTCTACAGCGCAAGCTTCGATCTGGATGTGGAGAAGGGATGGGATGTTCCTATGTACTTTAACTTCGGAAACTCCACCTCGTCGCCGGCTTACCGTGCCCAGCTCTATGTTAACGGGTACCAGTACGGCAAGTATGTGAGCAACATTGGTCCCCAGACCAGTTTCCCCGTTCCCGAGGGTATTCTTAACTACCGGGGTACCAACCACTTGGCTTTGAGTCTGTGGGCGCTTGAGTCGAAGGGTGTCAAGTTGGAGAGTTTCGATTTGATTCATACTACTCCTGTGCTGACGGCGCTGGATGAGGTTAAGCCGGCGGGACAGCCTAAGTATAAGAAGCGCAAGGGGGCTTATTAGGTGTTTAATGAGATAAATAGTTCAGATGAGAGTATGCCTTATAAGAGAATAAGTGCAAGACCAAACAGAAATGTTATGAATATAATGTTCCTAATACTCTAGGCAAATAGAGCGAAGTATGAAAAAGTTAGGGCTTCCAACTCCACTTCTCCGCAGATCCCAGCCACCCCCAACCTCCTCTTATCTTCTGCCTTCGCTGTGACATTTACTCCGTACAGGCATTTTTCTTTCCTTGGGCTTTTCAATTGTTCTTAATAATATCTTCCTTGTACTCCATATTTCCAACAAAACCCACTCCGACACCGCATATGCCATCAAACCCCACAAGCGCATCTCAGCTGGCAGACTGACCTCAAATCATCCATTCGCTCGAATCAAAATACGAAACCCCTCACACAATCACCTCGACATCTACGCATCCTCCCAGTCTCAAAACCAATAACCAAACAACCAGACATCATGTCAACCCACCCTCTCGATGGCCTCGGCCTCGACCTAGACCCAACCAAACCCAATCTCAACGCAAGAGATCTAAACCCAAACCTCCTGCACACCGACACCTCCCTCCAAAAACGCTATACAACAATCTCAATCCCCTCAACCTACGGACGCATAAACACAAGTCCCGCGGCAGGTACCGTAGTGGGCATCGTACTGGGCAGCGTAGCAGGCTTCGTCCTGCTAATGTACGTCCTCTTCCTAGCGGTGAACCCAGGGGGCATCGCGCGAGGTGGAGTCGCAGCGCCAACCTCATCCTCAATATCGATGTCGATGTCTATGTCGATGGACGACGAAGAGATTGTTGAAGTGCGCAATCGACGCGGGTCATTGGCCGGTGGACGGCGACGACGCGACGTCATCGAGGTCACTGAGGAGCGGGATACTTTCCGTGATAGTTATCGGCGTCGGCCTTCGTCGAGACATGATCGGGTTGTTGTTGAGGAGTCTTTGGCTACTTCTACGTCCGGGGAGATGGATGGGGATGTTATTGAGGTTGAAGAAGAGGAATCTAGTGCGCCTTCTGATATTTCGCCGCGTCCACCGCGGAGATCCAGAAGGGGTGGGGTTAGGCATGTTGATCCCCTTGCCTATGGCGGGGGAAGTGATTATAGTAGTCAGAGGTGATTGGGGAGGTGTTTGTTACGAGGCTTGGATGCGATACCCTTTTTATGTTTTATGTTTTATGATTTATCTCTTTATTGATTGATGATGCTGGGGATAATGGCATGGATTTAATGCTTGTCTTGTCTTGATATTGCGCATGTATTTCCCCTCAAGTCGTATCTATTGGATCTACTTAATCTATAAAACTTCTTAAAGTTGTTTTAGGACTGTACTGTTGGATAGCAGCTGAAAAGGATGAATTAGGTAGAACATAGTATACCGGTTCGAGGAAGGGTGAACAAAAAGTAGGATAGAGAATAGAATTGTAGTATAATCGATGCCAAATCCAGAGGACCTAACCTTGGAAGAACGCCTGTCCTGTTTTGCGCCAGTGATAAGTAATAAAAGTGAAGGATATATACGGAGGGAAGAAAAAAAAACAAAACCCAGCATTCACCAAACAGTACCAAATCCCGAGTCAAAAGCCACAGGAAAACGCCAGCCTCTATCTCTCGAGATTTTCTCAAGAGTGCAGCATGTGCATGGCATGGCGAGTGGACAACGCATTCCAACACCGGCCAAAAATCAACCCCCAGTAGCGTAGTCGCGTATTAAACGCCAAGACCAAAAGTAGGTCTAAAACAAGATATCCAAGCAGCAGCAACAAGCCATGGCAGCCATGATACCCGCGCAGATACCACCTGCGCCACCGCCGGAGTTCCCGCGGTCATTGGCATAGTAACCCTGTTGTTGTTGAGGGGGGGTAGCCCTGGCCCTGCTGCGGGGGGTAGTACATTGGCTGGCCCTGGGGGTAATAGCCCTGCTGTGGTTGTTGTGGCTGACCATAGCCTTGCTGGGGTGGGTAGTAGCCCTGCTGTTGGGGCTGGCCGCCACCGTAGTATTCGTTCGCGGCGCCGGGGCTTTGGCCTTGCGGTGGCGGGTAGTAGGGGCCGGCGTCGTGGGCCTGGGCCGGGTAGGAGGGTGGAGGGCTTGTCTGCAGGAGATCAATTTTAGAATTTATGTTTAAGGATCGTTTGCGATTGATTGCTTTTGAAAACTTACGGGCTTGTTGTAAGACATGGTGGGAATTGAAGGTGGAGTTCTCGGGAGATGTCAGGCTTAGTGCTGACTTGGGGAGATTGCGCTGAAAATGTGGATATGGGATATTTTCTCTGCCTGATGACTTCTATGAACTCGAACCCCGCGAACGGTAAGGAGAGAGAGGAGATCGAGGTAATAGAAATAAAGAGGAAGTGCCGGAATCGAGAAAGACTTGCAGTGGCGCAGTTTGGGGCTTAGTCAACCGATTCCCTGGGTTTTCCGTTCCAAGATTTTATACTTACGCGGCCTCGTCTTAAGTTGTTACCAAGAATAATGATATTTAGATGGGTTGCTTCATTAGAAGGATATACATATGTTGTATGGAATACGTCCAGGAAATAGAGATGTCTTGCTAGATATCCTTTCGATGCTTGTCACTCTAGGTCAGACGGCAAAATACCAGACTGTTCCATATATAACTAGGGACATGGGCATAGTCTATCACCTAACCCGACTCGAAATGACAGCCATTCATAGATTGGATTCATCTAGACATACAAAGACACAGCCATTATGTAAAATCACAGGCAACCCCCCATCGCAATCCCCCAAAGCAGGAGAAACTTCGCGCCTGTACGCCATGCTGCCCATAATACAAGGGGGAGACCAAAACTTTTTTTGTGTTTGTTGAATGTGAGTCAATGAGAAAAAAAAATAACTCCCAAGTGTCCACTTCTGTAGCTGCTCTTTCTTGACTGCCAATTGGGTATTTCCTGCAGAGCCGCGTAGTATGGAAAGCGGTAATATCGGAGACAGTGAAGTGGACCCGATGCAATTCGAATTTGCGAGGTTGAGGTTCACAGGAAGCGGATTTTTTTTGACTCTCTGGGTTTGCAAAACCCCCAAATGAGAGAAAAAGAAAAAAAAAAAGAAGAGAAGGATCTAGCATCGGTCTATGCTGAAGATTCGTATATCAATCTTCCTGTCCCATTCTTAGCAACCTTGTTACGCAACTTAAATAACCCAGCGGTAACTGGCATAGCGACCTGCAGTCTCAGACTTGCGGATGATCTTAACGACCTGACCACGGCGCAAACCAAGATAGCGGGCGACAGGATCGGAGATCTGTATGCGGGGCAGCTGGGACTCCTTCAGACGGTAGCGCTCGAGAAGCTTGGCCTTTTCCTCGGGGCTAAGCAGGACGTGCTTAGGGACCAGCTCGTGGCGGGTGATGTTGACGAGCAGATCCTGTTCCTGGAAGTGCTCGCAGATGCGGCCGGGGACGCCGGAAAGCAGGCGCACGGCAGAGGGCGAGATGGGTGTCTGCGTGATGAAGATACCAGTGTGGAAGTTGTTCTCATCGACAAGATGGTTGAAGGCGCGCACTTGCTTGGTTCCGACACCTGAGGAGTCGGGGCAGAAGTCGACATAGATTGTGCCACAATCGGGCTGGGGGTTCGGGTTTGCTTTGCTGGGCAGCGCTGTGTATTTCAACTTCATGGTGTCGGTGGGGCGGGCTTGGATTTTCATCTTAGTGCGACTGTTGTTGCGGAACGGTTTGTTAGTGATGTGTGCTTCTTCAATTATGTGTGCCGGCATTGCTTAGCTCAAGTTTTCACTCTCTCAAGACAATGGGACGGTGGAGGCAAGGATTTTGCATACTCAGGGTAGCCCAGAGGGTCAGCATATTTTGCGCGGAAGTCTTCTAGCGGGAGTACCAGCTCGTTATCAGACACTTCGTAGCCCTGGTGTGTCGCCGATGGTTAGCCTTGGGTAAATGGGCGTTATGGGAGAGACACTGAGAAGTCAGGGACTCGATCTGAAGTGCCTACCCGATCAGCGAGCAGTTCATAGACTGTTCTAAAGGTGCGCCAGAGCCGAGTCATCTCGCGCTCGGCCTCCATGGAGTGTGCTGAATCCCCATCCATAATGGAGTGAGTAGTGGACTAGATTAGAAAAGGAAATAAGTGGTTATCCCGTCAAGAGAGCAAAGAAAAAAACGGGTAGAAAGAGCTCCGGTGGAGAGATAAAGGTGAAGTCGAAAAATCGGCGGGAACTTTCTGCCAGCGACACTTAAGCGGAGAAACCGACCGAACCATTTTAATTATCTCAAGTTTCCCCTTTTTAGTTTCCTTTTGGTCTCGTTGGTCTATTTAATCCCTTCAGGTTCCTCAGAAGGCAATTCTTCCTTCTCTGTCTCTCTTTTTACATTCAATTCGTCGCAATGGCTGCCACTGATGCGGAGCGGGTTAAGCCCACCAAGCCCGATGAGGCCGCCTACAAGGCCAGTCTCGCTGAGGCTGAGAAGGAGCACACTGCTGCTCAGGAGAAATTGGTACGGAAGCCTTTCTTTTTTTCTTCTTGGAATTGTCACTTGAGCCTTCATCTGACTCTGGGTCGCGGGGATGATCCCGACCCACTCTGATTGTTGATTGTTGTGTTCATTATTTACTTGCATACCATGTCCTCGGGCCAATGACTGATATGCGCAACAGAACCAAATCAAGGCCAAGTTGGACAACGCAAAGCCGAACAACCAGGATTCGCCTACCGTTAAGAAGCAGCAGGAGCTGCGCGCCGAACTCTCAGCCATTCGTCAGAAGCAGTCCGGCTTCAAGTCCAGCCGGTCCTCCACCCAGGAGAAGATCAATGCCCTGGATGCCAACCTCAAGGCCCGCATTACCGAGCAGAACAACTCTCGCGGACGTCTGTCTTTCAAGAGCGTCGAGGAGATCGACAAAGAGATCGCCCGCCTCGAGAAGTCGGTCGACTCTGGCACCCTCCGCCTGGTGGACGAGCGCAAGGCCCTCACCGAGGTCTCCAACTTGCGCAAGCAGCGCAAGAGCTTCGCCGGCTTGGACGAGGCACAGAAGGGCATTAACGATATCAAGGCACAGATCTCCGAATTGCGCAAGACCCTCGACAACCCCGAGGCCAAGGCGCTGAGCGACAAGTACGCCGAGATCCAGAAGGAGCTCGATGCCATTAAGGCCGAGCAGGACGCTGTCTTCAAGAATCTCAATGCTTTGCGCGATGAGCGCACCAAGCTGCGTAACGAGCAGCAGGAAAAGTATACTGCTATCCGTACCATCAAGGACACCTACTTCAAGGCCCGCCGTGCGTACAAGGAGTACGAGGATGAGGCCTGGCGTGTGCGCCGTGAGCGCCAGAAGGCTGAGCAGGAGGCCTTCTTGCGCGAGAAGCGCAAGAAGAACGCTGATAAGAAGCTTGAGGAGGCCTCGCAGCTTGCCTATGCCGACGAGATCCTGACTGCACAGGGTCTGATCCGTCACTTTGACCCCGCCTATGACTTTACCGCTCTGGGTCTGAACGAGAAGAAGGATGAGGGCAGCAACTTCCGTGCCGGAGTTGGCCGCACTGTTGAAGCCGCCGAGATCAAGGGAATGAAGGTCGTGCGCAAGAACGACGAGGAGGACTACTTCACCGGTTCCGGTGGCAAGAAGGGTAAGAAGGGCGGCAAGAAGGGCGGCGCCGCCCCTGCTGAGAGCACCAAGTTCAACATGAATGTTGGTATCATTGAGGATTTCGCCAAGGTCAAGATCGACCCTCCCATGAACCAGGCGGATGTCCCCGCCTCCGTGGAGAAGCTGGCTGCCAAGATCACCGAGTGGAAGAAGAACCAGGCCAGCAAGACCGCAGAGGTAAGTTTTATTTTTTCCGAAGTCGATTGTGATCAGTTGCTAATGAACCCGCAGAACATCAAAAAGGCCCAGGAAGAGATTGCCCGCATCGAAGAGGAGGAGACCAAGGCCAACGCCCCCGCCCCCATCCCCCAGACCAACGGCCGGGCCACCGATGCTGCCAAGAAGCCCGCTCAAGAGAACGGCGCTCCCTCTGCTGAGGCTGAGCTGGCTCAGGAGCACGATGCCGTGGCCGACGTCGAGGAAGAACTCAAGCAGGCCTCGATCGAGGAGAAGGCATAAATTCGAGGTTATCCGTACATGCTCAATGCGTCAACTTATACACGAAGTCTAGCGTTTGTCTAGCATTCTCTCTGCGCCTTTTTTTTTATTTTATTTTTTGCCGTTTGGTTCTTGCATATGCATTATATCTGAGATTCATAAATGGACAGCTGGTTGTTTCCCAAATTCATATAATCGAAGCCTTTTTATTTTACCATTCAACTTCCAAAGGACTCTAGGAGAAAGCCCGATCGTGCTCTCATCATGTAATTGTATTGAATTAACTCCCCAAAGGGTTATTTCTCAGTATGCTGTAGATGTATGTAGATAGTAGTTATGTAAGGGCACATTATTAGCAAGCCAGAGTCATGCCCGAGGGATTGGAAGTATCCAACGGATCTCGGGAGGTAACACCACCAACGCCAACGCTGATAATCGCAAGAGGGGGAATAGAACAGGAAGCAGTATACAGTAAACAAAGAAGAATATTCCACAGGAGACAACCAGTCTCACCCCAAGTCCAAGAAAAACAAAGGAAAAAAAAAACCAAGGGAAAAATGCCATCACATCATATCACGTCACATCGTATAAAGTGGTTAATGATCAGGCCGCGATAACAACCCACCAACATCATGAAGCTCAACATGAGCATCGATCGTTAAATCCGAAGAACCAGACACCGAAACCAAACGAGAACCGAAAGCCGCCGCAGGAAACGGCAATTCCGCAGGGCCAGAAAGCGGCGGCCGAAGTCCAAACGTCGCACGCGGGACCACAATCCCCAAATCTTCCAAAAAAGCCCTACTCCCGCCGCTTCTCCAACGCGGCACGTTCTCCTCGGTCTGGGCACGCACATGACCAGACCCAGACTCGGGTAGTGCTCTTGTCAACAAACCGCCGACATCTGAGAAGGAGACGCGTCGCGGCACCTCTGATGTCGGTGAGATTTCGCGCGGGGACTGGTTTGTGCGTAGGTACTCGCGGGGCGAGATTTTAGGCTCGAGACTATCTGTTGTGGATGTGTGATCGTCGTCTGAGCGACGGGTTGTTGCGAATGACCATGCTGGATCGAGGGTTCCTGTTCGTGCGACTGCTAGTGGGATGTGAGCTGGTGGGGCGACAGGTGCTGGTCTGGGTAGACGTGTTCCGTCTGAGGATCCTGGGATGGTGTAGATATCTGGGTCTAGACGGATGCATAGACCTGTTGCGAGTTCGGAGTCTGAGCCCCATTGATTTTGCATGACGGTGTTTCTGCGGATGTATGATTTGTCCATACTTTCGGAGACAGAGGCTGAGCCTTGTGCTCGTTTGTATTTTAATTTCTTGAGGCCGCGGTCTCGGACGAAGGAGCCTATGACTAGGACGTTTGAGACTGCTGTTGCGGCGAGGATTTCGAGGGAGGCAAGGAGGGAGCGATATGGTTGGGAACCGTTGTGTTCAATTACTGAGGGAACGCGGTAGGTGGTTATGGCGACCAATATCAGGGATAGACAGAAGAGGATTGATAGGGCGAGTTTGCGCCTTAGAGGCATTTGGGCCATGAGGATGATGGGTACTGGGATGGCCACGAGTAAAAGGTCGGTGATCACGTCACAGGATCCCATTGTTATTAGGTTGATATACCCAGTGCGGCAGGTTGGGCCTGGGTCTGGGATGACCTGCCAGTAGTGGCTAAAGGGTTGGCATTCGGATAGGGTTGCGATGACCACGGCTACTAGGGTTGAGAAGAGGAAGAAGGAGATGAAGCGGAGGAAGAAAGTTGTTGACCGGCGCCAGGTCAGCCCTGTGACTCGCTTTAAGAATTCACACACCGTCACTTTGGCCGTCCAGATGCTATAGTCGTCGGTGGTGAGTCATGTTGAACTAGATCCAAGGTGAAGACGAGGGTGCATTGTATCTTACAAGATAGCGTAGAATATCCGCGCAGCAAGAACCAGCTTACTGCCCAGCTCTCTATTCGAGATCTCCTTCTCTGTCAGGCCTGTGGTGGTGGTATTGTTGGTCCCCAATATGAGAACAAAATGCACCAGGACCATGCGAATCAACAGGGGAATAACACTGATCATCATGACCTTGTCCTCGGTAAAAAAGCGTTCGACACGAATATAACGACCAAATAGGCGTACGATGATGATAATCAACGAGAATAGGGTAGCCCACCAGCTCATCATTAGGGTCGGATTGATCTCATTTCTGGTCTGTATGCCTGGCGGGGTGTCATGGTATATGCCACGCGTGACAAGTGACATGGCCGTGGAGGCCATAGAGGCCATGATGGCGAAGAAAAACAGCAAGGAAATACAGCAGTCTCTCGCAGAAAGCGATACACACGGTGCTTTACATTGCTCACACGTGCTAAAGTGTGGGGGGTAACGGTTATGGGGCGAATTGCGGAGACCAAAATGAAGGTCAGGACGATCCTAAGATCTCATCGAGAGAGAGAGAGACGGTACGTCCTACTTCGTTAATAAGTCGGGAGATATAGGGGAGGAGTTAATAATTAATATGAATAGGTTTCAAACAACCTTCGAGAGGGGAAGAGATGTTCAGATAAGCCCATATGACCACTGAAATGCGACTGGCTAATCTGGGAAACTCATATCACATTTGCTATTAAGCGTCTCACTTTAGATGCGGTGAGCGCGTAACACGTCTAAACACCACAATGAACATTCATCATACATTGACATTATTTAAATGGAGAGGTTCCCTGTTAGGAACGGAAGGAACGGAAGGAAACGGCCTTGGCTACAATCAAGTCAGTGTATAATGAATAGTATTTTAACAGAACATATAATGAATAGTATTTTAATAGAACACGTGGACTGTTACTTGTTTCGAGATAAAAGGCCCACGTTGCATCCCAAACACAGAATAGAAGATAAGCGAGTTAACAGTTATATATTCTATTTTATCTTTTTAGCCCCCAAGATCGAAATGTGACTATGTTATCTTCCTAAACCTTATGACCTCCAAGATAATTTAATAGCGCAACCCTTATCCAACCACAGCGGCCGCCGACTCCTCCCGCCTCTCCTCGTCCCGAAGGGACTTGATTCCAGCCCCAGCACGCAACCCATCCAAGACAGTCCGTAACTCCCGAAGGAATTTGGTAACCTCCGGCTCGGTACCGACCGTGATACGGAGACAGCCCTCACAGCCAAGTTCCTTTCCACGGAAGCGGACCACTACACCACGCTTCTCCGCCATGGCCTCGTAAGCAGCAAGCGCAGTCACGTTACTGGGTCGGCCCTCGGCGTCCAGGATCTGCACGAGCAAGAAATTCGCGTCGCTGCCGCCAAGGAACTGACCCACACCGGGAATCGCCGGTAGTTCACGGAGCAGGCGATCGCGTTGCGCGATGATCTGCGAACGGAAGCTGTGCATCACCGCCATATTTGGTGCTGTGAGGGCCGCCGAGGCCAGCGCGCTTGTCGGGCTGGAGATGTTATAAGGAGCTTTGAGGCTGTTGAGGAGACGGGCGACCTCCACGCTGGCGTAGGCCACACCGAGACGGATACCAGCCAGACCGAAGGCTTTGCTGAGGGTCTGCATGACAACTAGGTTGGGCCATTCGGTCACCCACTCTGCCAGGCTGGACCCTTCGGGCGCAAAGTCGATATACGCCTCGTCGACCACCACGATGCCGTTCCAGGTCGGGTGCTCGAGGACCTTGCGGATATCCTCTTTGTGGATCAGATTCGCTGTCGGATTGCCTGGCGAGCAGATGTAGGCCAGCTTGATCGAGGGGTCGGCTGATAGGGCCTCGTTGACTTTATCGGCTTGCAGGTGGAAGCCGTTTGCGGTGTCTAGTGGTACCTTGACGATCTCGACATCGTTCACCTGCGCGCTGACGCTGTACATTCCGTAGGTTGGGGGACATGTGAGGATCTTGTCTTTGCCGGGGACGCAGAAGCAGCGTAGAAGCGCGTCAATGGCTTCGTCTGAGCCAACGCCGCAGAACATGTGCTCGGGGAGGAGGGTCTTTGCGGTGTGGTGGTGGGTATTGCGGAGGTTGCAGAAGAGCTGCTTCAGCTCAATCTGGTGACTGAGAGACGCATTATTAGTCCAATTGGTCTCGTAGATGAGACGCGACAGTGGAATTTCGCTCACGGATCGGGGTAGCGGTTTAGGCCGAGGAAGTCAATCTCCGGCTTGGAGGCTCCCGTGGCATTATCAGTCTGGGATTGCAATGCTCCCTCGTTGTTCAGTGCAAGACCAGGACCGAAGGCATTCTCGTTGGCGTCGAGAAGGACGTTCGTCCCATCATCTTTGTAGTCACTGACTCATTAGCTCGCTGGTATCGGTGATTCGGAAAGGGTAGCATACTCTCTGGCGCATCGGTAAGGCTGCAATGCCAGGATATTAGGACGGGCGCATGTGGCCAAATTAAAGGGAGATGAAGCCATTGTGGTGAGGAATGTGTGTTGGAGTAGAGTTGGTGGGGTACCCGGGGGGTTTTATCGGAACTCTATGAGTCAAATGCCGATCTATACACTCCGAGTCACACACTTCGAGTCACACACTTCGAGTCACACACTTCGAGTCATACATTCTAGATTACAACTAGAATATGAGGACCTGTGAGAATGGCCGTCTTTTCACCCGTAACTTTGGAGGGCGAGCCGGCGCTTCATCGCCCTCCAGTACCATCACTATTTTGCACCCAGCGCCGTTAGTCATCATCTTCCAGCCGCGGTGATATTTGGCCGTTCAACAGTCCCTTGGATTCCACCTGCCACTAAAACGACGCCGAAAATGGTATAAGATGCCTCTTCTCCCTCTCTCATGTTGTCCCAGTTCTCTTCTCATCCCTAGACTGCGACATCGCCCATGGACCCTTTTAATAAACAAAATTTTGTACCAGGTAGTAACCAAGAAACCACTACTTATCAGCGGGTACATGGTTCTATTTTGATAACAGAGATGAGGATAACCTTAAGATCTAGAAACAGCTAAGACAATTGTAGAATTAAACCAGCCAGCTAAAAGCTATGGGCCTGACAAAAGATGATCCATGCCATCAAATCTCCTCCTTTTCATCATCTTCTGCTTCTGATCCATTACCGTCGCCGAGGGGACATCACCTTCCCTTTAATCAGTCACATCTTGGACAAGTAGCCAATCATCATCAGCGAGATCCGTGTCTGGGTGATCATCTGTTAGAAGATCCAAGATTACCGCAGCGTATTCCTTCGTGGTTGCCACTGGGATGGGCCATGACCATTTCGCAAGCATATTTAGCATGTCATAAAGCTTGCCCTTGTCGATAGTATCAATGTATGGCGAGTCCTCAGGCGGTATGAGGCGTATTCCTTGAAATCCAAAATGCGGGTGAACTGAACATGGAGTTGCCCATCAAAATATCCAGCTAGGACCCGAGAGTGCCCGTACTGGTCGAAAATGATAAGCAGTGTCTAAATCAGGTATGAGCGCTATGAGGCACCAAAATTTCCATGACTAAGTAGCTAGCTTACCGGAAACATATCTTCTCGACGTGGTCGTTCCTCGCGGATTGATAGGTTCTCTTGCCACATAGAATCCAACATAGCACATGCTAGGCCTGCGACTTCATCTCTCGAGGGGCGCGAATTATCGCCACATGTACCGACATCAGCTACAGCCCATATGTAAGTCTGTTTGTCTAGTGTACCGAGTTTTTTTGGCCAACAAGTCCGTAGACTAACGGGTACCATTTTCAAAGCTTCGAACTTTTCACCTATACACGAGTCGTTGTGAGTAGCACATACCCTGTTAAAGGTCTTACTAAAGAAGAGTAAAGTAAGGAGAGTATCACCTATTTGCGCACAAAGGTAGAAACTTATCGCTAATCCAGCAGTAGTTATTGAGTATCCCGTTCTCGAAACCTCTGAATTCATCTTCGAGGTCCTTGCTTCCTTTGAACGAAAAGGCATTGAAATCGAGCGACAGGCAGTGTGGGAAAATAGCAAGGCTACCGCCACTACGGTTATTATCTCTCGTCAAATAGGATAACATCTCCTCGGCACCTCCAAAAACATCAGGGTAGAAATCATTTGCCTTCAAAAGTTCGGGAAAATCGGTGTTTGGAAGGAAGCAAGAAATAGACGAGGGTGAAACGTCGCCAGTCTCGATATCTAGATAATAAAACTGGATCCGAAGGTCTGATAGTTCCTCATCAGAGATGACTGGATTGTAGTCAGGTGAGCAGAAACATAACGATTCCGGGTCCGAAGGAACAGGACGTAGGGCTCGTAACCCAAATCTCATTGCCGGTAAGCGCAGGACGCCCCTGGCCGGTGTCTAGCTTAGGACATCCCTGATTGTCCAAGTTGAAAAAATGATCCAGGTGAACCGGTGTCCATGTTGATGATAAGCGTTAGGTTGTATGAGATAGTAGAAGGACATCAAAAATGGGTGAGGCTGTCAGTGGAAGAACACTAATCGTGAAAACGGTGCTGAAATAATGGTGACCCCTGGACGGAATTTCTAGATTCTACGTCAGAATGGAATACTAATCCTATTTCGAACATTCATGCCAAATTCGTTAAAGTAGCTGGGAATCCAGTGATCTATGGTCCCGTACCAATCTTAACCCCTAGACTCACGTAGAATGACCTTTAATATCGAGTGATACTTCGCGGTGGAAAGGTGTAGTATCGTCTTGGAACTGCTATACTTATTTAGTATCGGAACTTCGGAAAAGATGTGATGGATAAGGTTCGAAGCTTGAGAGGCCAAGGAAACAAGGAAGCTATCTACATGCAATACTAAAAAACCGTGATGAAAACGACACACTTTTATAGAGCATAACTCCTTTACAGATGTTGATCTTGCTAAAACGCAAGCTCCTTCGCGGTATCAGACAATTGATCCAAGCTGCTTATCCAAGTGAAGATTACCAGCTCACACCATCACCCAAGCCTCCACCTCAGGTAGAGACACCGATTCCGGGGGGAAAAACCGCTCGCGAGCTTTTTGGTACATGAGCTTCCCTGATACACCATGGGGAACCTCCTCCCCAACTCCCACAAGCCGGAGAAGGGTCGGAAGCTCATGCTCGGTGAGTGAATGCGCGAGATCTCGTCGTAGGGCCGCCAGGCTCAACGTGCCTCGTTCTTGGGAATCTATCGCACCGGCCTGTAAACGCACCAGAGCTGCGATATGATTGACATACTTCGGATCTGGGACCGCGAAGATGTGCCCTTCTGCCACCTCGGGGAGGTCCAGGAGAGCTTTACTGATCTTGGGCGCTGATACCCTGCCACCGAATGTGGGGATGACTATGTACAGCGTGGATTAGCTTGAACAAACCCCAGAAATAAGAGAGAAATTTCCCGGAATACTCACAGTCACATTCGACCCTACCTTCAATCTCATACACGCTGCCGTTGTAGCGGACGATATCGCCGGTGCGGAAGAACCCCTCGTCATCAAAGGCATTGCATGTACTCTTGGGATTATCCAGGTACCTGTAGACGCAAATTAGATTGTGCAAAGGCGCAGCCTGTGGCTGGGGACATACCCTGTAAAAAGCACAGGAGTCTTGACGAGCAGCTCTCCTCTGTTGCCCTCACTCAGCTTAAAGTCTATTCCGGGCACAGGTTTTCCGATAGTTCGCTAACCCCTCATTATCAGCCTCGCCATGGACAATTCTTATTCGCAGAAACATAAAAGATACCTACCTCCACGAGAGTATCCTCCCCCAACGCTTTGAACGGCGAGATCCCCATCTCCGTCCCACCATAGATAACAGTCACGCATCGCCCACCTAGCATATCTTGCCAAAACATTTTGACCTCCTGCAGCATCACCTGCCCACCAGCGGTCGCTTCGCGCAGCTGGCGTGCCCCAGCGCAGTACTCTTCCCGCTCGATGGAGGGGAGCATACTTAACTTATCGCGGTACACAAGCATTAGTTTCCGCCATATGGTCGGCAACAAATGAAGTACGGTGATCCCGCCTTGTCGCAGACGCTCCCAGATCATGTCCGCATCCACCAGATATGGCCACAGCTCAATTCGGATGCCCCGCAGAAGCATGTTGACCATCAGGCGGATGGCTCCGATATAACCTGCTGCTCGGGCGAAGAGGAGGGCGTCGGCCTCGGTCCCAACAGGATCGACGTCGGCGTTGAAGAATTGCCTTGAGTGAAGGACGCCTTTGGGTGGACCCATGGTTCCTGAGGTGAAGAGGAGAAGCGCGGTGCGCGTGGATGGGAAATGGGTCGGTTGATCTGTGGCGAACAGGAGACTTGGGGAGATGTCACCAGCGTGAGCGCTAATGGCAATGGACTGGATTTCCCGGCCGTTGGTGAGCAGGGCGCGGCGCCGGATGAACCACATGAGTTCGGCTTGCTGTGGGCTATATACGACACATGCAGCGTTGGATTTCGCGATGCGGCCGCAGGTTGCTTCAGCCGGCTCGGCTGTGGCTATATATGTTTCTTTTTAGCCACGACTGTTGTCCCAGGGGAGGGTGATTGCGGGAATATACATAAAGGAACAATCATGCCACCGAGAGACAGGATTGCCAGAAATGCCACGACAAATTCCACGCTGGCTGGGGCGAGGATTCCTATACCGATAGGTTCGCGAAGCATCTTGCTGCTATCCAGGGCGGCTTGGGGCAGTCGCTGCTGAAGGAGTTGCCGGAATCGAAGCACCCCCGACATCAACTGTCGATAGGTGATTCTAATGCCTGAGATATCATCACTGATTATGACACGGGGAGGACCATTGGCAAATTCAACCAGACGTTGGAAGAAGGGTTCGTTGGGGAAGCTCATGGTGGAATTCACCTAAATGTAGCATAGAATGGTGGGCATAAAATAAAATATGGAGTAATCAACGGCAGGAAAGATAGTATATCTCATCAATTGTTCCCAGGGGCCTACAGGCTCACCGCTGCTTGTGATCAACATTATGATCAGCTCTCTAAGGACATGAGGAGTCATAAATATAGGCTCGGATTTTTTGGTTACGGCCAAGATGATCTACATGAATACGGAGTATCCATCCATATATTGGTGGGTCTCAACGCTACTAAATCGATGATCGATCTCGGAAGTTTATTCATCTTTCGATTTAGTTTTTTCTGTCTTTCTTCCTCTGTTCACAGCTACCTTTTGCAGGACACCAAACAGCACCGCTCCATCATGCCTCGTCCTATGATCTCCCAAGCAGCCAGTCTACCCAATGATCCCTTGTTCAAACAACTGCTTCACAATTCCCAGGTCAACCCTAACATCCTGATCCATGATCCAACTTATAACAAGGATGCCACTACAGCCCAATTACTTCGCGATGTAGTGGCATTTCGGGACAAAATCCTCTCACAGCTACCCCGACACTACTTAAACCACCGAGGAAGACTCCAGACCCCGGGAGTCTATATGGCTATCCTCGCCCCCCTGAGCTACGACTTTATTGTTGCTTTGTACGCCGTCATCGCCCTAGGCGCCGCAGCCGTACCATTATGTATATCATCCATGGATATAACTATATCCCTCTCTCTCACCCATGATTGATCGTCTAACCTCCTATAGCAACTAAAGTGCTGCCTGAAGAAGGAGCCTGGCTTGTGAACAAATGCAACGCCATCTGCCTGCTCGCCCAGCCAGAGCAGATGCCGCTCGCCTCCCAGATTCAGTTCCAGGGACCAATTACCCCTCCTAACCCACTGGCACTGCCAGTGATCGCAATCCAACATCTTCCCAATTTGGATGCATCCCCTGGGCTCCCCCAGATTGACCCAGCCCTAACCTTTCCCTCCACTCAGCCAGGTCTCCTCCTCTTCACATCGGGGACCACAGGTCCTCCAAAAGGTGCTATTCTACCTCGCCAACTCTTCTTCCCGCACGTCACCCCCGACTGCACTGCCGATGACACCGCCATCGTCTATCGTGCCGTCAACGGTTTACCCGGGGTGCTGAATTTAAGCGACCTGGTCTATGTCGGCGCGCGCATCGAGCTCTTTCCTGCCGGAATTGAGCCAGCCCCGATCTGGGAGCGACTCCGCTGCGGCGGAGTCACTGTGCTAGCGGGTGCTACTCGCTTCTGGCAGGTGCTCATGACACACTACGAGGAGAGGCTACGAGCTCTACCCGAGGATGAGCGTATCCTGTATGATGAGGGAGCTCGGAATTTGCGAGTCGTGTGGTTTGGGGGTGGAATGCCCTTGCCAGTTGCGAAACGGTTTTGGCTCCGCCTGCGCGGGGAGAGGGACTGGATGGTGAAGTACGGGGCGTCGGAGTTGGGCAGGGAGGCGATGGTATTTCGATTCTCGAGCGAGAGTGCCTCTTTGAAGGTGAGAGTTCTGATGATCTAAATTGGAGCCACTCACCTGTGGACTGACTGACTGGTGAATGTAGCCGATCATTGGGCGTCCGTTGGCTGGGACTGAAGTCAAGTTGACAGATGGCGAGCATGGGGAGTTGTTGATCAAGAGCCCGACGATGATGATCGGGTATGTCCTACATTTCTTTCTTCCCGGTGAGATAATGTCTAATAATGTCAGGTACATCGATGACGAAGAACGCACGCGTGCGGCATTCGATGACAATGGCTTCTATCGGACTGGAGATCTCGTCCACCAAGATGCCCAGGGTAGGTTCGTATTTGACGGCCGTGTATCGGCGGATTGTAAGTTACCATCTTTCCCTAGTTCCGCTCGTTCTTCTTTTTTTTTTTCCTGTCCTAGTCCGAGGGAACCGGCTGAGCTGACGAATGGGTAGTCGTCCGGTTCAACGGGCTCCGCGTCTCGGTCTACGAAGTTGAATCGCATCTATGCGACCTGCCCTACATCGTCGAGGGATATGTGCTCAGTATCCCAGACAGTCGCTACGGGCATCGCGTCGGTGCCCTCGTGGTTTTAGGTGCGGGAAAAGCATCGCTGACGCTGAGGAGCCTGCGGAAAGATCTTGCCGCAGCGCTGGCCACATATAAGTTGCCGACGGTGCTGCGCGTGGTGGACAGGGATGAGAAGCTGCCGCGCAGTCCGGAGGGAAAACTGTCGCGGAATCCCGCCTTGCAGAGGTTCTTTCCTACGGACAATGATGAGTTGTCGGGCAAGGTGGAGGTTTGGGACTTGGGGGTGGAGGAAATGGCGACAAAGCGGGCGTGGGATTGGGGCGGTGTTTAAGATAAAATTCTTACTGTTGTGGATGTATCCTACTACTAGATAGGAAGGCTTCTTGCTTCCATCATGCACGCTGGATACTGGATCGTTCAGACTGTTAGACGGGGAAGGCAACGGGCTTAGGCCAGTCTGCCCACCTGAGCCCTAATTTCTCAGCCGATGATTTGGAAGCTTGAAAACTAAATACTAGCATATATTGATTTCTACCGATTACTGCTAAATCCACACTCCAGGGCTCCTTATGTCAACTGGCGTACCTTGTTATATTTCTAATATAGACTTGTTATAGACTTTTTCTACCCCCGTCACGGTATGATCAAAGCCTAGCAATTTACCTTAAATCCTTTCGGCGGCAACTCAGAAAGACAATAACCTCCCCTCAGTCACTAAGGATGTATGGACGAGGCTACCAAGCATCATCCATCTCCAGAGAGTAGATAACCCGGAATCAAGGTGCCCATGCATTCGATGGTCTTGTCTCCGGTCTTGGGTACATAAACTATCGACGTAATATTGCATAGACTCAGACTCTCGGAAAGAGACTATTCATGGACTATCGGAAGGGCACTTTCCATGACGATCAGCACATTCAACCAGTCTATTTCAAGACATTTTCCCTTAACCCCCAACAAACAAACCACCATCAACAAAAGCACCAGAAACAGCAGCTGCGTCAATCCTTCCACCGCCTCTTGGACTCTCTCTCGCCTGAAATGTGGGTGGAAACTTCTATACCCCAGACTGCACAATGCAATTCCTCAGCCAGCCACCAGTCCACGGCCACGAAGCCATCATCGCACATTTCCGGCGCCAGTTCGCCCGGCTCGAGAGCATGAAACATACTATACGGCACGTTGACGTCACGCACGAGCGCATCTACCAGGAAGCCACGGTAGCATACGTCGTCAAAGGGGATCCAGAGCAGCGGCCAATTGAAGCGCAAGGCCTTGCGGTGTTTAGAAAAGGAGTTGGGGAGAGCCAGATTAGTTTCTTCACCGTCTATTTGAATTTGGAACCATTGCGGGAGAGGATGAGAGGGGTGTTAGGGCCGGTTTGATCACCATGTACTGGTCTCAGAGATACGAGATGCACTATCGTAGACATCGTCTATAGCCGCAAGCATCATGTATAGTATTGTACTGAAACGATAGACAAACAGATCGGCAGATAATATACTTAGAAGAGGTACAAAAACGTAGGATCTCAAGCAGCGGTCAATTAAAGTACAAGGTCTTACAGTGGTTGGAAAAGGAGTTACTGTAAGGGATAGATTAGGTTCTTCATTGTCTATTCCGTTGATTTAAAGCCATAACGGGAGTCGATATTTATTCCTAGGGATACGACACATGTCTTAGGCATCATCCACAGCCGCAGGCATTATGCATATTCTGACGAAATGATAGACCGCAGATCGGGTAATATGTGAGATCGAAAACATGTGTCGATCGTGAAATACTCTTGGCCGCATGATCTGCGGCCTTATATGCACCAGCTATATTTATCCTTCAATGTACCGTATTGTAACATTCAGTAATTGGCACTGATTCACTAGATCATGATTTAAATTCCGTAGATCTTACTGAATTAGAGAGGCTCAAGGTTTCCCCTTAGTAGATTTAATTTGCTTTCATTGCTTGATTTTCGAGTTATACATGCACACTACGTATATTCCACCCATCACATCGGCGCCCCAGCCCAATCCCACACCCGATTGGCACTCATCCGACACACCGACGGCCGCGCCAGCCACATCTGTACCGTCGCATCCGAGCAGCATCCATTTTCGCCCACGGGAAAAAACTCCCTTACAGCGTCCCGGCGGAGGATCTTACCTGATATCGAGCGTGGGATGGTCTCCTCCTGTAAGAATCGCAAAGCGGTGGGCAGCATAAATGCGGGCATCTTGTCGGCTAATTGCTCGCGTAGATGCGGCAGGTCAAACGTGGCTGGCTGAGGGTCAGCGTTGGGATCCTGTATGAGTCGGATTAGGGCGGCGGCGCGGTATCCACAGCGTTCGTCTGGCATGGCGAGAATGTAACCTTCCCTTACTCCTGGGAGTTCGTTGAGCTGCTTTTCGAGGACGGGGATAGGGATTTGATAACCGTAGTATTTTATGACTGTGATCGTATAAGTAATTAATGCCGGAGATGACCTGTAAGGGCTGCTGGTCACTCACAGTCTGTTGAGGCCCGGCCATGGAAGAAATAGTCATCATCTTCTCGCGACACTAGATCGCCCGTTTGGTAGAACCCATCGTCTGTAAAGACGGCTTTAGTAGCGGCAGGATTATTCAGATAGCTTCCGTCTGGGTCAGCCGGCCTATTAGTATAGCACACTGGGCGATGATACGTACTGTGTGAATACGTTCGGGCTTTTGATCAGTAGCTCCCCATGATCCCCTTCGGAAAGCTTTATAGTCGTTCCTTTCGCCGGTCGTCCAAGGTAATTCTAAAGAATCCAGAATCCAGTTAATTCTATCCTTCCCGGAGTCCAGAAAGTATGTAAACTCACATTCCGATTCACTCCCAGCCCGTTCTTTGTGATAAGACATATCCTCCCCAGCTCTGTCGCGCCGTAGCATAACTGTAACGGCCTCCCCAGGTCGCGCCAGAACCGCAGTCTCGACGGGAACAGTGTTCCGCCGGTGACCATAGCGGTATTTAAGCCCCGTAGACCGCATAGATACTCCTCCCGCTGCGCGGCTGGTAGATGGTCAAGATGTTGCTGGAAATATTCCATTAAACCCTGCCAGAGTGGGATCCCCGCAGCTAGAAAGGCGACGCCGCCTTTTCGCAGACGTTCCCATAACACGCCAGGGTCTGGACGGATGATTTCGATACGACGTGCGTATAGCGTATGCTTGACTAACCGCACGGCGCCAACAGTCCACAGCGAGATGCAGTTAAGATAGATCCCGGCTTGCGCCGAAGTGTAGGGCAAGGCCAGAAGGCGGCGCCCATGAACAACGCCCTTAGGCGGTCCTACTGTACCGGAGGTGAATACTAGTATACTGGGCCGCTCGACTGAGACAATCATGGTCTCTTCGATTAATGGCAGGATTGGTTGCTGAGGGTTATTGATAGAAATCGATCGGACGTGGATGTCCTGCTGCTGGCTCACGGCGTATTGCTGAATCGCAGTGGCATGGTCGAACGCACTCGACCCAGCCATTAGGACTGCGGACTGGCACTGTTTCATTAGGTGCGAAGCTTCTTCTGGGAGGATGCTCGGGGCTGCTATAATTAATATAATGGGCTTCTTCTCGAATGTACTAGTGATAAGAACCAGCGAAAAAGAGAGAGTACTCACCCAAGGGAACAACTGCTCCTCCAAGAATCAGCACCGCAAAAGCCGCCACAATGTATTCGTAATTTCCCTGGTTCAATAGGCAGACAAACGGGCGCTCCTCATGAATCATGTCCTGGTCATTGAAGAGGACCCTGGGCAGCCCGTTCAACAGTCCCTGTCGCGTGGTATATACATCCTGCAGAAACTGTTGGTGATTCGCCTCAACCCCGCAGGAGGGATCATAAAAGAAGACACCGTCGGGGGGTGACTCCTCGCAGTGCTTTAGCAACACTCGAAAATGTGGCTCGTTTGGGAAACGCAGAGTGACAGTCATTGCGGACGATATCTCTAGGAGCCAGGATGATAAACCTTGGAATAACTTGAACGTGCTGATAACGCACCAAACCACCGGCCAGCAATTTATATCAATTATAACTACGGAGTACTCAATACCGTCTGAAAACTAATTTATCGTCCTATTAGCGCGCAGGTAATCAGTACCCCATCTATATCCCCAGCGTCCTGAATGTCTCACCGATTATTGAAAACCAATGATGCATCAGCTTTTTGCTTACCACGTTTCTTGATAAAGTACCATGACTACATAATATAACTAGCTGTGCATGAGGGAATTTCAGCCCCACAGCGAGATATCTCTCAAATCAACATACCAGGAGGGTATCACCATGGCATCCCCCCAAGTCGATCAATACGCTGGGCAATTCACCAACACTGCTATCACCCTCGACGCAGCTAGTCCACTCCGCACTATTCATCCAGGACTACGATTCCTCCGTCTGCAATGGCAAGATTATTCCGGTCTCCTGCGCGCACACCTCATTGTGCCGCAGCATCTCATAACGCTAATCACCACCTAAAAGTCCGTACACATCCCGCCTATCGCCTTTCACTGCATTGTGGACAATAACATCCTCCCCGACCTCGATCCCACCGGCAATCGCTTTCTCATCCCAGACTGGACCTCCCTGCGCTTCCTTCCATCCTCTCCGTATGCTACCGCAGCTATGATCGTCGATGAACCCGTCTTCGTTCACGACCATATTTCGATATCCTGAACAGATGTCGCGGCGACGTTTCTAGCGGGGATCCTGGGTAGAATCCCCAGGTTGTGTGCGGTTTATATGCCGCTCGAAGTTTCATACGAGTGGGTTCAGCCGCATTTTGGCGGTGAGGTAGTGGCATGGGTGATGGATGATCACACGGTTCCGGTGAGGAGGATTAAGGAAGGGCATTTGGAGCTGCGGTGCGTAGATGCGACCAGGCCTTGGGAAAATGGAGTTTCTGGGCTCCAGTCGAATGGTATCCCTGAGAATCCCAAGGGACACCATGGGGATAAGGCAAATGGTGTGATGGCCGTGCAGCCAGTGCCTCTACCCCGAACCTTGGATGCTGCCCTGGATCTGCTCGAAAAGGAGGCCGTCACGTCATGGACAGCTCGGCCCTCGAGCCTTTCCTGCGGGTTAAGCGATTTGAACGGGATTCTCTTGCCAGGAAAGACCCCGAAGAAGTGCGGACAATGTTGAGCAAGCTGTTTTGAAAAATAAATTAGAAAGGTGATACAGGGTATGGTAGTTCGGGGATCGCAAGCCCTGTATACATAATTCACGGAATGAGGTATATCCATACATTCACATTCATGCATCCATCCTTCGTAGCACGCTACCCCTTCTTCTTGCTGTTCCGCAAGCTCTGTCCATAATAATACACCACCCACAACACCCCCGACACCATCAGATACACCCCAGCTACCACTGTCACCATCCAGCCGATGCCGATCAGCTCGATTCCAGGGATGATAGCAGCTACCGCGCCAGCAGCGCACAGGAACCGTGCCATATTGGCCGCCGCCAGCGCCATGGCGGGTTGGCGTCGATGAATTCCCAGCAGCAACCCAGTGAGTCCGATACTTGCCCCCGTGGTAGCATTTCCAGTGAAAAAGAGAACCACCAGTGGGCCGGCCACATGGACATCCCGCTGCATAAGCCAGCCGTAGACGATAACCCAGACACAGGCTAGGTAGACTAGAGGGAGGATGACTTCCAGACGGACACGCTCGAAAGGGAACTCTCGGGGGTCTATGACCTCCGCGCCGATGTGACGGCGGTATCGCTGCGTATTCTTCGCCGTGAGAGGACTGACTATCCAGCGGGCGGCGAATCCGCCGGCGGCATAGGGCACGTAAACGAGCCCAATCTCCCAGATCTGGAATCCGTATTGGCGCTGGAAGAGCAGCGGGATACTGGCGAAGATGGCCATGGAGCCGCAGAAGAGGACAGCTTGAGACCCCACCAGCAAACCAGTCTGCCAGCTGCCGAGAAGTCGGATAGTATCGAGGACTCCGCGCCTCCAAGTCAAAGGGGGCCGAGGGGGCGATTCTGGACAGTATTCGAGCGGATGCAGCCAGTCAACTAGAGCCCGGTTCCAGCGCTGCGGGGACACGCTCCCGTCGCCGACCACCGCGCGACATGACTCGCGCAAGAATACCAGGACGAGAAGGAGCGTGACCCCAGCAAATATGGCCAAGAACCAGAACACACTTCGCCACCCGAGGAACTGTGCGAGGAGGCCACCCGTGACGGGGCCGAGCAGGCTGGCCAAGGTGTAGCCCGAGGAGGTGTAGATGCGGTACTTCCCACGTTCCGCACGGGTGATGATATCCGTCATGGCGGCGATGCCCACCACGGACAAACTGCTGGCGCCGAAGCTCTGCAGGCAGCGCAGCGCAATCAGTGCGGCAAAGCTGGTCTGTGACGCGAGACCGATGTTGGCGCCGACATATATCGTCAGGCAGAAGATGAAGACCGGCCGACGTCCACGTTGGTCGGAAAAACTCGCCGTCAGCAGGGGGAAGAGGGCTTGGGTAATCTAAAGGGTGTGAACGGGCTGGTCGTAGATTGAGGTGAAGGATATTTAGACCGGGGACTCGGACATAGGACATACCATGTACACGGTGATGGTCAGGCTCATTCGACTGGGGGAGACGTGCAGATCTCGCGACAAACTACCCAGGATGGGAAAGTAGATGCTCAACGGTGCCGGACCCAGGAAAGTCATGGTGGAGATGATGATAATCGACAGTATCTTTTCAGGTCCTGACAGGATGGACGGCGATGGTCCTTGTCCATGGTCTTGGTTGTCATTGCCATTCTTGGGCTCGACAACCTGGGGATGGGATAGCTTCATCCTGGGGATGGGATAGTTTCATGGGTTGGGAAAGGCTGCCAGAAAATTAGAATCGATAATTTTGCAAGAAGATAGTCCGAATCAGCTTCGTCATAGGCTTCTTCCAGGGGCCCTGGAAGGAGTCGACTACGTGTTCCCTGTCCTGCATGGCGGGCGATGGTCGATAAAGGGGGTCATCAATGATCATCTCTTCCCCTGCATATCCCATCACATACTGCATAAATCAATCCGCATATGTCAGAAAAGCATTGTCTGGGATCATTGCTCTAATGCCGCAAAGCATGTAAGTCATGGGAACTAGGACCAGACATTAACCTGCCCGTGGGTGGTTATGGTACGGAGTAGGTATGGAGCGGTGATAACTCATCTGGTATGTAGGCGGCACCCGATCATATAGTGAGGTGCCATGCCAACAACACATTCAAACCATTACATGGGCATGAGTTTTTTAATGAGAAGATATGGATATCTTGAGAATCCCGCGGTGAAATGGAATTTGGAAACCTGTATGTTTTAATACACTCAAATACTGTCCCATGCGAAATACTACGACGGTCGTCGAATTGGAGGAAACCATCCAAGTACCCAATATCATTTTGGTATTAATAGATAACTGGTATTACAATGACGCACAATATATACTAGGTATACTGACTGACGGATGGCCCTCATTCGATCTTGAACTAGTATACAAGTGCCAGCCTTGAAAATTCCGGATACTTCTCAAGGTCCAGGTTTCCAAAGTTGAGATTTGTCAATTTTGATATAACAGATCAGTCTATTCGGAAGCTTGAGTACAAATGCTTGATTCCTCTTGGCACCAGCTGATTATTATAATCATATGGAGTCTTCACTTTGGCGAAGCTGAACATGGCTGGGTCTTACTTTCTGGGACTTTTGAGCGTGAGCTGATTGTTAAAGAGACTGGCAGCGACTAGATGCAGATCAGCAGATGGCTGCGAGTGAGGATTTCCTGGTGAGTGGAAATTTTGAGGGTATTTTGCATATTTTCTTTGATGCTGCTTTGTTGCAGCTACTAAGCTGGAAGATCTCTCCATTTAAGCTAAATACATCAATCCCGACCACATGCATTCTTCTCCGTAAAGTTCTTGCAGCTATGTACGTATTCTGCTTAAATCGACAAAGATCATTGATCCAAGTTGATATACACCTCTTCGCTATCTTATCACCCGTGAAACTGATTTCTTCTTCAGATATCTTAATATGGGTTCCATTGGAGGAGAGGAAAGGTCAGACGACGAACTGTCCGGGATAATGTTGGAGGCAGAGTCTTTTCTAGCTCGACTTCTCACGATCAGTCCTCCAGCCCCGTCTGACCCCATTGTTTAAAAGCTTCATGCACACGAGATACAAAGTATGCAGCAGCAAGTCATGCCTGGTGACCATCCTCAAGATATTTCATCCGTCCTTCATCAAGCTATAACAATCCTTGACAACCGCATGCGCCTCGCCCACCCACATTGCTTCTCCTACATACTAGGTTGCCCAAATTCCCTTGCCCATCTGGGTGACCTTCTTACTTCTGTCTGTAATGTCAACGCTGTTAGCTGGGATGTGAGCTCTGGTCCGAATGTGACCGAAAAGACCATGATAGCCTGGCTGGGTGGCCAGCTTGGACTGCCAGACTCAGTTGGAGGGCGTTTCGTATCGGGTGGCTCTATAGCAAATATGACAGCCATAGTTGCAACCCGGGATGAGATTCTACATCCTACGCGGCGAGGTGGCGCGGTCATTTACACTTCCGACCAGACACATATCTCTATTCACAAGGATCTACATACAAGCGGCTTCATGGATTATCAGACCCGAAAGATACCCAGCGATGATACGTTCCGCATAGACGTGGACCTCCTACGACGCGCGATAAATACAGATCGTAAATCGGGACGTGTACCGTTTCTTCTTGTCGCCAATTGTGGGAGCACCAACACAGGCCGCATTGACCCTCTTCATGCCATAGCTGATATTGCACGAGGTGAAGGGCTATGGCTACATGTGGACGGTGCATATGATGCTTCCCTTGCGCTTTCTGACAAGCATCGCTACCTCGTTGACTCCCTTTCTATCCTCTCTATCCCCTCCCAATTTGCTATATAGGTCGCCTGTTGAAATTGACTTCTCGTTACAACTCCAATCCTCAATTCAGAAAGTTCAGGGAATGGTGGAACACGAATCGTCGGACTCTTCCACGGGCCCAATGGGCGAAGATAAAAATGGCCAAAAAGAAGGATTCAGTCGATTGTAAGAAATTGTTTCATGCAGTCTTTTGGAGTCATCGCAGGTATGGGAGAACTTCTCGGATTGCTATTTTTCCAGCTAACTTCAGTGTAGTAATATCCTGCGGCAGCTTGGTTCTGGTTCTTATATCCTTGAAGCTGCCTGAGAAACGAGATGAAAAGTAGTGTTGAGGATCTAGTGTCAGCGCAGATTATTAATCCTACAAATGGTGTGATATTTCTAATGTAACCAGGATAGTATAAATTGACAGAATAGTGGATACAGTAGTACAGAGAGTTGGATAGCATTGATTGTACCCCTGCATTTACAATACGGAATTCCCCAACAGTTATGAGCCTGGTTCGCACCGAATGAGACTACGGTAGTTGGTATATGGTATCTAGCACGCAGCTAGAAGTGTCTCCCTATAGGATGTACGTCTAATTTGTTCCCAGAACTTTCAACAAAACATATAATTTATTCTAGTCAAATCTCTAATGATCGACTTGGAGTATACAGCCCTAGGTCCATGGATGGGTGGATCTGATAAATGATTACATAATAACTATATCCCCGGGGCCGGCCCTGGGGCCCGAGGTCGGCCCTGAGTGCAGTAGCTTCCCAGATAGGTAGTGTCAACTCACTGACCTCAATGAAAACGTTAATGCTCAAGACATCAACTATCTAATTCTTCATATCACTGTGCCCCTTCTAGCACGCTTCAACTCCCACAAGCCAGACTCACAATCGTTTCAATCCACACATTTCTAATTTTATCATCTCAAACGCCGACAATCACTACACTTGGTTTTATGCAAGTTCTTCAACATTGGTGACTCCTGCGTCTATAGAGAATAAGATGGCCTTTGAAGAACCATCCATCTTACCAGTGGACATCATGGAGTCCCAATTGTCCACGATTGACCTCCTGATGGCGATGTTCCCGTCTCCAGGCGAGCTGGAAATCTCCGAGTCCACAACGCAGTGTGTCGAGAAACTCCGCGACTGGTGCGAGAATCCAACCTCCAAACCTCCTAGAATCCCTTCAAGTGTCTCCCTCACCGTCTGTCTACCAATTGCAGATGGGGATAAAACAATACAAGTCAACATTTCTGTGCCACTGCAATGTGATAATCCAGAGACACCTGACGAATTACCAACATTGGGATACACGCTTCGACAACCAGAGTGGATGTCTAGAGCTGAAGTTGCTGGAATTACTGCCTCAATACCGCAAAGCGATGACACTTTAGAGGCATTTGAATACATCCAAGCAGAAGCCAACCGCTTTCTTGAAAGCAAGCAGTCCCAGACTGTGACCCCAGAAGACACAGACAGAGGGCCAACTGTCCGAGTCTGGTTTTATTTCCCGTCTCTGTCGACCCGTAAAAAGAGGGATGATATGGTCAACCTCGCACCGGGATATGCTCTGACAGGATTTGTGCTGGCGGGCAAGCCGGGCGTATTGTGTCTTGAGGGTGCATCGTCTGATATCGACTCTTATATGAGTTTCATCAAGACACATTCTTGGGGTGATATCCCTAGTCATCAGAAAAAAGTCAGCGAGAGGTTTCGAGAGACAGAGGGTGTTCAGAGAGTATTTTCGGGAATGGAGGAGATTACGGATTCGCTAGGAGAGCGAGGTGGTCAGCGGGCCAACCGAGGTGATATGCAAGCGCTGGAGGCGTGGTTAGGGAGTAGAGGACTACAGGAAGCGTTTGAAAAGGTTATATTTTAGGTAGTCATGTAGCCCACCCTGCATTCTGCATGTCTGCTTGATAACTGCAGATGGGGTTGCTTTCAATTCCAAGGGTATAGCCAACCTCTCTGCCTCATCTCATGACACCTAGGTACATTCGGTATATAATATAACCTCCTTCTTCCTCTCTTTTACAACTTACCTATCATGTCTTTGTGGCATGTTAGACTAACAAGCAAAGGGTAAGAAACAAAAAAAAAAAAAAAAAAAAGAAAAAAAAAATTCTATACGGTTTATTCAACAAATGAAAGGCTCTATGTAGTCCGTATGTATTGGGTCCGATAAACATTTCCTGTCAATACCAAATATATCAATGATGTTGATACATGGGTCACAAAACCCCACAACGCCTCCATATGCCCCATGTCTGCATATGCCCCATGTCTGCAACCTAGGGCCATTCGGCTATTCGTCAAAATACACTTGAGTCGCTTACTCTTTCTTTGTTTCCTTCGGCTCTGATGGCGTCGGTGCTTGGGTAGCCTTATTCACCCCAGGGGGGCTTTCAAGTGCTGAAGCGGCCGCCATCTGAGATTTCTTGTGCTTGTCACGTTTCTCCATCATGTATGTCCAACTCTTAGCAAGGCCTGCCGTGAACGGTGCCTTGATCGTCTGTACAGTACTTGGCCAGCGGATTGTCTTCTCAATGGACTTGGAGACCTCCTCCTGAAGGAAGTCGTCCCCGGCAATCCGTCGCTCAAACAAACCGCCTTGAGGCCGGCGAAGAACCTCGTCCGCGTCCTTGCTTTTCTGAACCATCTTATCGAAATCGGCTCGGGGAATCCCAAAGCGAGACTGGTACTGGAAGTACAACTTTTGCCGGAAAGATTCAGGCAGACGGCGAACCATGTTACCGCGCTTCACCGGATCCATATCTTGCGCCATGGCCAAGATGGCGTTAGGGTCATCAATCCAATCCGGGCTGTTGCAGCGTGGGTCCCGGAAAGTGACATTTGGCAGATTGTCGATGAGTGGCGCGTAGAGCCGGCGGAAGTGCGCCATTTGTCCTGAAACAATATTTCGCACCTTGCTGGGGTCCTCGGCCGGCAGAGCCATGCGTAGATCCCCCATATAGCTCATACCTGCGATTGTGCTGTATAGCTCAAACTCACTGAATCTTTCTGGCAGTAGCAGCAATGCGACTCGCAAAGCAGACAGCAAGTTCATCTGGTTGGCCAATCGCACCTTGGGGTGGTCCCGCAAGATCTTGACGGGCTTCTGCAGACGACCGGCGAGATACATGGTGTCCCACTGAGTGAGGTCCCTACATAACGTATCCAGGTTTACCACACCATATTTGATCATTGTACCATTCACGGTGATATAAGGATGGAAGTAGACGCCCGCGCCGAAGCGGTCCTGTACTTGGGAGACCATGTACGACCCCGTTGAGCCCAATGCAGAATAATGGTCACGATGTTGGTTCAGATTGATATCATGCCAATGCTGGGAGTATGACACTCCAAAAATGAAGTCAATCATTTTCCCGGAGCCCTTTTGCATATTTTGAATGGCGGTGGGTGCCGAGGGGTGCAGTGAGCTGGACGGAGCTCCGCTGCCATTTTGCGGAAAGACACCCGATCCATAGGCAAATGCGTATCGAATTGGTGCTTTGAACTGCCAAAGGATCATTCGCAATGCCTCCTTGAAATCTTGGTTTATGATCATGTGCTGATTGACTCCGAAGTCCTTGGAGGGAAGTTCCGAGAAATTAGTAATTGACAAGTTTGGATTCTCGTCCCAGTTCGAGTCGGGCAACAGCGAAGATGAAGAGGTCGAGAATGAGGAGGAGGACGACTTGTTGGTGGTCACCTTGCGTAGCAGATGCGATGCTGAAGCGCCGTTATTTGCCGAGCATCGGCCATTGTAGGGAGGAATCGAATGACAATGGAGTGACAGACAACGAGCCGAAGAAGGAATAACGCGTGGGGACCAGAGAGGGGTGCGAGAGCGCCAGAGAGAGCTGGGTTTAGCTCCTCGAGAAGCAACCATCTAGCAGATAAGTTGTAGCGGGATCATCGGGGAGTGGGGATCTGACATACTATTACTCCCGGCATAATTGAGGGTTGGACAAAAGAAATCGAGGCGCGGAGCGCAATGAGTGAGTCAGATCAAAGAGCATCAATTGTCCCGCATGAAAATCAAATGAGTGAATTGGAGTGAAGCTAATTGGGGCGCTCTGTCAACATTTCCGGCACTGACGTACTCCCCGTCCTGCTCCCGTTCGGGTGCTGAGTAAGGGTCACGTGGACGCGTGTCGATGCGTAACAACCAAAAGTAAACAGACGCGGAGGATCAACAACAAAGATTCTTTCGACAATATTCGCCTACATCCTCCACAAAAGGTGTCTTTACATGTCGGATACCGGTGCTGATTGTCTCTGATTGCTTTGATACATCGCTATGGGCTCGGAAATGGATACCTTTGCGGCCCGCCTAGCCAGCTTTGACATAGTGTTGAAGCCGGAGAAGCGCAGATCTTCCGGCACAAAAACACCCAAAGCGATTACATGGCCGCACCAGCGACCTTCACCAGCTGAGGTATGTCACTTAATGGAGAGATTCCACGCGCCAATTTTAAGGTGACTGACTTGGTGGGATTCTAGTTGGCACACGCTGGATTCTACTACAAACCATACGAGACAAACCCCGACAACACAACATGTTTCGAGTGCCACCGGGCGCTGGACGGCTGGGAGGAGGATGACAACCCCATCACAGAGCATCTCAAGCATGCGCCCGACTGTGGATGGGCCATCCTGATGGACCTCCAGCAGAGCAGCTCCAACCCCGCCTCGATTGAAGACCCTACGGGCGACCGGATTACACAAGCGAGACTGTCAACATTTGGTACGGCATGGCCCCACGACGGGAAAAAGGGCTGGGTATGCCAGTCAGAGAAGGTAACGCGCGACTTAACCGTATTCATATTCTTTTGGCTCACAACAATGGCAGATGGTTGAAGGCGGATGGTATTTCTGCCCTACAGACGAAAGCAATGACTTAGCCAGCTGTGTTTATTGCAAGTTGTCTTTGGATGGCTGGGAGCCCAAGGACGACCCATTGTGGGTATCTATCGCGCTTTCCCAGTTGGGCGTTTGCTAACTTCCCTAGTGACGAACACCATCGCCGCTCCTCAGATTGTTCATTCTTTGTCTTCGCCCAGCCGCCAGGAAAAAGAGTAAATCCACTCGTGCTAAGAAACCTCGGGTGTCTAAGGCGTCCTCTCGGCTTTCAACCCAGTCCGTTGGCCCAGCTACATCTGAAGCGCCCGATATAGAAATGGATGACTCGATGGACCAGAGCATCATGTCCGAGACCACCACAAAATCCAAATCTACAAAGAAGGCCACCAAGAGCAAACCAAAGGGCACCAAGACCAAGAAGGAAGAATCAGCGGAGGTGGAAAGCCAGGTTGAGGCTGACATTGAAGAAGCCACTCAACCAGAGCCTGTCAAACCCAAACGCGCAGGCAGAGGAAAGAAGAGGGCCAGTGAGGATATCAAGGATGAACCAAACCCAGTTGCCATGGTGGAAAGAGAGCCATCGCAGCCGCCAGAAGAACCCCCAGCGAAGAGACGCGCTACAAAAACACGCAGCAGCAGCATTGCTCGCAACTACAATTACGAACACAGTGACTCCGCAATGGCAGATGCAGAGCCAGTGGATGAACCTGCTTCGGAAGAAGAAAGCAATAAAGGCCGCAAGTCCACGAAAAAGAGAGCGTCCAAGGCTCGCAAGGTGTCCGATGTGCCTGTTGCACCAAAAGTCCCATCAAAGTCGCGAGCCCCTCGTGACTCGGAGATCGACGCGGAAATTGAAGCAGGTCTCGAAGCAGATATCCCCAACCATGCCGAACTCGGGCCTGGGATTGAGGCGGAGCCAGTAGAGCCACGGGCATCGAAGAAGACCAAATCGAGCAAAAAGTCCAAGGCTGCGGCTAAATCCCCCGAACCGATCGCCAGTGATCACGATGACTGTTTGGATCCTCACATGGAACCGCTTGATGATCAACCGGAGGCACCTGAACGGCCAGCCCCGAAGACCAAGCTGGCAAAAGGATCTAAGAAAAAGGGGACAAAGAAAACTAAGACCGAAGAGACGATAAAAGCACAGTCGCCAGAGCCTCGAGAATCTTTAGGGCCAAGGGTTTCCGATGCGCGGGATGATTCCGAGCGTCATGACTCCTTCATCTCCGTCGAGATTGTCAGCAAGGAGCCAGAGCATGCATCAGAACCTGAAGAATCAATACCCAAGGCTGAATCGAAGAAGACTACCAAGAAAAAGGATGCTACATCAGCCAAAGAGAAAAAGTCCAAGAAATCTGGAAAAAAGGCGGCACAAGCTCCTGTTCTTGAACCCCCAGTCCAAGCACATCCCGTCGAACCGTCGGTCGAGGAACATGATGATGAATTCGAGACTACAGATGATTTGCCTGACCAGCTTGAGATGGTCAACCCTCCCCAGGAGCCTTCTCCCCCTCCACAAGAAATGTCTCCAGAGCCACAATCTGTTCGGAAGACACCAAGTCTACCGCCCAAGACCGCGAAACGGTATAGCGATATCCCTCACGAAGAGCATCTCGCAGAGACCTTAGTCCAAAGCCAGACCTCCCCTCATGAAGTGCATGAGCCTCGGAGGAATTCAAAACGCTCCAGCCGGGCAGTTTCACCCCTTCTGCCAGCTCACCAAAACACTCCTTCGCTATCACCCCAGTCATCAGATGCCGAAAACCAGCCTCCATCGTCGCGGCCCTCAGCATCCCGTCCACCTGTCCAATCAACACCCAAGCATCCAGAGTTCCGAGCCCCTCTGGCAGTTAGTACCCCATCACCATCCAAGCGCAATGCCAATGGTGGATTCGGACCTTCCGGGCATCCATGGACACCGGTGGATATCGATGAAGTGCTGTTTGGAGCGGCCAGCGACAAGGAAAACGCCGATTTATCTGGGCTTTTCAAAGGCGTGAAAGGTGGCTTGACTAGCCCAGAGAAGAAGATGACGGTCCAAGAATGGATCGCGTGGAATGCAAAGGAAGGGGAAGAACGACTGAAGAGAGAATGCGAGCGACTTGTCGGCCAATTCGAGAAGGAAGGTGGCCGAGCAATGCAGCGACTCGAAGCTATCGAGTGCATCGACTAAATCAACAGTTGAACTATGTATTCGGATGATATGATTTGCATGTTAGGCGTTATGTTAGGCGTTGGGAAACCCTTGTTAAATCTTTAGCTTGCAATTTTAAATTTGAAAGTGCCATTATTGCACATGAAGAACATGATCAGTAAAAAGAATGCCTGGAAAATATGCCAAAACACCATGGGTATCAATAATAGAACGCGCAGCCCGAGAACAACACTCAAGAAATGATTCCCAACCGGCCCTCCCAGCTTTCATCCTCCTGCTTAACCTTGTTGTTCTTCCGCTTTTCATTGCGCTTGCGCCTCTTCTCCTCCCTCTCCTTAGCATCAATCTCCTCCCGCTCCTTAAGCCGCACCCCCAGATCAAGTTGCCAAGCCTTGCGCTCCTCCTCATCTCTCTGGCGCTTCTGATGCGCAAGCATCCTCAACCGCAAGCGCACGTCCTCAACATTCGCCCTCTTCACCTCGCCACTCTGCCCCGTCGCAATCAAATGCTGCTTGCTGTTCAAGTGCTCCACAAGCTGCAAGTTATCCTTGTAGGTAAGATCACAGTCCTTGCAGTAAAATCCAGCGCCTTGGCCGCGCTTGCCCATTCCCGAGCCTGCGGGCACAAGCATCGTCTTCCCCACCATGGACGCGACGTCCAGGCGCTTGTTGCGGGCTGTGGTATCCTCAAGCATGCTGTAGTCGACTGGTGCGTGGTATTTCTTGCCCAGTAGCTTCGCTTCGTAGCGGGCTTTGCCTTCGGCTTTGCGCTTTGCTTCATCGTCGGCTGCTTTTTTGGCGTATTCTTCGCGGTCCCAGGTTTTACGGAAGGCCGTGTCCGACACCGGGGTGCCGTAGGCGTTTGGTCCTGACATATTTTGGGGGTGGATATTTGTTTTGGGGAGATGTAGTGGGAGGTTGGTGAGTGGCGATCTTTAAAAGTTGAAGCTTCCAAGTTGAGACCCGGGCCGATCTTGAAGATTATGTCAGCGATGCTGATGGACCCCGGGGATTTTCCAACCTTGGGAGGTTGGAATGCCACATCTTGTCTTTATTCTAACTGCTATAACGTTATTTATTGCTCAGTATATGTTCTAGGAGAGAAATAATTATTATATAGGACTCGGTACTTATTCGGCATCATAATTAGTAAAATTTTAGGATCACAACTCCTTTAATTATCTATACGAGGCTGAAAATAGGCAGCGATTTTGGATTAATCGAGCATTTGATGTAAGCATATGGACAAATAGCTCCAGCTAGAGCTCATCGTTAGCGGCTACGAATTCAGGCAACAGTTTTCGACCCCGCTCGTATAAGAGCTCGTATAAGACGGACATTGCCCTCACGACGAATGTAATTAAGCCACAAGCAATAGCCTGGGGAAACAAGCCAGAGAAACAAGTCAATCATGGATCCATCTCAATCCCCCCCGATTTCTCAATCCACCGCCAGTCTAATGACCCTCCCCTCGGAACTACACATCCAAATAAGCACCTACCTCTCCTACCCAGACGCCCTAGCTTTAAAACACAGCAGCCGCCACTTCTACTCAATAGTCTACACAGGCGTGCGCCTGAAAGTTGACTGGTTCGTTGAGAGATTCGAGCATAAACTCGAATGTCCTATGGAGAAATGCTCATTCAGAACGGACGAGTCTTTTTGCAATGGGCGTGTGCGCGGTATCATGGAGCGCCGTCGATGGCATCTTGAATGTCGCCGGGCTAGGAATGGCTGTCTGGTTATTCATGGCCACACTTGCCAGACAAATTTAATGTCCGGTTGGTTTGGGGTGAGGATACCGGGAAATAGGAGAGCCGTCAAGGTGGTGAAGAGCTGGAGTCATGAAGGTTTGTTTCCTCTTTGGTTGTATCTTCTTCTGCTTTGATGAAGACATCGGCTAATATCATGTTGTATAGCCTTTTTGATTGGCATTATGGCTGTTCTGCTGAACTTGCTGTGGCAATTTGCTCAGAGGTGAGACATTCTTTTGTGTCGGCTTGTGTATCGATTGAAGGGGCCTTGCTGATTGAAGTCACCAGGACTTGGTACCTCGATAGCAGATTGAGGACACCTCACGACTGCGTATTGAGTGATGATTCGAATCAAGTGATTTGACATGTTGGCTCATGTCAAGTCTGCTGAGCTCGGAAGCCAAGTGACAGATGCCGACATGTTTCGCCCTATATAATCGACTATGAAGTTGAACTGGCATGCCGTGATGCATGGACTAGCGCTTCATTGCCACGAGAAGGACTGGTTATACCACCTAGCAATCGTGCTCACAAAAAATTACTCATGTGACGCTGTACACGGTGTTTTCAAGAGACATTTTGCATGGGCGTGATGTAATGGAGGTTCGCCGAATATCCGATGCGGAGTCGATATGGACCCTGTCGAAAATCTACCCTCGCAGAGACAAAGCTGTGGAGATATGATCGGATGCTGTGATGCAGTGAACTTGAATTTGGCCTGCAGAGCCCTAATCCTGACCTTATCGGTGACGTCACATTGACGACCCATGTATACATAGTTCCTATATAGCTGCTTCTTCCTCTCCTCGAGACTCTCTACTTTAATATATCTTTTCATCATTTGAACAACAAAAATGTCTACCACAGATGCTTCTATCAACACTAAGACGGGAAACCATCCCGTGGACCCCTACAAGACCCAGAATTTCGAAGACCCGCCTCTCGCTCAGAAGATCGAAGAGCTGGTTGAATTTATTACTCAAGTCAAATTTGGCATGTTGACCACCAAGCAGTCAGAGGGCGACTATCTGGCCTCGCGATGCATGGCCCTAGCTGCGAAGGTATGACCAGAGACACAATGAAGTAAAAGAAACGTGCTAACCCATTACCTAATGTAGGAGAACGGCGGCATTGATCTCATTTTCCACACCAACCTCTTCTCCGGTAAAACAATGGATCTCACCGTGCACCCAAAAGAAACCAACATGTCCTTCCTTGACCCCATCAGCGGAGCCTGGGCCTCCATCTCGGGCACTGCATCAGTGATTGGTGACCCCGCCATCGTGGAGAAGTACTACTCGCCCGCACTCAAGGCATGGATTGGCGATATGGGTGATGGCGTTCACGATGGTGGACCCAAGGACCCCCGGATTGGCGTTATTAAACTTGAGGCCAAGTTAGCCACACATGTTGTTGCGCACAAGGGCCTGATTGGACGTGCATATGAAACTGTGAAGGGTGCTGTGCAGGGCAACGTTCCTCATGTCAATGGCATTCGAGAGTTGAGTATGGAAGAATTAGCTGAGTGTATGTTTTTCTTCTACCTTTTGGTCTTTTGAGTTGGTGCAACAGAAATGCTAACTAGTCTCTACAGGGCGCCGGACGCATCGGGAATAGGTGTATTTTACTCCGCTATGAATGACTGGAGATTTCCAGCTTTAGCTATGCTGTATGACTGAATGATATAACTACATTTGCACCTGTTAATGACACTACCTGATTCAACTTGAAGTAATGATGGAAGTACTGTAATAATGCTGATGATGCCCAAGTGATCCTTTTGCTTCATATTATTTTTCGTGGAATTGGTCCACTGTGTCCAGCCTATATCGTCTCCTAACTCTGATCTGAAGGCGTGGGTAAAAAGCCAACTTTAACAAGGAACTCGGCGCTACTGGTAACAGCAACTTTCAACCGCAACGGTGTACTACCACGCTTCTCCCGCGAGCTACCCACTAGTCGCTCATATTAAATGTATAAACTGTCCGGACAAGGTTCACCAGAAAACGGTCAATTTCCCCCCAATAAAATTGACAGTGTAACAGCCGGTGGACTGCGTAGTGCAACAATTGACGGCATCGAAAACGGATACAACCGCATTGGCCGGAGATGATATGAAGAACGATGAATCTAGACTTTCCCAATTGACTGCCGACCAAGGACCCTACTTTTCGTCAATTATTGCTGGGTCTTTATCATCGCTCTTAGGAGTGTCAGTGATGATCTGGAGCTCTTTGACCTTCCGAATGTCCTTCCATCCAAGTCCCGGAGAGAATAGCAAGACGGCGACGCTGACAGCAATACCGAGGTACATGACTTTGTCGATGCTTTTAGAGTAGGCAGCGAGCACAGCGGGAAGCTCGGAGCCTGGCACCAGGCTACGGATGGAGCGAACTCCAGCTTCGATTATGGCGTCTGAAGAAACGCTAATTTGTGCAGCACGTTTTTGAAGCTCCGAACGAAGGCTGTTGCTGAAGATGGCGTTTGCAGCGATCAGAGAGATAGCAGCACCCATGTTTTGGCAGAAGATTATAATGGCCATGGCAAGGGGAATCTGCTCTGGGGCCACGAGGTTTTGTATAGCGATGTAGGGCTAAACAGAAGATATCGATCAGCTGGTGGGGCCATTATTTGACAAGAATCGTACTTACGGCCGCAGTCGTGCTGCCACTTCCAGCACCGTAGAGAACTTGGTACCCAATCCATTTTGCAGCTGGAGTCGTAGGACTCAATGTCGACAATAATCCGTAGCCAACAGATGATATTACACCCCCGACAAGAAGAAATGGGAGATAGTAGCCCAGAACGGAAACTGCTCAGTATCAACGACGGTCAGTGGACTTGGGAAATTATGGGAGACCATAAAGCACAACTGGAAGCACTTACTCAGGGTGCCCGAGACCATAGTAAATAAAACGATACCGATGGTGATTGGGAGCATGTGAACACCGCTCATCAGAGGCGTATCGTCTTGGATTGCTTGGAAATAAATTGCAATGTAGAAATCAGCCACAAGAACACTGGACAAGGCGAAGAACATTGTCATTGCAGCCGACCAAATAACTCGGTGTTTGAGCATGGCAAGTGGCACCATGGCATTGTCCCCTTGACGCCACTCCCAGACAAGGAAGACAACAAATGTAGCACCCGCACCGACCAGCAAGCCTATCACAACTGAACTGTCCCAGGCATATTCATTACCGCCAAATTGGAGCCCCAAGAGGAACATGACGACCGCCGGACAAATTAGCATGAATCCTGGGAGATCTAAAGACTTGATGGCAGAGCCAAGAACCTGCAGAGGCGGATCCTTAGGTTTCGGTTCGGGAATTGTGTTGAAGAGAAGAAATCCACCGATTATAACACCCAAAGGGAGGTTGATATAAAAGCCTAACATGAGAAAAGTTAGCTTCTATAGATCTCCAATGTAAGAAATTGAATAACATACACCATCGCCAGGATACATTTGTGGTAAACGCGCCTCCAATGATGGGTCCCGTCGCAAGGCCCAACTGTCCCATGCCCATATTGAGTCCCATGAAAAGCGCCTGTTTCTGTGTTGGGAGGATGGCGGAAATGGTTGTCATTGCGCCATTGGACAATCCAGCAGATCCAATACCTGCGATAAGACGGCCGCCGATGAACATGGCCGACGAATTAGCTGCTCCGCAGATGGCAGACCCAAGTTCGAAGATCACGAAGAAGGCAAGAAAGGTCCACTATATGATGATTTTTAGAATTGACTTTCTGGTGGGCCGTAAACGAAGACATACCTTGATGGAAAACCGGCTGTAAATCTTGCCGCTCAAGGGCTGAAATGATGCACTTCCAAGCTGGTAGGCGCCGCCATACCTGGAAATTATTGATCAGCGTCTCGCAAAGAAATGACAAGTGATTGTGACCTAGAGGAGTAAATGGGTACTTACCAACCGACATCCACCAAGGAGTCAAACTGGGAGGTAATGGCCGGCGTTGCCGTTGAAATGACAGCAAGGTCAAGGAAGAGTAGGAAGTAAGCAAGAGTAACTGATGTTAGGATAAAAGTGACCGTAAGGCCGGAAGGAAATTGGCGCTTAAGCTCTCCATCATCGCTGGAGGCACTAACCTCGGCGCCATCTTGCTTTTCTACCGAGTGATTCTGCCAAGTCACGGACGAGTCTACAGGAGGCTCATCCAGAGTGGTATGTGTCGCCTCAGCCATTGCAAGAGAGGGGGTCTAGTTAAGTGCTGCGGGTGAAGGAGTTGTGGTGATGATGTTGTGTTCACGGCTGGATCATGATCAAAATATAGTAGTCACATCCTTTTTATTTGAATCTTGATTATAAATTCACTGTACCTATATCTCATATTAGGCCGTCGGGGTATAGAATAAAGCGGACCTCGCTTCCGAAATCCGAAATCGATCAGAGGCTTCTTTCATCTACATATATGCGGATTTGGGCGGAGTGAGACGGAGTCTGCTATCGAAGTCCGAAGCTTGTCTTCGTCCAAGTCCTAGGTTCAAGCTTACAGGGATTTACATATTCCTATCGTTTGCGGTACTGCAAATTAAGATTTATAGTGTACCTGAAGTGGCCAATCTTTTAGAAAGCTACCTTTGGAAGGGCTTTATCTTAATATACGACTATTGACATGTAGTAATCACTGTACGCGAGATTCAAATGTAGTTTCCGCTCTTTCTAGGCTACAATAAAGTATATTGGATAAATATATAGTCAATTTTCTGTATTGCCCTGATTAAAGTCCGTCTAGTATACTGGGTATCTTTCGTCACTAAGCTACAGCGTCACGACAAGCTTCTTTCCCGAGACACCGTTTCTCTGGAGATGTAGACCCTCTTGGATCTTGTCCAGCCCCTTTCCCACCACATACGGAGGAGGAGCGGGTACAAACTGGCCTTGTTCAAGTGCCCAAGGCAGGAAACTCGTGTAGATATGAGATACGACGCTATTGGGATCAACTAGACCATCGACAAGGATGAATTTGGCTTCCACTCCGGTCCTGATGCGCGTCCCAGTCGATTTAATCATGCCGCCCATCATGCCCATCAAGTACGTGCCTTTTCCAACAAACGTGGTGAGCTTCTTCGCAGGTATGATGGCGCCGGCCACGGCAATGAATTTCCGGGTGAGTTTGGGGTCATGTTTCTTCATAACCGCGGTGCATGCTTCGACAGCACCATTGCCAATTGTGTAGGCACCGACTAGCTCGTGGCCTTTCAGAGCGCCGAGGAGGTCCTTGACCAACGTTTTGCTCTTGTAGTCAAAGACTTGAGCGGCACCGAGACCCTTGACATAGTCAAAGTTCTTAGGAGACGACGTAGACAGGACTTGGTAGCCAGCGGCCACAGCAAGCTGGACGGCGTTGCTACCAACACTCGAAGCACCGCCAGTGATGATGACAGTTCGTGGCGAGCCTGACTTGCCCACAGCTTTAGGGGTTACTGGGAACTTGGGCATATCGAGGCCCAGATAGCCCGGATGGAAGAGGCCGTACGCCGCAGTTCCGAGGCCTAGTCCCAAGACACAGGCCTGTTCGTTAGTAATGCTGGGTGGGATTGGCGTCAACATATTCTGTCGCATTACTGTATAGAGCTGGAAAGCTCCCTCGGCCGGGCGGTTGACCTCTTTTGCAATGGCCACAGCACTACCGCAGACTCGATCGCCCACGCGGAAACGATCCACATCGGGGCCGACCTCGACAACTTCACCAGCGACATCAGTACCAAAGATGAATGGATAACTGATATAACCAGCAAGCGCTGGGCCAATGTACTGCAACACCCAGTCGAAAGGGTTAATGGCCACAGCGGAGTTCTTGACTACGACCTGGCCCGAGCCAGGTCGGGTGTAGGGCGCGTTGGCGACCTTAAATGGAAGGACTTTTTTCGCGGGGATCCAAGCCGCCTGGTTCAGTGGTGCCATTTCTGCAACGGGGCTAGGTGAATGTGCAAAATGAAACAGCACAAATTAGACGGGACAACGTGTACAAAATGAAGCCAGAGCAAAAGCGAAGCCCACCAAAGACACGAGCGGAGTTATATGTACATGTCTCGCCAGCAAGGTGAGCGCATAAAACGGAGTTTGAACGGTATTCAAGGATCGATGTCCGGTGAGGCGCCACACCAACTCGAATAGTTCATTATGACCTGAGCGGCATTGTTCCCACGACGGCTGCAGCGATGTTTTTACTTGTCATCTCAGCGAGTAGCTCTATTCTGAGACATGCAGTCTGTTAAAAACACAGAGCTAGATGCAAACTAGACCCAAGCTAGCCCCAAGCATAGGCTTTTCCCTTGCAAATCCAGACCTTGCAGGTCTCTAGTTCCATTTCTTCTTCTTCCTCGTCGGCTTCCTTGCCTGTGTCTATTAGCGTCGAGTCTAACGAGCATGTTTTGACGCCGAAGAAGGGAGATGAACACTTTATTTTGAGATTTGATTATTTTCTCTGCCTGCAGGTCGATTGACCTCTGATGATACGAAAGGAAACGGCCCGTTGTTTCTCTCAAAGCCTCGCCAAATCTTTCTATATATTTCTCTCGCATCTTCCACGCCGGAGGAATAGAGAAGCAGCTGACTCAGATCCACTTTCTTACAGAGGTCATTGCGCTGACAGGGCCTAGAAGGAAAATTGATAGGATAAAAGCAATATACTAAGTTATGTCATCAACGGACTTCGGGCCAAATCCGACGGCATCTCATAGTATACGGAACATCAATAACGCCGACGGAATTACCTCCGTCATCTCCGCTGTATAAACATAAGAGTATCTCTGAAGCCCCCCGGGGCACCTACATGTCATCCACTGGGGTATCCTGACCATCCAGAATAGCCTGTCCCACCAGTCCCCATGACTATGGAGAGGTCGAAGCCGACCTCCGGGCAACCCAGTAGTTATGGCCAGGCTTGCACCAATTGTTACAAGGCAAAGTCCCGGTGTGTTCGTACTGCAAATGGCGATAATTGTGAAAAGTGATTGATATAAAACTTTTGATATTTGACATTAAACTAATTATCTCTTAGATGTATTCGTCTTGGGAAAAGGTGTGAGCCATCAGAGTCGGTTCGCAAGCGTAACCTTCAAACAAACCCAGTCGATGCGTCCGATACGCGCATCGCTCGGTTGGAGGACAAGATGGAGAGCTTGTTATCTGCAATGCAATGTTTCATCGGTTCCACAGGTGGTCCTGGGTCTTCGGCCAACATCCTACAACCCCCGTCCCTCAACGGGGACAGCATTTCGTCAGCCACGTCTTATTCAAATAGCACTCTGATAACCCCCACGAGCACTAATCTGGGCTTCAATGAGAGGCCTACATACTCGACGGGATCGATTACCACGGAATCGTTGAATCCAAACCCGCCATTTTTGTCGCATCCTTATCCCCTATCGCCCTCTACCCCATCGCCAAATCAAACAGAAGAACGGCTTAATTTCTTCCGAACTCGAATGCTGCCATATTTCCCTTTCCTCAACTTTACGCCAGATATGACAGGTTGGTTTCTCCGCCAAAACAGGCCATTCTTGTTCCAAGCCATTCACACCGTTACCACATTCTCGACACAGGAGAGATTGATTCAAGTTGAGGAACTGAAGCGTCTTCTCTTCACTTCTGCTCTGATCAAAGTCGAGTCAAACATAGACCTGCTGCTTGGATTACTGACTTATCTAACATGGAGTACCGACGCTTTTCTTGGCAGGGCAGACCTAATCTCTCGTCTCATGATGCTCGCAATCTCACTGGTATATGATTTGCGGTTGTTCAAACCATCCTCGCCAGGAGTAAAAGTCATGATGGCTATTACCCAGGGGGATTCTGACAAACATGACCACAGTTTCGAGGATGAAACGCCCTACTGCGTATTTGAAAGGCAACGGGCGGTATTGGCATGTTTTATTTTGAGCTCCAAGTGCGCGCGGCCTTCTATTTTCTATCGAACTTGTTTATTATAATATATCTGAGGGGCAAATTATACTAACATACGGCTCTATATAGTGTTTCGTCTCACCTTGGGCGTCAGGATGCTATACGATGGACTCCACAGATGGAAGAGGCGCTTCAACTCATCGCAACAAACAAGTCATGCGCCGCTGATGAGTTGTTTGTCGCTCAAGTGCGCTTACAACGGTTGAAGCAGAGAGCGGAGGACGTCCGACAGCAGGACGAAACAAATTATGCTCGCACAGGAACAGCCCCAGCGGCCTCAGTTGCTCGCATTTTATACCTGAAGACTTTACGAAGGGAGCTTCATGATTTAAGATCTTCATTCCGCGCAGATCTCCAACAGATCGGTAAGTGTTTTCTCAGGGGAAGTATATTGCAATCTACCTCCGCTGTTGGATAGCTAATACCTTCACCTGGGGTGAACTGCAGACATTCTCAATACACACACGCAATATGTCGAATTATACATCAACCAGCTGGCGTATTCTATCAGCCAAGATGCACCGCTAGATCTAGCTGGACGAAGGGGTGGAGGTGCCCTGCTGGAATTTGAACGCCTCGATTGCTTGTGGCAGTCCGTCGAGAATATCAAATCGTGGCTGGACAATTTCTACCAAATCCCCAACTCAAAACTCGTCGGCCAACCCTTTCACTTCTGGTCCCAGATGATTCTGAGTATCACCCTATTGAAATACCTCTCAACCCTTAAAGACCCAGAATGGGATTGCCAAGCGGTGCGAAATACAGTTCACCTAATATCGACGATGGACTCTATGCGCCAGAAGCTCGATCTAAGCAGCAAGGAGCCGGAACTTCAATGCCACGACCATCTACTGAAGTTTTTATCCAAGCTTTTATCTAAATGTCAGGTGTGGGCTGAATCTCGGTGGAGCATAGGTTCTCAGATGGGAAACGGTGACACCAGGCCATGTCAGAGTGACTCCCACAATAGCCCTATCCCGGATCTAGATCAGATGGTCTGGATGCAGTCTATGGATTTGGGAGATGACCAGTGGTTTGAAAATGTACTGGGTATGCCCGCGACATTTTACTAGTTGGTCTTGTTGCCCTTACCATAGCCACAATTGGAAGTCGCGTACAAGCAGGTTTCTTATAAGTGACTTCAAACTCATCATGTCGAAGTATTTCTGTTCTTTAGTATAACATTAAGCTACTTCTATCTATCTTCATAACAGTAGGTTTAAGAAGCACCCCAATACCTCCCTTCTCGGGGGAATTATATTTATCTTTATTTTTAACTCCATGAGTGAATAATATTGGATGTAATTTTCATTTCCAGTACATATCTACCCCTTTCCTATGGAACATACAAGACATCTCAAGCAAAGCCGGTGCTGATCACCCAGCTCACGTCATCGTTGAAGGAAGTGGCGGAGTCGAACGTATTGACACCGCCATTGCTCCCAATGTAGAGCAAGTTGTCGTAGTGGCGGAAGTAGCGAGTGGGATAGCTCCAGGATCGAACTGAGCTACCCTGGCCATTTATCCCGGCCTGCGGGCAGAATGTAGCATCTTCATGGAGCAACTTCGTGCCGTCGTTGGCGGCAAGCACGAGTGCGAATTTAGAGTGCCGGATGAAGCTCCCGGGGGTATCGACGGACTCGAACGAGAAGCAAGCGCTATTTGCAAGACCGGCGCGAACCGTCCAGCTAGCCTGTTTCTTGAGGGCGGTGGTGCTGGATGACGAGACAACTTGAGTGTTGATGGCCGTGCCGGTGTGTGCGATGTAGCGCGTCGTGTAGCCGGACGTAGTAGCCCGCAGTGAGATTGAGGAACCGACGGTGAGCGCCGTCCCACTAGTCAGCGACGTGGTGGCATATTTGGCCGCTACGATATTAGCCTGCACCGAGTTCTCGGTGGCGTCGGTTGGATAGCCGGAGGTCATCACGCCCTCGTAGAACGTGCCCTGTGCGCCATTGCTGTTGTCGCCGCCGATGCCAAGGATTATAGCACCCTCCTTACTCATTGGGTTGTATCCAGACGCGCTTGGACGCGCACCGCTGTAGTATGTTGATAGGGAACCGGACGCGGCATTGCCACCGCGGATGGCCCACAGGTTTGGCCCTCCCTTGAGAACTGCATTGACAAAACGGTAGGATAACGAAGGGTCGCCAGCGTTGTTATCTGGGCTAGCGCCAGAGAACAGGCCGTTCTCAAGGTCTGCCATGATCCAAGGACCGCTCCCAGCGCCGGAGCCCCAGCCAGTGTTGTCACCATAGTAGATGGCCTCCATGTGGCCGTTACCGGTATCAGTACTGCTGATCTCGGCATTGCCGTAGTCGAAGCAGCAGGCACCGTTGTAATGGGTTCCATCAAGGACTGCGTACATTCCCTCAGCTGCATCCCCCGTAGCCGTGCCGCTGGCGGCGTTGTTGCTGTAGCCGGTTCCCGGAGACATGAACACACCGTAGGCTTTCTGGCCGTTCAGCGTGACCGGTGCTCCAATGGCGCTGGCCAGGTTATCATAGCCATTAGCTTCAGGGCCTTTGAACCCACCAGGCGGAGCCTGTTTGAGATGATTACCGCGGCCAGACTGGTCATAAATGATCGTGATTAAGCAGGTTGTGTTTGAACAGAATTTGTCCTGTGCAGCGGCATTCGCGACACCCCCAGCAGCAAGCGGCGAGATATCGGTAGTTGTATTATCGGAGCCACGTTTGACCTGATAGAGTGCACTAGTGTAGGCGCTGTACAGGGCACGAGTGGTGCTGTGTGCAGCGATGCAGGGCGTGTTGCCGGACGCGTAGATATCACAGGGCCCAGCTTCAACCAGTTTGCCAGTGGCAGCAAGGCTTAGAACCAGTACACAGAAGCGTTCGAAGCTTCGTCGTGAGAGCATGTTTGGTCACCTTTAGAACAGTATGTCAGGCAGGTCTCGCTGTTTAATCTAACGGGATGCTACAATGGACACTGAAGAGAGATAGGGCCTTGTGCAGCGTCCATCTTTCCTATTTATATTTAGTCCGTCAGCAAGCCTTTCTAGAGTAGCAGGGGTTACTAAAGCGGTAATTCTCCAGTAACGCATTGATGAATTGATCATAGTGGATAGTACCCTTCACCAATAGGACTTATGCGACTGAAACGGAAGGTTTTATTCCGCTAATGCTAAGGAGTATGTCACGAGAGCTCTCGATGTCTAGATGCTATATTAAGCTTTTCCCACCGGGATTTTCCCTTTTCTTTCAGACCTGAATTGAATAAACAAGACAAGCCCCGTAGGATCGTCAGTCTGAAATGGCATTAGCCTGAGGGGTACGTGACAAGGCGAGTTATGCCGAGGATAATGCGTTAAAAAAAGCTTAGACTTGGGAACCTAACCATATCCCGTTCTACACACGAATTTAAACTGTTGAACAGAAGATTCACAATCATTTATATAGAAGATGTTGGGATTGGACGGTGAAATTGCAAAATACTGTTTCGGGTCTCCAGATCATTTCCCCCGGCCCAACGTGATATATCTCCGGTGGAGAGATTCGTTTAGAGACCGTTCCAGTGCAATCAAGTTATCACTCATACAGGTATGAATTAAAGCTTCAATACCTTCGGACGTATGAAGGAGTGGCTTACTAATTTTCTGGCCATATACACGCTAACGTTAGCGGTGTTGCTCTGACTGTGACCTCGACATATTGACCAACTCTCCTTCTCTTTACTACGCATCTGAAATGGGGTTTTCAAACTTACCTGCTGACTTGATCTTCTACATCGCCACTTACTTCCAATACGACAGCGATTTGAACTCGTTCATAAGAACAAGCAAATCCACTCATCGTTTGCTGAATGATTTCCTATATCGACACAATGTCCTCTATTTTGGTAGCTCCGCCCTTGAATGGGCAGCGCGAAATGGTGTCGAGAATACTGCGCGAATGTCACTAGAAGCCGGCGCCTTACCAAGTGCCTGTGTGGACGAAGAATGGCAGCCGATGGCCTTAGCAGCGGCTCACGGACATGACAACGTGGTCAAGTTATTTCTAGACCTAGGGCTCAATCCATGTAGAAGGGAAGGGTGGCGACCCCTCACAGAGGAGTTTCTGAACCAGGAGGAGTTCGAGGAAGACGGATACCCGAACATCTTATTCAAGCCTGAGAGTGATCCGCTCACCCTCGCGATTAAGAATGGCTGCGAAAATGTTGTACGCGTGCTGATCATGCATGGTGCCACGAGAGGGTGGAACAACCAAAATGCGATCGCTGCTATCTACCTAGCTGTCATCGGTGGGCACTTGGAACTGGTCAAATTACTGGTAGAATTGTTTCCTCAAAGCATCAATGAAGTCACTCGGGATGGTGGGAAGGGTCCTTTTACATTTGCGATACAGCACAATGAACCGGAAATTGCTCGATTTTTGGGGAGTATCGGAGCCGATGTAAATGTTGCATGCGACAGGAAAATTACTCCACTAGGCTTGGTCGCCTATCGAGGCAATCTTGAGACTATCAAGTTCCTCGTGGAGAACGGAGCCTGTCCGGATCCCGAGATGTATGCCGATGCTACGTTATGGCCTTTGAGATGGGCAGCTGAACGCAAGAGATATGATGTTGTGGAATACCTCCTCACAAAGATTGATGTGAATGCTAAGATCTCTAAGGGGGGCGAGGACTTGGCTATCCTTCTACTTGTTTCGGCACTTTGTGGACTTGAGAGCCTTCTTCGGGAGATCCTTGCGAGTGGATGTGATGCAAACATCGTTTGCTGTCATGCCTATCCCGATTACTCTTCCCAGTCCCGCCCAGCACTCTCCGCAGCCGCAGGAAGAGGGCATGTTGATATCGCCACTATTCTTATAGAACATGGTGCAAGCCTGTATGGAAAGAAACCAGCTAAGTACACGGGCTATGACTCACAAACTCAACCGCTCTTTTCAGCCTGTCGAGGAGGTCATATCGAGATAGTGAAGTTGCTGCTCGATCATGGGCTCGATCTTGAGAAGGCAGAGAACGAACGAAAGTCAGCTGTGATTGCAGGCATAAAGTTCCCCCAGATCATTGATTTGCTTCTTTCGCGAGGTGCGGAAGGCCAGGCTCATTTCTACAATGAAAAAGCAAATCCGATGACAACGGCCGTTAAGTCTGGGGGTATTTCATCTATACAAGTCTTACTCGACCATAATGTGCCCGTTGGACCTTCGGCCTTTTTCGCCTGGAACGAAAATTTGATTGGCGAAGCATCAAAAACGAAGGATGGACCGGTTATCCTGGATCTTCTTGCTGCACATGGTGTGGTGGCTCAGGCAGACGACAGAGACGCGCAACAGTCGTTGAGAGACACAATAGTACGAGGAGGTGCAGAAGTCACTGAGTTCTTCCTCAAAAGGGGGTTTGACCCAAACTTGAAATGGGACGGTCACTCGAGCTATTCAAGATCATACCTCGAGGATGCATTGAAAGCCAAGCACCTAGAAGCTGCAGAGGCAACGATTGTTGTGCTCATGCGCTACGGTGCAGATATCAATAATCTTGAGGGCTACCAACACAATTTCATGGCCTTTGATGGTGAGTTAAAGTGCCTTAATTATGCTCGGCTTCTTCTGGATCGAGGAGCAAATCCTCTTCCGGAACATCGCTTTGGTTTGTCGCTACTTGAGTTCGCGGCTAAGAATAACTTCAAAGCGTTTCTTCGCGAGGTATTGCGCTATATCGATGCTCAAAATCTACCATTTATCGATATACAGCGAAATTTCTCTTTGGTTGAGTCGCATCCTAAAGTACGGGGAAATTGGCATGCTATGAACATCTGGGAGAGCTTCTACTGGAGAAATAAATATCCCATGTCTTCTTGAATTGAGATCTCAATGGTTTCCCTGTACTATATTAATTCCTGAACACTGTAAAGAATTCCATTCAAGTGATCTAGCTCCTAAATATTTAATTTATCTACTACTCACTCACGCTCAGCTTATCTTCTACATGGGGAATTGTTCCAATTTTGAGGCGTCACGATTCAGCCCAATACATCTACCCTAGACTGGACGATGCCGTATTCCGATGAGGCTACAGTGCACAAGAAGTGAAAAGCAAAGGTACAATATTGAACTATTCAAACAAGAATGGTGATATCAGAAGGTACAACTAATGGATTGACTCCGACGCCACTGAATGCACAAATCAAACAAGATAAAATTGGGTATCGTTCGCAAACTCCCGCTGCCATGCGCGTAATTCATGAAGGAGCATCAATTTGAAACTGATGCCCAAGTGGGCGAGCATTTAAATCTGGTGACTTTGTTAGCATACGAACATACAGTGAAAGCGTATGTGGACTCACCAAAGCAAGAGGGAGGCGGGCAGGAACACGGCCATTGTGCAACAGCATAGCGACCGCCTTCTGGGGAGTGGCCTGCAGCTTGCGGTAGGCCTCGCGAACGTGTCGTGGCTCAATGGGAGTGCGTCCCTCCTCGGGGGGGTCGAACAGGCCAGTCTCACGCTTGCGCTTCTTGAGGTTCTCGCCGGCTTCAGCGCCACCGCGACGGTGCTTCTCATTGTCTTCGCGCTCCTTGACTTTCAACGCCTGTTCAGTCAGGGTCTGGACGATCTCGAAAGTGAGGAATCCGAGGATGTCCACGATGTCGTCGTTTGGCTTGGATTCGGTCACGATGCCGAAGCCTGCCCACTCGCGGAAACGCTTGCTCTTGCGGTAGGTGAAGGAAGCCTGGCGACACTCAGACCAAAAGACATACTCCTCTCGGGTCATGTGGCGGGTGCGTTCATCGGCCGCGGCAAGACGCTGGAGAGTCGCGTAATTCTGTTCCTCTTCTTCTTCATCCTCTTCATCTTCACGCTCCGGGACCTGAACTGAGTAGAAACTGTTGACATCCCACGCAAGTCCAACCTTGGCGCGCTTGTTCTTGGGCTTGGGGGCCATGTCTTGGGGGCCTGCAACAACGCCAGCCGCATCGTCGGCGGCAGCAAAGTCGGCGGCGTCACCACCACCCTTGTCGTCGGAGTCCTTGACATTCTTGCGGACGTCCTTCCAGGAGAGGAAGGTTCGCAGACGGGATACCTTAGCCTTATCGTGGCGAATTAGGAAAATCAGGTCATCGGTAGAGATCGAACGAACTCCACGGCGAGTTGCCAATGCAGTGCTGCGGCTAAGCTATTTGATCGTTAGTGAAAAGAGCTTTCAAGGCAGAATAACTAGTACTCACAATCTCGATCACTTGTTGGCGGGTGATCTCTTCAATCAAAGTAGTGGTCTCAGGAGACGGTTCGGCTGTCTCTCCAGAGACAAACATCATCTTAATATTGTAGTTAGTAAAGGAGCCACCGGGCATGTTTACTTCCTCCATCTCGTGATCTTCCTGGCTCTCGATAATTGGTTCGGAGAGTATTGTTTCAGTCACTGGTTCGGAGTTGGTCGAGGCGCTGTCCTTCAGAAAACTGAGCGAATTTAAGACATGGGTACGCAGCCTGCGAAGTCGAAGACGAAAGAGCCCTTCCTTCGTAGGATCATGATGCTGGGGATAAAGATCGTGGAAGTACTCCCCCGTGGCGAAGAAGTCTGACTGGGCATCGTCCGACAGGCGCTCTTGATTCGCATCAGAGACATCTTGAACAAAATGCATGGAAATATCGTCAGGGATATCCAAACCCGAGTCTGAAGCTGCAGAAGGCGCATTGACAGGGGAAGTGATGATCCAATCACTCATTGTCGTATCAGGATCACTCGAGGCCATATCAGGATCAGTCTCGGTCCTATCAAAATCACTCAAGGTCTCATGGGGGTAATCTTGCATATATTCCTCATTTCGCGCAATTGTTTCCCGACACTGTCTCCAGAGCTCGACGATCGATCTGGCGTCAAGTCTGGGAGGAGACATTATTGGCGCCATGATTGACGAATGGAGAAACAAAGTGTTCAATATGGCGGATGGGATTCCTGAGGCACAAATGGCGGGGAAAGGTGAAGAATAAGTGAGAAATACAGGCACCTTGGCAAGCCGATGGAGTGGCAGCCCTTCCAATGTCGATATCGATAATAATCTCGCCTTGTGACCCCCGCGAATATCACAATATAGAAGAGAAGGCACGAGTCCCTTGCCAATTGCTCTCAATTCTAGGAACTTTGAAATCCTCCCTATTCTTCAACCCAGTATCTCTCACTGACTTAATTCCAAAGCTTCGATATTGACAGGACCAGTTTCTGGGATGATTCACGCATTTCGAGTATTGCAGTTTGTTGCTCGACGTCAAGATGTGTGCATGCCAACATCCAACAGTGTAAGGTTAAAAGGCCTAGCTGGACTGAAACAACATGATCACATGTTTATGGACCCATGGTCGACCTGCGCTTCGAGAAATCGGGGACAAGAATGAGATGGCATTGTTCCAGCAAATGAGGACATTTGCAAGGCAAGTTATATGTCGCAAGCCTAGCCGGACCGTCTCTGGACATCATATTTGCTAACCTGAAAGGCAGCTTTGAGGTTCTTGGGATAGCTTCTTCTCGTGGGACTCGGGTGAATTGAGGCGACTGTAACACTATCCGCAAAGACAATGCATTTGCGCGACGCATGTTGTGTCGCAAAGCCAGCCGACAGGCACAATATCCTCAGAGGTCTTTACAGACCTGACGGGGACATATGATTGAAATATTCGAGAACCAGAAAGATCGAGATACCGAAGACCACAAGCAAAATGAACCAGATATCGGGGAGGAACTCACCTGCTGTATCTCCTGCCGATACTTCGGATTCCGATCGGAGCTCATGATGGATGGCGGTAACCCTACCAGGGGAGATGGCTTTGGCGATCGAGATGAGGGCTTACACTGGTGTTCAACCAGGAAGAGTGAGCGGTATGGGATTGATTCAAAGCAAAGTCAAAGAATGTCACAAGGAGGATGACAAGGAGGATGAAGCTCTGGACGCGCACAGGCCGATCTGGGGGAGATAAGCGATAACCGGATATTCTTTGATCCGGCGGTCGCAGAGCATTCTGCCGGCATCGCGGGGCACGGTTATTCTTTTTTCGAACTGTTTGTTACACAGTGAGATCCATTGCATTCTCTTCAATTGCATAACCTACGACTTTACAGCCAAGATGCTTCACTTAGTTGGACTTGGTCTTGCCGATGAGACCGATATCACCGTCCGCGGTCTGGAGATCGTGAAACGGGCCGAGAGAGTCTATCTAGAGGCATACACGAGTATTCTTCTTGTCGATAAGGAAAAGCTGGTGAGTTTGGTTGCAAGTTTCTGCTCCCAATCCCATATCACAATGAAATATTGCATATATTTTGCGCAGATGGACTGATTAAACATAACACCAGTAGGAAGCGTTCTATGGCCGCCCCGTCATCGAGGCTGACCGTGAACTAGTCGAGACCGGCAGCGATGACATCCTCGCCGGCGGCGACAAAGTTGATATTGTGTTCCTAGTAGTGGGAGATCCATTTGGGTACGGTTTTTATTCATCGCTCCTACAAGATCTATAGCTAACACCATACCTTCAACAGCGCAACAACTCATACCGACCTCGTCCTCCGTGCGCGCGAACTTGGCATCGAGACGAAAGTCGTCCCCAACGCCTCCATCATGTCCGGAATCGGCTGCACAGGACTCCAGCTGTACAACTTCGGACAGACTGTCAGCATGGTCTTCTTCACTGAGACCTGGAAGCCGTCATCGTACTACGACCGTGTGCGCGAAAACATTCAGATCGGCCTACACACACTAGTCCTGCTCGATATCAAGGTCAAGGAGCAGTCGCTGGAGAACATGGCGCGTGGACGCCGCATTTTCGAGCCCCCGCGCTACATGACTGTTGCGCAGTGTGCGGCACAGATGCTGGAGACCGAGGAAGAACGCCAAGAGGGTATTTATGGACCAGACAGTTTGGCTGTTGGTGCGGCGCGAGTTGGCGCTGCTAATCAGCAGCTTGTTTCTGGTACGCTTAAGGAGTTGTCTACTGTTGAGATGGGCGCGCCACTGCACAGTCTTGTTCTTCTCGGCCGGAGGACGCACGATCTTGAGAGGGATTATATTCGTGAATATGCGGTCAATAAGGAGACATTTGATGCGAGCTATGCCAAGGGATACGGGGCTAGCTTGTAAGAGTTGACTTTTTGGGAAGAGATATGATTTCAAAATTAAAATACATGATAAGTTTTCTAAAAGAGGACTGGATTACTTGCAATAATATACATGCTGAAGTTTGCGGAATGATCAAGCTGGGAAGATAGTATATGGTATATTGGCTTTCATTCAATTTGATCCGAGGATCAATCGACCAGAGCAGTGTCTGGATTTTTCTATACGAACATAGGAAGACAAAATGAAAATGCTGCAATATAAGGAAAGACGCAAAGCAAAATGGTATCCAAGAAATAGAGACGGGAAAAAAAAACAGATGCAGGCATAATACCCAAAAGTTCAATATGCAAAACGACACTGCCCACCGGTGCAGCAGTGGATGCAAATAGGGAATATACGGGGATATTGAGGTGACCGGCACCAGTAAGTCAGCGAGGTCGAAGCGTAATAGAACAAAAAGCACCCAACCAACCGACACCTTATGATATGCAAAATGGTGAAGCAATGTACAATCAACTCTCGACGAAAAAGACACTCATATCGTATCACATCAGATATCTTCTTCCTCGCCAGGAAGAATAATCTCATGTCCAGAACCTTCATATACGAAGATAGCTGCAAGGCAGCCAAACACGGATACCAATGCAATCAACCACCAGGCAAGGCCAACCATACCAGCATCCAGGCCGTATCCGTACCACGCACCTGAAAAGATAGGTCCAATGGTACGGAAGGCTGATGATACGGACTGGCCAATTCCGTGGATTGTACCGAGAACCGATGGGTGCGGCGAGCAGTTGTTCAGCAGGATGATAGAGGTTGGAAGAGTAAAGGTTCGGGCAGTGACCTGGAAGAAGAGGACGATGATGATCCAGAACCAAACCCAGGGGCCATTGGCTTGACCAGGAGGGGGAGTTGTAGATGGAGCCAGCGAGATATAAGGGGCAATGAAGTATGCAACGGGGAAGAGGGAGAGGAAATACTGATAGCTCTTGGCTGTCCCCAGACGACCGTTAATAGTAGGGTAGATGGTGAACTGGAGGAACATGCCAATCACACCCAAAATGGCGGTCGCAAAACCAACGCTCTGCGGCAGCATGCCCAGTCCGCCGGTGAAGGCGAATGGCAAGCTCCGGGCAGGACTTGCGGGGTCATTTGCATCATAGCGGGGAGTAGACAGGAAAAGTAGCCAAAGGTTGTTGAAGGCACCCATTTGGAAGTCGAAGAAAGCCTGCGCACCGAGCGTGCATAACACGTTCTTGGTCCAGATTCTTCGGAAAGGCAACACACGTCGAAGGCGGGCAGGCTTGTGCGCCTTTTCTTCGAGCTCGTAGCTTTCCGAGCGGTCCACGGGCCGGCCCAGCAAAGGCCCGTCCTCTTCGTAGTCCCGCAGCGGAAGCTTTGTGTAGGAGGACAATGAAGAGGGAAACACCTTCTTCATGACGCGCGCAAATAGCTTCTTAGCAAATACACCCAAACCAGGCTTACCCTTGCAAGATGCCAAGGTCTCTTCTAATCCATACGCAACCAAACCTGCAGTTGCAGAGAGGAAACAGAAGTTCGCAAGCATTGGAAGTGCATAAGGGTACTTTTCGAGCCATTGCACTCCATCCGCACCTCCGAAGGAAGAATTAGGACCAAAGAGAATAGGATAGCTCGTAACCGGATCAGCCAACATGCCACCCATCACTGCAAAACTAGTTAGCGCATTGTCGCATGACCGGGAACAGCATTGACAGAACGAGGTACTCACCAGGACCAAACAACGAAGCTATGTTGAAGCCAATAGGCAAAATCAAGAAAGCCCGCGAATGATATTTCTTCTCCTTGACATTCTCCGCAATCATAGTTCGAATAATACCAACGGTGCCATTGATGGCGCCACCAAATGAGCGCCAGAACACGGCCTGCGCGAACGACGTCGAATATGCGACACCCAAACAGGATACCGCAGTGCCAACCAAACCAACAAGTAGAACGAACTTCCGACCACCCCACTCTGCATCGGCAACACGACCCCAGGGGATCGCCGTCGCAAACTGAGCAGCGGTGAAAGCGCCCTGGAGAATTCCAGCCTGGGTCGCGACATCAGAGTCAGAGAGATTCGGGTCGAAGGACTTGAGCTGATAGAACATGTAGGCCTGTAGCGAAGCGACCTGCAAGAAATCAAAGACACGACAGAGGCCCAGCAGCATCAATTGACCCTTCCGCGGCAGCGACATCCACGTTACGAGCGGGGGGCGTGCTGGCGCCCGCACAGTCGGGGGCTCCTCCCCCTGCAGGGTCAGTGCCTGTGGCTGGCCATGGTTGATGGAGCGGCCGCGCACATGCTGGGTTTTGCGGTCACCACCCATATCCATTGAGGTATTCCTTAACATAGTGTCATTGATGACAGAGTCGAGCGAGTCTTGGGAGGAGGAGCGTTCTTCAACACTGGCGAGAGAGGTATTCGACTCGCGTCGTCGGCGGCCTTGCGCGTTTTCGGAGGATTCGCCGGTGTTCTGGATGAAATGGAAGCCACTCGACCAAGATGTCGTACGCGCATGGCGGGCATTATCCGTTTTATTATTTCCGGTCCTGGCAGGCATTGAGGAATGTACTAGTGTAAGCCGAGGCACCGTAAGAATCAGTCGTAGGCCGTTTTGGTTTCATGTATTTTTCGTAGTTTGGCTTCGTGGCTTGACTATATTGGCTATGAGAGAATTGAAGAAAGATAAAGAGAGTTTTTTTTTTTTTACCTTTAATTTCAATGTCTCCTATATGCTGTATCATCTCGGCCCAGGGGATTTTAGGCGATGATGTCACTCTTTACTTTTATTGCCGGGCCCACCATGAATGTCGTATATTATTACAGGGAAAAAACGGTATTTTCACGAATACATATTTAGAAAAATACGGTATTCTTCAAATACGGTATCTTTTTCTCATACCTACTCCTGGAAGTATAGACATAAATCATTGCTTTATACTCCGTACACATGTAGCTCATTTGGTTCTAGTGCTTGGACTCCATCCTACCAGTTTAGCTTCTACCTCCATATACTGTGTAAAGCGACAATAATGGAATGCATTCAATCATTCCTAGCATCCATCTTACTAAAGAAAGGACTTGACACATAAAACGGCCGTTCTACAGGCCTCTCATCATGATCACTCTCTCCATTCCCCTTGGAGCCTAAAAGCGACTGCATTCGCGCCCAAAGCACCTCGCTCTGAGCCAACTTCCCAACAAGCTTCACTGTATCCCGTTCTCTGTCTAGAAACTTTGCATCAGGCTCGCCTTCATACGTCGACTCCGGATCATCTATCCATTTCTTTCCTCCCTGGAGACACTCATTTTTCTTTTCCTCCGAGCTTCGGTTAATCATACTCTTCCAGAACGCCCCTTCTCAAGAGGAAACAAAGCGAGCATGCTCAAGCATTCCAACAGAAGCAGCAACCCAGTCTTGGCAATTTCCGACCCCGAACTCGGGGATGTTGGATTCGTCGTTCCCAAACGCGAAGATCAAGCTAGCAGCTTGTTGGCTCTGCTCAGAAGAGAGAGAAGCAAGTTCACAGCAACCTTTGAGTACTGGATCTTCGAGCGGCTGTGGCCGCGGATCATAGATGAAGTAATCGTCTGTGGGGTGGCGTATATGGTGCATCTCGCAGGTTGAGGAACCGTACTCGTAGATGGCGACTCCCATGTGAGAGGGCCCATCGCCGAGTTTGGCGTAGCCGCGGCCGTATATGTTTATTGAAAGGCCGTAATTATGGGGTGTCATGGCTAACACTGGTAGATTAAAGAGACTATCTAGTTGTCGGCGGTTATGTAGTTGCTTATATTAAAGCTGCCTACTGAGGAGGTTACTTGATGGTGTATTAGAGCACTAAATTGTAAACAGCAAAAATAACTACATACAGTAATTCACAGGTCCTTATGTAATTCACAACAAACATCTCCTTTAGGTAGTGTATTTATACTGACCATAACAGTCGCGTGGTATAAAAAATCAAATTCATCCTTACAAAATAAACATCCCATATGGATACATACACGACTCTCCGGTATCATAGATCGACGACACCCGGCTTGCGACGACTGCTCCACATATCCCTGCCGAGCCCTCCTCCCTCGATGCGTTTTAGCGACGGAAGTCTTGGCATGTAAGGTATGAACCGTGGACGAGAAGTTATGTTAGCTTCACTTACCCCATACAAGATTTTACAGTTCCAGTTTTACTACGTGGTATTTTTTCAGGTAGTATGCACTTGTGTACCAATGTAGGAAGTTGTGTATTAAGTCTTGGTTTCATATTTGTTTCAAGTGGATACTTTATCCATGGAATTAAGCTTGAATACATTAACACTTTGAATGTAATACAAAATATTAAAATAAATACTATCAAAAGATTCTAGAGCCAACCGGCGGCAATAACTAGTTAGCGCCCAGAGTTCGGGCATTTCAGCCATATTCCACGTCAATGGGAAAAAGCCACTTTGATACTTCAACACAGATATGCCCAGCGCTAAGACGTTATCGATCAGCTCCGCTCGTTCCGAAGGGGTACGTATACCCAGTGCGTAGGCGCGGATGTCGGCTTTGTGTATTTTTTTCGGGGATGTGTATTGTATTACACACAGTGGAAACATCCACCCATTGTTCTTTACCTCGCGCCGCGTGGTTTTGCCTCTTGTGGTATTGCCTATTATGGATTGTTTGTCCTATTCTTGGGTCTATAGCATACATGGTTTCAACTCGAGATATTTTTCCTATTTAAGTAGTATGTGGAAGAGACAGTGCGTATAGTCATCTAATATATGGTTTATAGTATGTTATCGTAGTATGTATGTAAAGTAAAGAAAAAGAATGAGTGCTTGACTATTCGTTCCGCTCTCGTCCACGCCTGTGGCCATATGGACTCCGCTCATGCAGCGGGAAGTAGGAGGTTGCTTCGTCCCCTGTAATCCACCGGTGCCAATTCCACCAGGGCAGATCAGTAGCTTGCACCGGAGGGTGCTTCCGCTCAATCGTACCGTCCATAGGCCCAGAGAACTCCTGATCACGTAATTGTTTGAGCGAATGCTTGATACACCACCGATGTGTGAGGAAGGCTCCGGCGAAGATGGGGATCAGCACGAGAAGGACAGTGCCCCAGGCAAGAAGATCTGTGAAATTGTCAGTTTGCTTCTTTTACTAGTTGAAGTAAAAGGTTTGTTCCAGGTATACTTACGGCCAATGTTCCACTCATTCGAATGCTTTGGAGCACCAGAAGGCCGAGGATGACCCGAGGGATTTGTCCAAATATTAGAACCTGGGTTGTTGGGGTCAATCCACGGCACAGTATTGACACCTACTGGCGGAATGAAAGGACGGGCTGCCTCTTCACCAGGGAACCCATATCCTTGTGCGTCTGAGCAGGTAGAGGTAGCGCAGAATTCACGCAGCTCGGAGGAAGGCACGAAGGTATACTTGGTCTCAGATTTTCCCAGCACGATTCCCTCGGAATCCACTGCTTCGACCTTGGACCAAAGGAAAAATCTGGCGTTGGTGTATTCTGTCTCAAACCCGGTTTTGGAAACCTCGTCCAGCAAGATCCAAGGCCCGGTAATGTTCATCGCTCCCCAAAATCGCCACGTGTTGACGTGGGTTGCGCCGTTCCAGCTGACATAGAAGCTAGTGGAAGAAATTGGTTCCGCAGTTCGGGCATATGTCCATAGGGCTGGTGAGTCTGTTGGTATGCCGTCCCATTCAAACTTCATTGCGCGGTAGTTCATCACGGTGTCCTTGGCGAATGAGCCCCAAAACAGGAGATTGCCTGCCTCGTCGTGCTCAGATACGAAGGGGTTATTTCCCCATCCGATGAAGGCATTTTGGTTGGGGAGCACCTGCAGGTTTCCCTGGCTAGAGCTCACTATGTCGTTCAGAATTGGGGCATAATCGCGGATCTGGGTGGCCGTTTTTTCCACGTGGTCAATCAGGATGATCATTCCCGCTGAATAGGTATGGGTCTTATTGAAGCCGTTATAGCCATTATTGTAAAGCGAGAGAATTGTATGCGTCGTGTTCTCGTGTAACCACCGGGCGTCGTGCTGCTGCGAAAAGATAAAATTGATATTCCGGAAAGAGGACTGCGCGCCATGAAGCCGCCACATCACCGAGCCGTCTTTACCGGAGATCTTGTAGATGGCAGAAGTATGCCGCGACGAGATCAGATAGTCACCAGCACCATTTTTATCAACGGAGTTAATGTGGAAGTAATCCCAAGGCTCATGTACGTTCAATCCCGTACCAGAAGTATCAGTATGAGACGGCCATGTATAGCTCAATGACGGATCAACATGATCGAGAGACCGCCATTCAAACAGGACCTTGTTGGTCTCCACATCGACCTCCTGAAAGACACTCTCCATGAGCCACCCTACACCAGTTTTGATGTTCCACGGTGTCATGTCGAATTGCCGTTGCTGGTAGATGGTCATGAGAGCGGTTCTGCCATCATTGATGGGACGGAATTCGTGCATGTCGCTCGATGCCATTCCTCCACCCGGCTGGACTGACCGCACAACTCGGTAGTTTTTATCCATGATGATACCATGTCCGCGGCAGTATCCTTTTTGCTGGCTGCCCTGAAAGAAACATAGGTGATCGGAGCCGTTGTATTTACACACGTGGAGGCCATGGGCGTTACCCGGCCCCGAAATACCCCAGCCACTCCATACTAATTCCTATTGATCGTATAGCGGGTTAGCTTTTACATAATCGGCGAATATCAATCCGCAAAATAAAGACCTACCCCTGTGTTATCGTAAATGTACGGACCGGGATTCTGAAGTTCGTACGGTGTGATGAAAATGTAGCCCGGGCTGAGCTTGCCGGGATCGGACTTTTCGATATTAAAGACAGGTGGGTATATATCGGGTCTCTGTTGCACCGATGATAATTTCAGCGAAAAGCATACTTGTGGTATCAGACTGAGTTTACTTACCGATTTGTAAAAAGAGGTTTCTTCTCCAAGCGCACTGTCAATAGCGCATAGCCAGAGAATACCAAAAAAGAAGAGCAGCGGTGAAGTCCTTAAAGAGGAAGACATGGAGGCCCCCATGAGTTCTTCGCATCACTTCCCGATACAAGATATAAAAAGCTTGTTGGGTCAGACAAAAAGATCACCCAAAAGATTGTATGCAAGTGAGGTTGTATTGAAGGCAAATCATGTAGGAGAAATATAGAAAATCGCAGACCAAGAGTAATACTCAAGCAAGGTCAAAGAGGCCAAAGAGGCTCAACAAGCAAACAGTGTGTACGAATCCCTCTCCACCTGTCAATGCATGCTTTTTGCAATCTAGTGGGGCGTAAACTTTGTTTATCATCCATGTTGATTGGATAAAAGCCATTTAAAGCTAGACAAAGTGCTTAGTCAAAGGAAATTCAACCAACACCGGTCCAGTGCCAAGATGCCCAGTCCTACTAAAAGTTGTCTCAGTTGCTTAAGTTGCGGGGGAAGTGTTCGGGGATTTGATGAATACGAGAAAAATGAAGGTTCAAAGATCATTATCACTCTCAAAAGATTTTGATCGTCTTAACTATTGCTACTGAAAACCTTGATTGTTATTTTCTTTTTACCCTATACGTGTCCCAGATAGTGTGATGGTACGAGTATTTTTCAAAGGCCACGTCATGGCTGGAAGACTAATGCGATGTGGCTACCGCTAACAAGCCCCGAGCATCTTAACTCCGAGATCGTACCTGTTTTGTATACTCAATGGCCTCAATTCATATCAAAGGCTCGAGCAGACGTCAACCATGTAACGTGGCTCGGGAACGGGACCATAGATGAAGACCCAGCTACCCGCAAGCCAAACTCAGATAACAGCTGAATCCCCAATCCAGTGACTTATTCTATTCGGAGGTAGAACCAATGGATCCGACTTTCAACCTTCCCAAACTCTAGGCACTCCGATAAAGCTAAAAGCTAGAATCCACGTGCATCTAGCCGAGAAGAAGCATCAACTCGTTGCGTACACCAGTGAATTTACTGAGGATTGGTTCAGGTATAGCGGTGTCGCATAGTGCGTTGTCAAAGCATACGCAGGCCATCTTTGTTGCAACATCTATTCTAGTACACGTGCATTAGATTTAAACCTACCATATCCGTGGCATGGACATTTAGTATCCATAATTTAGAGGTAAATTTCAGACGATATGGATACTCTCGTACCCGCGGACATCACATGTTCATTGATCAATTGACAAATTATGCATTGAGAGCAGAGAACTCGTGTGAGATTTCCCAAGTGGAATCGTACACTACGCGGAGTAGACCATTCAACTCTTGGAGCTATACAGATAGATAAGACATTAGATGAATTGGGTCTTATCCTTTCAGGGCACTCACAAGAGGTAAAGAGGACCTATCAGATATCCACGACTACAGCCTTGGAGACACCTCTTAATCAACGCGGTGCAATTCCCAGCATCATCCGCAACCCATCCCCGAGATCAAAGTTCACATGTACCGACGAACTCTGTCCCAAAATAGCCTAATTCGCGAACAATAACCGATCACTCAAGGTGCCATTAGTCCACGTATACCAACCCAATCTCGTCTTTGTTACGTATTTTGGTTAAATCCTTCAAGCCTTCTAAGAGGATCCTCTCCCGAGTCTAGAGCAAAATAAGCAAGCCCCGGACCCGCTTATGCTTGTACGTTGGAACAGCGACGCAGTTATATCCGTTATTTCTCCATTACAAGAACATACAATAAATAACAATACATGTAACTTTCAATGGTGTATGTATGTATGTACTTTTTGTACATATCGCTTGGTCAAGTCATATGGGTCATTTTCCCACCGTGCCAAGCCACTAGTCAATACACACCTCCACGTCGCTTCTCCAATAAAGTGTGGCTTATGCGTTTTCTCTTTTTCGTATTTCGTACGAGTACGAGAGTGGAAAGGTAGGAAGGGCGGGACCAGGTATGGACGGCAGACTTAGAAGTTATTATTTATTTACTTGTTGAAGCAGTTGCTATGTTATGTGTATGCTGTACATGTACAATTGATCGGTGATAAATCGGCCTACTCCATGTTCGCCTTACGTTGACCCCGATCGATCGAAAGTCGGCGGTAAGGCTTTTCTTGGCCGAGATTTTAGGCGCCCCTTGCCTCTAGGCAATGCATGATGATGACAGAGCCTTGGGGAAGCGGCTCCCTTGTGCTTTATCCCTGATTTGAGAGCTGGGGGTGATTTGATGCACTGGTACGGGGTATGCAGGAGGAAAGATAGTAAAAATGGAAGAAATAGATAGTATATACTGTTTTATTACCGGATTGTTCTCCAACAAGTCCCTCGTTAAATCAATTATGACAGAATGAAGATGCCAAAACAAGGAGACCGACGTGATAGATGCATGGTCTGCTCCAATGAGGATAGCAGGGGGAAAAAAAAGTAACAAAAAGGACCACGGGGTATGGCAACATACTAAAGGCGCCTGCGCACACTAGCAGCCAGCAAAATATGAGATGTGGGGAATATGATAAAAGAAAAAGAACGCAAGATGGAAGGACGAGCATTTTAGCGTGGGGAGAAACGCTTGAAAGCCAAAGTAGCAGCAAAGCCAGCGGCAAGCAGCGAACCACCAATAGTGACGGCCTGGAGGGCAGCGTTCATCATTTGGTGACGGTTGCGAGTGCTGCAGCGCTTGTAAAAGTCGGCCATGTCGTTACCGCGGGGGAAGGGAGTGTCGGGGACCTCCTCCTCGAGGAACTCGCAGAGCGGGGCCCAGCCGTCGTTGATGTTGTATTCGAGCAGACGCTCGGGGGGAACCATGCTGCGGACCTGGGCGACGTGGTCCTCGTAGACTTGCTTGCCCTTTCCGGGGAAGTCACCGCGGAAGAATGTCTCGAAGAACTTGTTCAGCATGGGGTAGTACATGCCAGCGGCCCAGCTGAAGTTCGACACGAACTTGTGCTCTGGGTCTGAGACACGCCAGTGGACGGTCTTCATGACGGAACTGTTGGTTTGTTAGTATCGTATTCTTTGGGCCAAAAATACAGATGTACAAGGTGCGAGTGTGACTTACGCGTGCCACGGGTCGACATCACGGGTGGTCAGAATGACCTTTGCATTTGGGTATGCCTCGATCAGCTCCTTTGCAAAGGCACAGGCCGGCCAGTCACAGACGGCCTGGCAGTCACCCAGAAGTTGGTCCCATTCCTTGCGGCCGAACTCGCCGATTCCGTCGTACTTCGCGTTCAGGGCATCGTGCCACATGAGGCAATCCGGCGGGTTCTCAACACTTGCGCACATCATGTGGTAGCACTTGCCATAGCCCAAACGCTCAAAGGCCTTGCGGAGAGCTGTCAAATAATAATTAGTATATGCTTATCGTTTCCACCAGACCCGGTATATGCAATAGACCAAATCCAACGCAACACAGCACATCATACTCACAGGCAGTTCCGGTACGACCAACACCCAGAGCAAGGACCTTCATAGGCACTGTGCGGTGGCACTTTCGGCGGTCAATGTTTGTGTCATCGGTGAAGATGTCGGTCATGGGCTGGGGAGCCAGATTATCGGAGAGCATGAGAGACATATTTATAAGCTCAATTGTACCTCAGTATAGTTGGAACTTCTATAGAGAGTGAAGAAGTGTAGGTATAAACGAAAGGAAGTAAAGCTTGATAAAGAAAGGACAAGACTGGAAAAAGTCTAGAAGGAAGGGGGGCCTTTAAGAAGTTGATATGGAGATAGAATAAAAAAGAATAAATACAAGAAAAAAAGAGCCAGCTAAAAAAAAATCCAGGCCCGAACTGATCTCCAAGGGAGATAGATAGAGTGGGCATTCATAGTGTGCCAATGACGAGCCCCGAACCACTTTTCCACCCCGAAGTACTATCCCCGCGAGTGGCAATGTTTCCACTGGCAATTCATTCCACCCATTTGGGTTCTAACATCCGACTATGAGTGTACAAGCTGTACTCCGTACTCCGAGTCAAAGACAATAGGATACGTACATGGCCCTCGAAAAAGTCATTGTACGTATACACATAGAGGCACGGGGCGACGTCACAAGCTGACGCACAGGGATAGGGATTGTCAGGGGTGTTTTTGTGGAGTGTATGGTATTGTATGGTATGCAAAGTCGGGAATTTTGGTAAATGAAAATTACCTGGAAATTGTTCCTGCCAAGACTGATCCACGTATGCTCCGAAATTCCAACCCTCAGGATTTTGGCGAAGATCCATGCATTGTCGGTCATTGGTGGAGCTTCAAAATGGAAACGCGTACAACTTCAACTTGTGGAGAGTGCGTAATTCCGAAGGTCTGTTGAGTCACATAGTAAGCTTATAGATCATCGTAGACTCGTTTACTTCATATGTAGGAGCCTGTAATGCTGTGTTGCTGCATCTCATATTCAGCACGCAGTGAAATTGAAATTGTGTTTGTCAAGCTTGGCCCACAATATTCCACGCAGATCACTGTGTCCAAAAAACGCTCCGGGTACGAGAATCCGACGCCTCCGCTCCATCAGATCGATTGCTCGTTCGAGACTGCAGTTGCGAGTTCCACATGGCAACCCCGGTCCAATTTACTCTTAACACCGCGGAAAGTATGTCAAAGTTTCAACCTGTCATGATGGGGCCCTTCTCCTGGATCGTCCCGCCACACTGCCTATCACAGGAAAGATCACTCGATGTATCGCGGACACAATGCCGTTGTTACCCCAAGTATTGATCAGGGGAGTTGGCATTGGGTATGTTAAGAGACGAAGTTTCACATGGTTTTCATCGTCAGGGGTATAAGCGTCCGGTGTGTAATGTGTGAGGATTTCCGCGGTGCATCAGTATTGTCACGGTTAAAGTGATCGTCCCGTGTTGCTGAGATGTTTTTCATTTAGGAAACTATCCCCGTGCACCCCGAGGCCAGACAACCAGGTTTTGTCACGTGTCCAGCAAGACTGAGCAGATGTCTGTGAGGCTGTGTAGGCAGAGCTAGTGTGTCATGGCCAGTCTATAACGGATGGTGTTGTTCCGGTAAATCCATCACGATATTTCGCCTGGAACGTGCATGATAAAGTCAGAGTAGGACAGACTCTTTGTGGCAGGTTGAATGTAGTAAAAATAAAGCGAAGAAGAATGTCCCAGCAGGGCAGACCCTTTGTAAGGGTCAACAGCGACAGAGCTCCTTAAATGTGTTGTGCCAAGACCTCTAGGCTAACGCTCGCCATCGATGGCCATGATCACCTCACCAAGTCATACCAATTAAAAAACTCCTCAAATGGAAACAGGGCTGCACATCCATTGCAATCTAATCCGAGCTTAAGGGTCCAGGTTTGCGCATTCCATCTCCGCTAGGCATCCACTAACGGCAGTTTTTTTCGGCAGTGACACAGCTATGTATGGAAAGAGAATACGAAGGAAAGGCTTGGCATTGGCAACCACATGTGCAGATTTGTGATTCAGCAGATTATCAGCTTCTTTGTCTCAAGCCTGACCAGATATCACAGCATGCCCACGGAGCAGGAAGCGATCCTTCCATTGAAGAAAAACAAGAATAGTTGACCGCTTATGCGGCCTGGTGATGTCTTTTTTTTCAAGATATTTACTAAGGACTAAATTTGCGTGAAAACGACCATGTATAACCTGGGATAGAGTCGAATCCGATATTGCTTTGCTCAATATGGAATGTGATTTTACGTGTAGGCTGGGATTGCTGGTGCAAATACGAACCTTGAAAGATATAAGATTCCGTCCACGATGCAAGCCTTGAAATAAAGCAAGGACGCCTCTGAAAAGCCTGTTCATCCACAATAAGCAAATAGACTAGAGAGCGAACTGTATGCAGTGTACTCTCCCGACCTGTGATTTCGATATTGGCCCCTAAGTGGTGGCATGAGCTGTACCGATACTTTGATATCTCCAGAATAATCCCTGATATGAACATGAACAGCACTAATGTTGTCTGAAAGCCACCCATACACCTGAAACTCCATGCAAATGACTGTTTTGATTTGTCCAATGCAGTCGGGTCCGTAATCGATAAGGGTCCCACATCGTTCCCGAATCCGAATATCACGGTTCACTTCTACTCCAACTTATCCAGGTGTTCCAATCGCGTGAGAACAACCTGCTTGCTTGTCTCTTGAATCTCGCCTGCGAGAAAGACTTCGTCCAGGATAGCGTAGACCTATAAACCCGACACACGTTAGTATCACGGCTCATGCAACTCCGATCCCACGCCAACTCTGGTTCACGCCGAGCAGTGCATTACCAGCGACTTGTACGCACCTTGTAGAAATTGAAGACTAAATCCAGCTCGCACACATTACCAAAGAATTGGTCGAGCACCTCGACAAAGAAATGGATAGCTTCGAGATAGGCTAGCTCATTGTCATTCGCATCGACGCAGACGCAAAAGAACAAGCCGGCATATCTTCGGTAGACGACCTTGGTACTCCGGCGGAACTCGACAAAGTTGGACTGGTATTTCTGATCTCGGGGAGCGACGAGGCGATGGACCTAGACGGTTGTCGGTGGTTAGTTGGATGGGAACCTCGGAGCAAGTGCGGGTGCGGGTGGTATTGCATTGACGAACCTCGCCTTTCAATTTGACTTTCTCTTCATCCTGCAAGCCGGTGTCAGCTCAAAGTCCCAATTATGTATTCACTGATGGGGTTCTGGCAACACTTACACTGTATGGTGAATACCATTTTGCCAGGCGCGTTTTCCCCCTATACCGTCATTAGCGTGGAAATCGAAGATGACCGGGGCGGACAGCCACTCACTGGCGATTCTGAACCAGGATAAATGAGAGAACCATTGCGATTAAAGGCCAGGATGTTACCTGGTCAGCATTTATGAAACCACTCGGGGGGAGTGTTGCGACAAGCTTTGGATGTTCTCCGCTGTTCCCATTATCGAAGCTCCCCTCCCATATTGCCTAGGCTCACCGCCCCAGATCGGATTTCATAGAGATACAAGACGAAATAGAAACGAATACTGGATAACTATAGTAACTTATTCTATCAAATCTGCAAGCAATTTGGTTCCCATGAGATATCCAATACATAAACTGAACTAGTATAACAATATTTGCAAGACATAGAGTATCAACAGACATAAAGCGTAGAATTCGTTAAAAGCTCCCATCACAGCCCGGTGTAACACTTGTAACGAGGCAATCGAGTGACACGGCGTAGTGACGGAACAAATCGATTTGATTTACCATGTTCCGTAGCGCCCAGCTACAGCTCTCACCCCGAGCTCATCCGATTCCAGAATCTCGTCAGACGAGTCTAGAAATACTCCATTAGCAACCATGTAGCAGTAAGACCGAAAGAAATCCCGCAAAAAGAGATCTCCCCAGTAAAACAGAAAATAAACGAAAGGAACCAACTTACCGTATAGCTCTGCGGACTAGGAGTCTTTGTAAAACTACTCCTGCTCTCCCTCTGGCTCTGGACCTGACTCTGTTGCCTCGTCTGGCTCTCCTCCTCAGAGTCCTCCTCAGACTCGTAATCCTCCTCGTCTTCAGAATCAGGAAACCACCGTTCAGGATCCCCATTGTAAACAAGATACCAGCCGATCTTCTCGCCGGGAGCAAGTCGATCGCGCAATTGCTCTAGTGCCGCCATCTGGTCATCCGTCAACCCAGATCCCTTTTCCACGCAATCCTCAATATTCTCTCCGCCACCACCACCACCACCACTCCCATCCTCTGGAATCTCCAGGACCCGCGTTGAAATATACGCATGGTCCTGGCTGACCGTGCCACTGCTCTCATCGGCGGGGTCATACTGTTCGATAAACGACAGTTCCGGCAGACGGGTCACGAGGTCCGCTTGTGTTTTGTGGAAGGATTCGGCGAGGAGTTCTGTCGTCAGTGGTTGCTGGATGTATTCTGCTGCTGCTTCTTCCAGGTTGTGGAGTACGATGTATACGCGGATCCCCGTGAATCCGGCGCGGGGCCAGCGGAAGCCGTGGAGCATATAGACCGGCATAGTAGTTGGGGCCTTTTTGGGGGCGTTTTCGGGGGTCGGGGGGATTGTCGCAGAGTCTAGCGACTGCTAGCTAGGGAAGATCGGATTTGCAGGGGATTCGGAGGTCATATTAAGTCTGTGTCATGGCTCGCTTTTTTTTGGGGCGGAGGTGTATCGACGCGATTGGGTTTTGCGGGTCCCGTGCGTAGTTCCAACGGGGTTCCGATCTGTACTGCTTCTATGCGTCAAATATTGGGTGAAATTCGATATTTGAGCTATGGTCGGCCTGTTTCGTTAGATATTTTAGGCAACTGGAAATCCACAGCTCTGGGGGCGTGCCTTGCTTCTATTGCTTCTATCACGTGGTAATTATTAGTTGGCCTTATAGCTACAGTATAGGTTCTTAGGTGCTCGATTATTCACCCCTAATGCATCGACATATATATTTTTGGAGTGATCTATCGACAAAAGCCGTGCTAATTCCAATGTAACATTATCATTCGTTGCCTCTAACATTGGAAGTACGGAGTACGGAGACGTATCCTCCAACTGCGGCGCTCCGCACTGAATATGACCAGTCATATTTGGGGAAGTGGACCAATTGGTCTAATTTACAATGTGGAATTTCACGGATAGCCAGTCGACTGCAATTAACGTGAATTGGTTAAAATGAGAAGACGTGATGTATTATGCAGGGATTGAAGCAAAGACATTCGACCTGAGCTCTGTCCAGGGCACCGGAAAGGAAACCAACTTGAAAAATGGCTAAAATCAAGACGCTGAGTGCCGAATTCTGGTGAATATTGAGATACTCAGCTCCTCAATCATGGTCTCCTCTTCAAATCCGCAAATCTTCGTGTCAGTTCATCCAGCTCGGGTATCCCACTGTTGTTACTCTTGCTCTTCGAGCCATCCTCCTTTGAGACGGCAGCAGCCTTACCCTCTGTGCCGGGAAGCTTGACTCTGGGATGAGGATTATCTGTTCTGGGGGCTGGCGGCGCAACGCTGACAGGACTTCGGCCCGCGGCGAGTCCACGTGGAGGCGTAGCTTTGGTCAATTCACTGGTCTCCGAGGCACGTCTCGCTTCAGAGAGGTTCGGCCTCGACGCTGAGTCTCCTTGCTGCTTGCCAGGAGTTTGCGGTAATTGGGGTTCTTCTGCGTCGCCATCACCACCATCACCAACATCATCCACAAATTCCGGCGCACTTCCCAGCTCTTCTTCATCCCCATACCCTTCAACCCCGTATGCTTTCGCAATCTCTCGAAGATAACTCTCAACAAGTTCCTGTCCTGGTGGACGCACACGCAAGCCCTTGAGAAGCCGATCCGGAACCTTGACAGTATCGACCTTATTATCTTGCGCCAGAGTCATAAACTCCTTGCCATATCGCTCGCCCAGCATAGTGCGAAGCATAGTAAATTCGCGCACCTCATGCGGAAAGCGGTGCCACGCGTAGAAGACCACAGTAGCAGCCTCGTCGAGTGCAGTATCCAGGTAGGGATTATCGTCATTCGCAAGTCCATCACCAGAGTCATCCGCACCACCAGCTGTAATTGGCGCGGCCCGCTCAGCCTCCTTCTTTTGCGCTCCTCCTCCCAACCAAGAGAACCCGAATCGTGAGCCAGTGTTTTCCCCAGCGCCCTTGACACCCGCGGTATTTGATCCCGTAGCACCAGCTTGTTCCTGGGTGCGCTTCTTGAGCAATTCCTTGGCGCGAAGTCTGGCGCGGGTACCCTGGTCGCTGAAGGCCATCTGGTCCAACACGTTTGCACGCGCCAGCAGTAGCTCACAGTAGAGCTCGACCATCTCCATTACCTCCACTGCGATATCGGTTGCGATGACATTTTCGACTCGGATGCGCGCTGATGCATCGCGGCCTTCAGTGAGGAGTTGGGAGAGTTCGCGGCGTTGGACGACTGAGGAGGCTGTATCTTTCTTTTGTAGGAGGCGGAGACGGGGGATAAGTAGGCGCAGGGTAGAAACTAATCTGGTCTTTGATTCCATTGTTAGTTTTGTTTCTGTGTCGGACGCGCATGGGAGTTACAGGCAGATGTTATATAGGAAGTGCATATAGGCAGTGCGGGGTAGCCTTGGGAGCTCTAGGTAGCGAGATTTAGGGGAAGTGTGCAGATCATGAAATGCGTCTGCAAAAGCAGAGAAACAGAAGAGTAGATGATGGCTTACCGTTTGAGCCGAGGGAGGCATTTTGGCGTGATATGCTAGAAGAGAAGATGTGAGGGGGAAAAGCCGGGGCCGAGAGACGTTGGGGTCATCTTATCGGCCCACTGTTCTCTCGCATTCATAACTTGAAGAAATTCCACAAAACTCAAACAATGCTATTGATACCATATTAATTAGGTATTTGGAATGCCCTCGGCGTTCTCAGTATTCTGGGTGTTCTCGGTGTCCTAGGTTGCCATCTCATAGCTTTGATATCAGCACCTTGTTTCTTGAGTTTCTCCTTCTCCAATGTATCGGCAATAGTCTGTTTAAAATTCTTGGTGTAAAAAAGCCATTTGTTGATCTCCCTTGCCTGTTGATTGCAGCGGGCTGTGATCTCATGTAACAGCAAATTGAACTCGTTCGAGGTAGTCTCATCGCTCTCAGCGGAGCCCTCTGGATATCATTAGGTTGAAAGTACTCAATTTTTAGATAATGACTTACCCTGGACACGGTCTTTCTCCATGGTGAAGAAGCTTCGGGTGCTAAAGGATGTGGCGAATAAGGAGGTGGGTTGAATGAGCCGGGATGAAGAGATGGAATGGAGTGGGATATAGAAATGGGGAAAGATGGCTTCCTAGATTCTAGACTCAAACATAGGTGTCAAGCTAGGCTTGTCTCCATGTCATTTTATGTGACCTTGACTGCGGTTTTTACTATATTTTCGCTGTCTTCATTTCTCATTTGTTGTTTTTGTGATTTTCATACTAGAACATATTTTTTTGTACGGCTTCCTATACTTCCGTTGACTTCCGTTTTAGGAAGTTAACGGGAGTGGGTCCCTCCCAGAGTTGATCGCCTTGGGAGATATAAAAGCCCTCAATTTTCTTTCTGAAAAGCACTTCCAAGAATCCAATATTCTCAAAGCAAAATGGCCTCTCATAACGTCCACCCTTCCACCAAAGCCTTGCATGCAGATGATTCCCTTAATCTAGTGACTGACGTCGCACCCCCAATCCATCTCTCTACAACCTTCAGATACCCCAATGATCCAGATCAACTCATCCTATCCGAGGATCCAGTTGTACGTCTCAAACCAACGGACAAACATATTCCCTCACTAACAACCCCGTCTAGGATGAATTCGACGGCAAGAACTATGTCTATTCCCGTGAATTCGCACCAAACGCAACCCGTTTCGAAGCAGTGCTTTCATCCCTCATAGGCGGGCAAACAGTGAGCTACTCAACAGGTCTAGCTGCCTTACATGCCGCTATCACACTGCTCAACCCGCGCCACATCTCCGTTGGCGAGGGATACCACGGCAGCCATGAAGTTATTGCGGTGATATCTCGTCTGTCCGGACTACAGAAACTCGCCCTCGACTGTCCAGCCGAAAGCCTAGGTCCCGGCGATGTCATCTTACTAGAGACACCGATCAACCCGCTAGGAACGGCGTTCAGCATCGAGGAATACGCGCGCAAGGCGCACTCCCGCGGCGCGTTTCTCATTGTTGATAGTACGTTTGCGCCGCCTGGACTGCAGGATCCGTTCCTCTGGGGTGCGGATATCGTCATGCATTCCGGGTCGAAGTATTTTGGTGGACATAGCGATATGCTCTGTGGCGTGCTTGCTACGAAGCGTGCTGATTGGACGAAGCGGTTGTTTGAGGATAGAATCGCGCTTGGGAGTGTGATGGGGAATATGGAGAGTTGGCTTGGAATCCGAAGTCTGCGCACGCTGGAGGTGCGGGTTCAACGAGCTAGCCAGAATTCGGCCAAGTTGATTTCCTGGCTTCATGGTGCTATGCAAGCCGAGTCTCCTGCTGCGGGTAGTGAGGAGATGGTTGTTCAGTCGGTTGTGCAGAAGATCTATCATGCTAGTTTGCAGAATGAGCCGTGGTTGCAGAAGCAGATGCCTAATGGGTTTGGACCCGTCTTCTCTATTGTCTTACACAATGAGCAGTTTGCGAAGGTTTTGCCAACTAAGCTTCACTTCTTCCATCATGCTACTAGTCTAGGTGGCGTGGAGTCTTTGATCGAGTGGCGAGCTTTGTCGGATTCCAAGGTTGACCGGAAGCTACTGAGAGTTAGCATTGGGCTAGAGAACTGGGAGGATCTGAAGGATGACTTGCTCCAGGCATTCAAGTCGCTTTTAGTATGATAGTTGAGTTAATCTTATCTTTTTTGTGCTAGATCATATGAGAGATTTTGGTTATATTCAATGCTTGGTATGTTATATCAGAAGACAGTCACGACCCAAACGACCAATATCAAATATCCATCGCGACGAAGTCTCCAAGCCTTCGTACTGGTCCCAGTAATCTTTCAGAATCTTCGCTGCGGTGATAACATTCGAACAGCTCGTCTCAGTCCAAAACTTCTCTAAAGATTCAACCAAAAAGTCTTTTTGGGCCTGGGACCGACACTCCAGACCCGCCACAAAGATAGCCCACAGAACACATTTGAAAAGCGCCTCGTCGTCTTTCAAATTAGCAATCAGACCCAACAGCTCAGAGACCAAATCATCCTGCTCTGTGATGGTTTCCATGAGTGCATCAAGAACGCGTCTCCCATATATCAAAGCCCCGGTTTTGAATGTCTGCGATAATATACAGAGATTATTGATTTCGTCTATGGAAGACTGTCTCGAACGTTGGAGACTCAAAACCCAAGCGTAGCAGTCAAAGTTTTGGATGAGCTCCAGCATCGCGGTGGTATCTTGTATATGTGTTTGAAGGGCAGCGCCGTCCGGCAGCTCTCCTGCGATGGCATCCCTTTCGTTGGAGAGAAATTGTATCGCTGATAACAGGAACTCTGGACATCCAAGGAAAGATCGTTCGATTTCTTCTCGGGTTTGCCTTTCTGCTCGGCCGTTAGATATGAACTCCGACAGCACTTTGGGTCGTAAAAAGGTTGCTCCCAGCGTTTCAATTCTGATTTATAACCAGTCAGCCTCTCACATGGATTAGCACCATCCATTAGTTTTAATTTGACTCACAAATGAATCTGATTGGAGATAAACCCCCAGATCTCCTGCACCGTCTGGCCAGGTCCATTATTAACTCCAGCTTGCGCCTCCAGCAGCGGCCGGTGCGATGCAATCAACCCCTTAGCACCCTCAAGATGGAAGTTCCAACCATCACTTCCAAACTCCAGGAGATCCAGGAAAATAAGAAGAAATATGCTAGCGACGGTTGTATCACTTTTGGCTATTGTTCCGTCACCAAGTACCCGGGAGAGAGCCTCCATGGCTTGATGCTTGAAAAGCAGCGCATCGCGATTGGCATCAATGAGGGTAGATGTCGGGGCTTGAAGTTGATGAAACGGCTGACCTGTATTGGCACGATGCCGTGCCGCGAGAGCAAGTATGCCCTTCTGCAAGACGGGGTCTTTCAACCCGAAGGAGATCAAACTCCGGAATGGATTTCTGGCGCTGTCGTATACAACGAACAATTTGCATATTCGTTCGTTATCTGAATGCGATGTCAGTATCACCTAGTTGTAGGGCTTTGCATACAGATCTTACAGTAGTCTATATAATATTTCGAAATTTGATCCAAGTTTGACATAGATGGGTCTTGCAAAGTAACCGGCAGGCCCCTACTGCTAGCAGAAGCTTGGACCAGCGCGCGATGCGAGTTCTTCGGTGTGGATAGCGCGGATTTTGTAATTCTAGAAGTGTGCATAGGAGAGCCATTCGATATACCCTCATGAGTACGGCCTTGCATCTTTCCGCGAATCGCCACGCCTTTGACCCACCTCAGAGGTCTTTTGTCGAAGCATTCCATGCCAGCCTTCTCGCACTTGGCGCATGGTGTTCCGGACTGGTCGCATTGAATGCGGCGGTTGCGACATGTCCAGCATGGCTCGCATACTGTCTCCATTTGGATGTGGCATGTGGAATGTGGAATGTGGCGTAGAAAGGTATAAGATTCGCAGTCCACGTCAAGGATTTGCTGACCGAGCGGGCCGGTTACGGTAGCTTTTTGCGGCCATCACGATAATGATAAGGCGATTTTGAATCAGGGTCTTTTGATACATCAGGTTCACAAATTCAATCATGATTTGTGTCCGATAGTTTTAAGTATAAGAGAAACATAAGAGGGTATTTAACATAAGAGAGCATAGAAGAAAAAAAAATAAGACAGGACCGGAAGAGACCCCGAAATATATGTTTTCAACGTCAACACAAACAATATTAAAGATGATCTATAGCTAGATGCTAGTGAGAAGCTAGTCGGCCCTTAAAAGCGCTTTTATTATTTTACATGAACATTTATTTTCTCTTCCACCCTAATTTAGCCCATATAATACGACCCCAGTATGGTTGTCCCCTCTAATTGACATTCCAAATCCCTCCAAAGGTCATCTTGTGTATCACAAAGTATATCCCATCGAGTAGGGGTATAAATCCAATAAATTTGGATAGAAATACATATCTTTGAAGCCGTAGCAGAAGGAGAGATGGATCTGGCTGGGCTGAAGTATTCACCCCACACCGTAGACCTACAGCAACAGCGGGGCTTAGGGTCGCAATTGACGAGTTCCAATTAGCAAACGGAGAGGCCGAGTTATCTGAGACATGTAAGAAACCAAACATCCCTTTGGCAACTCCAATCCTCGAATTGGGACTCGAATTGCTGCACCCGATGCGGGCCCAGAGAGAACAAAAGCGAGCCAATCGATCGCAACACACAACAAAATCAAACCAATGAGAGTGAGGACAGCCCACTATAGCAGATTAGATCTGGAAATTGGGGGCCGAAGGTCCGTGAGAATAGACAAGCTTACTGTCCGGTCAAAGTTCGTATACATATTTAGAACATTTAGCCTGTTTTGCGCATTTTTAATTGGTCGACCCACCAGGCCCCAAGCTACGCTGATTCGCCCGCTCGGTTCATGATGTCATTGGCGCGGAAGTCTGCTACCGCTATGCCTATTTGAGAATAATATCACGGGTGTATGGTTGATTTTAGCAATCCCTTCGCGTTTCAGCATTGTTTGGCTGTAGATGTAGAAAAGATAGGGTCTAGCGTGCAGCCACTGCTTACTTATATAGCTGTCAGAGCTCGCACACTGAGGATCTGTTGTTTCCTGTCTCTATAATCCAAATCTCCCTGCAACAGTCACTTCGAATCGACATTTGCATACAAAGAAAAATCTGACATTGACACCTTCTTTTGGCCCTCGTATGTATCTATACAACCTCACATGATGCCCCTATATCCAACAACTAACAAGACCCTTTATCTTCTCAGCCTCTTCTACAGCCCTTCAACCCACAATGCCTACCATTCCACACACACTAGAGTCAACAATCACACAAACACCCACAATGCACGACGCTACAAGCCTGCTCAAGCGGAGTAGCATGAGCAACCCCGACAAATACCCCCTCTACATCTTCCTCATCATCGCCGGCTGCGTTGTAGGCGGGCTCATCGGCTTCAGTATATACACTATGTTCTACGACCTTGAGGACTCACAAAAGGTCAAGGACCCATCTAACGAGCAACGAAAATACTTTCGCGAGGTCAGACAGCGGAACTTGAACATGTTGGCTATTGAGGCAAGGAGACCTGATATGATTGTTCCTATCAGGGAATTGGATGCTTGAATTGCTTGGGTTTGGCGTTTGGATGGGGATGTTTGCATGTGGAAGGGCTTGCTTGATCTCGGGTTATTCAATCGGCGTTATATTTTGTATATTAGATGTGAGCATCTGGTAGTAATGATGCATGTACATGGCGTATCATATGTCTGTTTCGATATTTGTTTGTCAATTTACCGAGTTTTCCAAGAACAGTGCGGTGCTTGGCCAGAAGAAGCAAAGCGAGGATGAATAGGCAGAGTGCGCTTTGTATCTTCTATAAGAATCTGTTTGAGATCTTAGAAGATCCTAGTGGTAAGGATTGACGGATAAAAGATAAACAGTAATTTTGCTATGTCCAACCAAAAAGGACCTGGGTGGTTCAACCCCAACCATCGTGTATAACCAAAAACAAACCCCCCTGCGTACCAGAAGCAATAAAAATGATATTCAACAAGCTGAAAGGAAAGAAGAGCAATGCTGAGGAGCCAAGGGATATAAATGTCATGAAGCAGAGTAAAAAAGGGTCAACGTTGAGCGTCGTGAAAAGGACATCCAAGGGATGTGAAGAATCGTAATAAGGGGGATTATGTAGAAGAAGAATTAAAAAAGGTGAAAGAACCAAACAGTAATGGATGCCCGCGGAGTTGCAAGCTTGATTACCGCAGGCAAATATAGTGCGGAAAAGACGTCTCAAGGTGATGATTGTACACACCCCGTACATATATGCAGTATCGTGCAGTTAATATAGCCGAATCATTTGAAGCTGATTTAGATTCTCACGACCATGGCGGCAATGGCGCTAAAGGCCAGGGTCAACATGGAGACGGTGGCGCTAGTAGCACCGCTAGCGGAAGATGTGGACGCGGCGGCAGCGGCAGCGGTCATTGTGGAGGCCGCTTGGATATCAGCAGAACCAGTCAGCACGTGGGGCTGGTAAGTATAGCCCGCCGGGCTCGACTTGGGCAAGTGGGCGAGACTAGTGACACTCGACGTCTGAGTCGTTGAGCTGGAGCTAGCAGTAGATTTGGAGCTGGAGGTAGATGTATGAGTCGAGGTTGAAGTTGACGAGTGAGTAGACGTAGAGGTGGAGGTTGGTCTCTCAGTAGTGCTGGTGCTGGTGCTGGTCGGAGCAGTAGTGGTAGTCGAGGTGCTGGCGCTCTTGGTGGAGGTATGAGAGCTAGTGGAAACCTCGATGGTCTCCGACGAGGTGCTGCCGTTACCCTCCTTCTCGAAGACGATGATGTGCGCGGTTTCGCCCTTGGGGATGGTCACGACGCAGCCGGTGGCGCCACCAGCGCCAACGAAGGGCTTGCCGATCATCTCGTTGACGTCGTTGACAGCAGGGTCGATCTTGCAGGGCAAGCCGTGGCAGCCGTCACCCTCACACTCAATCTCGATACCAAAGTCAGGCTTGACCTTGCGGAAGGGCGTGGTGGTTTCCAGGTAGATGGGGTTCCAGCCGATCTTCAAGAAGGTGTTGCCATCGTCGTCGGTATTGGCACCAGCGGTATACGGGGACCAGTTACCGACGGGGTTCACCGAACTACCCCAGACACAGCCCTCCTCCGCGGTGACACCGGGAGCGTTAATGTAGTACTGTGCAGCAGTGGAGCACCAGTAGGATATGCCAGGCACGGCCAGATCGGCCAGGTCCTCAACCATGGTGGGGATAAGCATAGCCTCATTTCCAGGCAGCACAGTCTGGCAGAAAGAGACAGCCTTTCCACACTTGTTGCGGGCCTTGAGAACACCAGCAGCCGATTCACAGTAGTCGCGGTTGGGGAAGGGCTTCTGGATTTTGCCGCTCTCGTCACAGTACAGACCACCCCTCATAGACATAGGGTAAGAGTAGGAGGTCGCCTTGGGATCCCACTGCATAGAAACCTCACCGGGAGGGCAAGCGTAAGGGCAGTAGTTACCAGGTTTGCAGGGCTCGTCGGGGCTCATAGCCCAACCAGCATTTTCCTCATTCGGGGTGATCGCAACCAGGCCAGCGTCGGAGGGGAACTTGCACTTTTCACCCCTCTTCTCCAGATCCACATCACGAGTCTCGTGGTGATGGCTGTGGCCATGGCTATGTTTGGAGGCGTCAGCGCTCGCAATGAGGGCGACAAGCGCCGCTGCGCGGAAGGATGTGATCTGGAACTTCATTGTGTCAGGGGGAAAAGACTTGGCAAATTGACAAATATCAATAAATGAATGGATATATGAAGCGAATGGCTAAGTCAAACGAGTGACAAAAGATATACGGCCGACGGCCAGGACAGACACAGTGCTCACAGATAATGAAGGTCAAGACGAGAGAAAGGAAAGAGACGGGGAAAAGCACCAAGAAAAGGGACACGGCCTCTGGAGAGGGTCCCGGCTCAGATCCACGAGTGTGCTAGGCTGAAAAGGCGTTAGATCTGGGATGATGTGCGCGTAATCTCGGCACCAATTGGGGTGCAGAGCAGAGCAGCCCCGGCTTTCGCGAGCGGCTCGTCTGTGACTGCCCATAATTCTCATAATTCTACCCCAAGACTGGAATTATGCGGGCTGCCTTGGACCCCCAAAAAGCTTTGCCCCTGAAGCAAACTCCGCTAGTGGACAGCCACATGGAGCCACTACATACTTAGCGTCAGGGGCAGTGATAGTCTGCAACCAATGACGAACGGCATTACCCCGACGGTTCCTGCTTGGCAGGAGGCAGGCCAATAATCTGAGAGATATGATCTTGTGGAGTTATCTCCCGAACTCTTTCAACGGCAAAATAAAAGAAAATATGAAACAAATAATGAGGAGGGGTGGAGGAAGGTGGAGGAAGAGGAAGAACACGTTGCTCGGCGCAACGTCTGAGGACCCTTGGTTTCATCACATGACATCTCATTTAATCTCTGAAATTGCAATGTTGCATGGAAACACAACTCAATAATACATACATGAAAAAGGAGAGAACTCCACCGAAGCTCTTTTAGCTTGGTAGCCCGTCAATCCCAATCAAACCCACGCTACACCGATCTAGGTCCGTTGATCATCATACAATTCAGCACATATCCATTCCTGGGGCCAATAGAACCACACCTAGGAAAATCCCAGACTCTTGCTTCTTTTTGATAGGCACGTTCTCACATGGCACAAGGGATCCGAAGCTCTAGAACTTCTTGTCTCGACTGCCGATGTCGCTTGGCTTGGTTAAAGTTTGGCTTGGGAGACTATTGGGTTTTTGATAGCATAGCGAGATCAACAGGATCACCGCTATAATCACTTCGATCGTGAGCCGCGTTAAACGGGTCTATCGATACCTATGTACAAAACGCGCCAGAGTTGCGCAAATCGTAAACAGCATAGCCGGCATCACCCTTGTAATTGGTAGGGATATCAATGCAAGAAGCATGGAGATGATTTAGTATTTGATGCGGGTGTCAAAGGTCGGTGTCTTCGATGGCTTGATCCAATTATACCGGATTATTCAAGATTTAGAGGGCCAAGTCTTCCAGGGCTATGTCGTCAAGGACAAAGACCGAGTGACTCTTCTTTTCTTTATACTTGAAACTTTGATTTGTGGTGAAATATTTGTCAGATGGCTTAGCCCTAAACGGCACCCTTGCATTAACTTCGATCAAATCCCGCTGCACCGGGTGTCAAGAGTGGGATATTAACAGGATGTCTTTTTTGAGTTCGCTGCAAGGATTGTTGATGTTTCTCGCATGGTGATTATCCACTCGACCTATCACTTGGGTTTTGCGGGGCCCCATGCATCTGACAATATATAACAGGCCGCATTGTCACGGCACCGTGATATTTTATACTTCCTCTGGCTGGTATATGCCTCATAGACCTGCACTTCGGCCAGAGTTAAGGTATGGAATCTAAACTTGCTCTGTATATACTGCGTGTTGGGCAGGGCTTCTTGGCCCAAAGTGATTTTGTTTTGTCTTTTCGGACATGCATCATGACCTTTCGTTATAGATAGAGCGGTATCATCAGGCATCAAATATTCACAGATGAAGCTACTCGCCTTGCTGGGCCTCTAGGTCCTTCCACCCAGCAAAAGCCGAGACATCATCACGGTCTCTCCATCCCCAGGCAATGCAATAATGCCGTGCAAGCAACTGCCACTCCTCCATCTCATCGAGCATCTCTAGCCCAGCAACTCTTTCCTTCTCGTCCTCGTTAACCCACCGCTTCCAAATAAATTCAATATCAGCCACAGCCTGGCCATTCCCAAAACCTTGGTCCCGGAAGCGGCCCCGCTGTGCCTCAAGCGACGCATACCTAGGGAGGGTCTTGAGTTGGATCCCGCGCGCTGCAAGGTTCGACACCATTGTACGACCAAAGGCATCGTTTGGTCTTATAGGCTCATAAAGAATCAACCCGAGTGGAGGGACATCCACTTGCGCCTCCTGCAAGCTGTCTCCATGCCCAAGTACTGGACTCCCATGGCCAAAAAGGCGTTGCGTGAAGAACGCAACCACCTGCTCCGCTTCGATAGGCGATAAATAGACCAAACAGCACTCGGATATCAGCAAAGTTGGTAATCCCGTCTCCACGCCTGGCAGTGCTCCAGCAGGGTCACTGCATGTCGGCAGCGACCGCAGATCAACCGGGTGGATATGGTATGAGGGCGAATGGAGCGCGTCCCCGGCCGCCGACACGGTAACTCGAGTATCCTTTTCCGATGACACCTCCGACGAATTAATCCCTAGCGCATGCTGCAGTATAGGTGCCGATCTAATCGCGCGAATCTTATCCGCCGTGTTAACGGCGAAATCGAGCTCGTGGTAAACGAAGTCTGGGGTTTGGCGCGACGAGAGAAGCCGGAAGATGCGCGTGTCCGACCCGGCACCTAGAGATATGATCTGTTTTTTGTGTGTATTTTCCGGTGAGGATGGTCCGAGGAAACGCGCCACGAGCTGGTCGATGGCTGTTGTGCGGGCGTAAGTTCCTGGTACGCGGGGAGGTCTCCCGGTCAGCCATAGGCTCTTTTGTCATTGGGGATAGCATAGCTTGAGGAACCAGGCTCACCTCTGTTGATAATTGGCAATCTCCGTGTCGCTGACCCGGCTGGTGTCAATGCTGGGGCGTACGCATCCTCCAGGTATCCTAGCTCGACCGCGCTGAGGCGGGACACGCTTGCATCATTGTCTGTACCTTGGACGACGCGGTCTTTTCCAGAAGGGAGCCCGGTCTCTTCTGTGCGGCCTATGCCACGGCCTCGACCTCGGCCTCGTCGGAGAGTGTTTAGGTTGGGAATGTGAGAGGCCATGAGGAATGGAGGAAGCTTGGAGCTCGGAGCTTCCGTGGTGGGGTAGCTATGTGGGGGATATCGCCTCTTAATTTCATCTCCGATTTGTCCGTCTCTCGAAAAATCCAACTTGACTTCTAAAATATTAATATCTCGAGGGCAGTTCCTAATTTATAGTTTACCGGGCTCTTCGGCGCTTACATCTCATCTCTACAAAATGCCATCTGGTCTTGTTTGATCGACTCGATGACTAAACCCTAATCTTCAGGCGAGTTCAAGGTTATATTCAACGGCGAAGACAATTGCAAAAATCTCGAATTTAACATTTACTGCAATAATCCGACTCCTGCTGTCAATACCGCCGAGTTGCCACAGTGCCTGTATCACAGTGCCTGGCCTATCTAACTCTCCCAAGCACAATATCCCTGCCAACATATGTGTTGGTAGAACTGCTACTATATATGCACCTAAGCCAAATTATTCTTGACAAAGGCAATAGCCTGTGTGCCATACTTGGCTCCGTAGCCCTGGTGGGTCGCTCCGTCACTGCCGTTACAGCAGTACGGGTCCGCGGCGTCACAGTATGATTGAATCTTACTAGCCGATGGGCAAGAGAAGCCAGAAGGACGTGCGTCGAACTATATCTCGTTCGTTAGATCCAAAGCTCCCAAGTCCAGGGGGGATATAGGGAATTCCATACGCCTCCGGCAGCACAAGTTCCAACATCATACGGCAGCCCTGCTACGTACAGTGGATCACCCATGAAGATGGCAGCCTTCACCATATTCACAGCAGACGACGACAGCTGGACCCTGGTGTCGGTGTAGCCTTGGTTGGGGACGCCACCGCCGCACAAAGCTGCGTCCATGATCTCACCACCCTGGAGCACCGTAAGAAGTTGGCCTTTCGTTATAAACAGCCGAGGAAATATAGCTCACCTGGGAATATCCGACCAGCACAAGCTTGGTCGATGGGCACTGTGTGTTATAGGAGTTCACAGCCGAGGCGACAGCTGCGATACCCTGGGAAACTGAGCTGGAGTAGCTCACGCTACCGCAGGATGATTGTCCACCGCATGCGGGGTAGTTGATGGCCTCGGCTGTAGAGCCTGAGTAGGCACCGAGGAGGCCATTGACAACGGTGCTGGATGAGCCGTATCCGGGAGATACGGAGGTCTCACGCGCACCAAAGATGTGGACGTCTGGGCAGGTGATACGTTTCTCGATGTCAACCTCAACTGGGACAGCGAGGGCGCCGCCGGCAAGAAGGGAGAATGTCAAGATATTGGAAATCATGGTGTTAATTAATACCAATCAAAGTAGAACAAGCGAGTTGTTGTGTTGAATATTCTCGTGTGTGCAAGTAGTTCCAATGTTTCGAACTGTGGAGACCACGGTTGCTTTATATACGAAAAAGAGATCTAGGTTTTCCCCTTGTCAATTAGAGTCAGAAGATCATTGCATTTTGCCGTGTAGCAGGCCATCAAAAAACGAAACTTGTTCCTTTAGACCGAGTGGGGATTTTTGCCTAATGGTCGTTTGAGGATGAAACCTCAACTATATGGCAGGATTGCCAGGCTCAGCCGTGAAGAAAGGGAACCGGGACCACACAATTAGGCTGAATCAATCGCGTATACTCTTGGTTAAGGCTAGATAGACTCAAATAGACAGACCATTGGATATGGGGTTGAAAAGTATGACACACCTGCATAAGTCGTGCCAATTCTCCGCATTATTATAGGCAATAATAGCGTCAGATCTTTCCGGGATATGTAACAAGGCCCTCTTAACTGGTTTGGGCGAACTATTATTGTAAATTTCAGCAAAAAAATCGCTACAATCCATTCCCAGGGCTATAGGCAGATATAGAGAGCTAATCGTAATGTGGTGATTACCCAGAGACAGCCTCGGTATGGACACCGAAAATGTTCAACTTCCCAATCGGGTATGGCTCGAAACGTACGGGTTACATCCCTGTTTCATTGGTCTCAGACATATGCAGAGTGATAAAGGTAGCTACTTGATCCTATTACTGATAGAATCTGAAATACTGAAAATAGAATCCTGGAATGTTTTTTTCCGCGGATATCGGTCTGAACCCGAGGGCCCTGCCCTATGTTTGTCATGTCATGTCTCTTCTTTATGTACAAGTGAACTAAACAAAGCATCTAAACATAAACAAAGTTGTTTCGGCAAAGAGGACAAGTGCTCTGGTTGCTGCTCTTGAACCAGCGGAACAGACACACCGAGTGGAAGGTGTTCTTGCAAGTGGCACACCGCTTGTTCGGCGTCTGCATATCTGTTGAGATAACGGAGTAGCAGATAGCACACTCGCTCTGGCCCTTCAGTGCACCTTGGACGTTTCGTCGGAAGGCCAACAACCCGTCAACCAGGTTGCCATTGGCAAACATGATAACTCCCTGGATCGTCAGCAGCCAGCTCTTCCATTTCTTCTCGTCCACAAGCACGCGACTACGACCAACAACCAACGCAGGTTGAAGTGGGTATGCGGGTGGGAGAGTGATAGAAATGGCGACTGGAGGCGACTCCTCGTCGACAGGAATGCTGGCAATGATTTCGCCTGTCTTTGGGGAAATCTTCACCTCCAGTGCGCGCTCTTCGTTTGCATCTTGGGTGGCCATCCAGTCGGTCACGCTTTTAAGTGCATCTTCAACGACGAGTGGGGAGATCTGGGGATATTATTAGTCACGGATACTCGTTTAGAAGGACCAATCCCAAATATTACTCACGTATCTTTCTGTCCAAGTTTCCACCGGACCCTTGATGCGTTTCTTGGTGTCAATCCACCAATTCTTGGTCATGTTGGCAGAGTATCTCAGACACAGATAGTACAAATGTACCAGAAGCCATTGTGTCTCCTTTTCGGCACTCTCAGACTCATCTGGCTCGAATGATCGAATATCAAGTTTGGCTGCGTCAATCATCTTTCCATGTGATTTTTGAAGGAAATCAAACGTGAATTCCAGCAACGGGATGAGGATATTGTTCTCTCTGATGCTCGACGCGTAGTATTCTTGAACAGGAAGCGACTGATCGGACTGTTAGCAAGTTGATCTTACAATTTGTTGTGGAAGAGTCAAAACTTACAGCATTTGAGAAATGGTCGAATACCACCTTCCAGCTGAGAAGATACGATCGCATACTAGTCCACATTTTGTCATCTCCGTAGGCAGCAGAGACCATTTGCATTGTCGGGGGCTCAAGCAATAGAGAGATGAGCTCATCGGGAAGACTGACTGCAGTCTTTGATAAGGCGACCTCAAAAGATACCTTCTCTTGGGCATGGGGGATATAGTGATGGAGAATTGTGTAAGCAGTTCGCTGAACTGCTCGGCTGTGCGCAGTCAGAAGATGGAACGTTTCACTGACATCCTCCAAGTTATCAACGGGAATTGTGTTAATCAGGCGTCGTAATAAGTCAACAGCAACATCCCGAGGCCGGTGGAATGTGGTTGAGGAATCTATATGGTCAATGGTGGAGGCCAGGCCATTGAAAAGACCGGCCTTTCGATCCGACCAGGCATCTTGGACGTCGTCATTGCTGTCACTTTCTGAGATAGACTTCAGTCGTGCAAAGAGTCTGAAAGATGACACCAGTAATGGCAGAGCCTCTTCGCCTCCATTGGTTCCCTGCAATATAGAGTTGAGAATGGCCATGCTTTCTTCCCAGTGAGATCCATAAATTTCCCCGAGGGCTGGAAGGACAAGAGACAAAGTGTGGATGACTTCGGATTTCAAACCAAGAGACATTGAGTCCGATTGGAGACATTCAATCAAGTTCTTGGTGAGGAAAACCAATCTCTGTGTCGGAATTGTGGAGACAACATCTTCTTCCCCAGATAATAGGATATTCAACAGAGCCAGCTTCCGCAATCCTGGGCACAGTTAGTACTGGTTCTATATTCGCTAATGTGTTATCAAACACTCACCAACTTGGGAAGGATCCTGGGGCTTGAGTCCAGTGGAGTCGGCGACTAGCTCATTGCATATTCTGTTTCCGATGGGATTTGAAAGTATGGAGCTTCGCAGCACTGCAAACCAAGATGCCGAACGAATGAGGTTTGCTGTCCGGGCCTCTCTACAAATCTTTGCAACGTCCTCTGGCGATTTGGAAATTTGCAATGAATCCGCAACAGCCATTATCTTGACGAAGGCTTCGCCAACCCTATAATCCAAGGGAGAGGTACCCTTTAGTTCCTCTAATATGGTCTCCCAGAACTCGGTAAACGAAGAGGAAATGGTCTTCTCGGGTGCGAAGCTGACGGGTTCATTGTCACGAATCCAGTTACTAACCACCTTTCGGCCAGCGAAAACAATCTCCATGTATTCTTCTCGCTGGTCAGCCAACTCGAGGCCTGAGATGCCGTTGCAATTTTCAATGCTCAAATCATCATCAATAAGTTGAATTGCCAAGGGCAAGAAATGGAACAATGCGTTTAGGTCCTCCTGGTCCAGATATTTCAATACCTCAGAAGTAGAGAGAATGCTGATGGTGAAGGTTGCCAAGCGGAATGCAGAAGAGCGATGCTCTGAATCGCGAGGAATAGTCTGCCATAATGCCTTGAAGGAGTCAGATAGCTCACGTTGGATCAAGTGAACGGCACCTCCTAGAGGACTTGTGATAGCAGTGGAAGGGCGGGGTGGAAGTTGGAGAAAGGGGGTGAGAGATTCCTCCCATGAACTACGAGAGGGCAAAATATCCTTCACAGTACCAGCTGAACCTTCGGCCGTAAGACCTGGCAGCAATTCTTCCGCGATAGCAAGAAGTGACTCAATCCTGAAACAAATTTAGCACAATTCTCTACAAAATATGATGGCAATGGAGCACTCACGACAATGACTCTTCATCCACATGATTGAACCCATGTTGGAGAATTTCGATGCCCGACTTGGCACTCGTGTCGCCAACACCAGATTCTTTCAATGATTTCAGCAACGCTGACGCCAAGCTTGCCACCTCTTCAGATGGTGATTCTGTGAGGAAAAGTAGCTTTCCTGCTAGCTTCGATCCAAGAGCTCCATTTTGGAACTCCCGAACTGAAGATGGTGCATACTTTCCGATATGAGAAAGCCCATGCAAGGCATCAAAGACTTTGTCATCTGAAGATAACGCCTCGATCAAAGATAAGAATATCTGATTCATCAAGTCACCGTGTGATGTTTTGTTTTGAAGAACAGCAGTTATCATAGGCCAATGGGCATGGCTTCCTTGGCAAGCTTTGCCAAGAGCTCGCACAACAAGCGAGTTGAGCTTCTCTTTGTGCTCAACAGCGTTGAAGTCGAGAGAAGAAAGTAAGCTTTGGAGTACATGCACATTGGATTGCTCTGGCTCCAGCGCCAAGGCTCGCTCAACAACGTTCTCGAAACTAGACGCAAATCCATCCCATTCCCGACATTCCAGGATGATTGAAATCAATCGATCAGCAGACGGTGAAAGCAAAAGCTCCGGTGCATCAATTTTCACAAAATTTTGGAGGTCTTGGGACTTTTTGGCAATATATGGCAGGCTGCGAACACACTCCACCACTGTGGCAGCGGCTCCATATGGCTTCCCATTACGGGTGCGCAGGACCTCCAGACAGCCTTCGAGAAGGGAAGTGCTTGTTCTTTCAAAGACCTTCGACACTTGAGGCTCAACCTCAGTATCTGCGACGCGTGAGAGAACAGCAGACTTCAAAGCCAAGAGGCGTTGGGATTGGGCGCATATTGAGTCCTGGGATTCACGGAAGTCCTTTGATTGTTCTGGCGACGACAGCTTCACAGCGTCTAAGAGGCCATTGGAAAGGGATGTACACAATGATTGGAGTTCCTGGGTTTGCCCAGTGGAAGCCAGAGTGGAAACATAATCCACACAAATCCCTTCGGCTGACTTGTCTGGAAGTGACCATTGTGTCAGCTCCGGGTCAATTTGCACGTAATGCACCACCAAGGGAGACATTCTCTTTGAGATAAATTCCGACTTCTCCTCCTGGGGGATCAGTGTTGCAAGCCAGGTTCCTATCTGGGTATAGGATTTCCACCCGATGGCAAGGTTTGAACGCGGCTCTTCTCTTGAGTTGAGGCCTTCTTGCAAAGCCTCAGTCAAAGCAGTTGCGCTGATACAAGTAATTCCATGGTCAGCAGTGGCCTTGTCAGCACCTGCTAGTACTTCTTGGGGGATGATTCGAAGCAACTGGTCTAGATTTGACCAAAAGTTAGAATGCCCACCCTGGGACCCTTTTTGCATGTATTGGCGCAATCTCCTCGAGGCAGATGACTTCCCAGTGTAGTCATCT